CGAAATTAATTCAAATCTTACCAAACTACCTTAACGGTAGCTTCGCGAAAATGCGTTTATGTTTTCGTTTTTGCATCTCTTCAAGTTACAAGTTGTTATTAAAATGTGTTCGTAAGTGATGTTAGACCATGCTCATCTATTTAATTATAAGTCAAAAGTTACATAACTACACACATAATATTAAAATATGTATGGTACAAAATTACATATTTTTAATAACTCAACACTTGACCCGTTTAAACTAAGGATAATAATTTGCGATCAAAGTGGGCTGCAGGTGGCGTAGAGCAGAACTCTCTACCTATGGCAACACTTCACATGCTTTCCCCATTAGCGTGTGGAAAGTCATAGAGGAAGGAAGTACGTTAGTTTCTCTCTTGATTTTCATACAAATTAGAATCTTTTAAGTTGGAAAACAATATAGAACTGAAAACTACATTAAACATAGTTCTAAAGAAAACGGAAATTTTAAAAAATATTTTTATTAAATAAAAAGGAAAAATATCGTGGTACATTCCTAAACGACTGAAGAGAGGAGGAAAGGCAAGGGAGAAGGACCAAAGGCGTGAAATCGGTCTCCAGATGGCGTATTCGAGTGTTGCGATCGCCAATTGAAAAAAAAATGAGTCATCAAGAGCGCTTACGTAATTACAAAGCTTGAGAAAAGTTATTTATACCAATACGAGATTCTAGAAATATGCTTACTTCGTTCACCATAATACATAACGTTGAACGTAGATTTTCTCCCTTAAAATCCATCGCAAATTTCACCTTCCGCTTGACGTTAAAATCTTGGCGTGATAATAGTCTTGGTGCTCCCCAATTTCAGATGCCGCCAAGGTGCTAACTTGCAGGGTTAACGTAACAAAGTAGCGGCTGCCAAGATAGTTGTTTTATATATTTTTAATAAATTTTAAATCAAATTTTATTAGTGCTCCGTATAGAGGCAATAAATTTTTTGATTGATTTCTGAATATTTGCTTATTTTAATAGTTCTGATAACAGCTAGAAAAATACGTTTGTATCACGAATGCCCACGACAACAATAGATGGTGTTCTGCTAATGTAAACAACTAAACTCTGTTCAAAATTTCTTTCATTATTAACCGCTGATTTAATTTGTTTTTTTATAAAATTATGCCTGGAAAAACAAAAATTGTTCCACCACCTCCTGCAAATTCTCATCAACCTGGGGTGGCTAGATCATTGTTGTATAATGGCTCAAAATTTCAAGGGCATCAAAAGAGTAAAGGAAATTGTTATGATGTTGAAGTAGTTCTTCAGGTAATGATCCAATATCATCATATCTCCAGGAATGTCAAAACATTATTACGAAGCAGTGCTTCCTTTAAATAATTTAAATTTTCTGAGTTGAAATAAGTTACATTTTATCATTGAAGATCTTAACTTATGATTTCCTTGTAATTAATACTCTAAAGGAGGATTATAAAATAATTTGATTTTATATTTGAATTGAGTTAGCCTCTTACGTCCTAGAATCCAATATGGATTAAATTTTGAGTAAAATTACGTGCTCATGATTAATAAAATGACTTTCCATATTGTTTAATAGGTTTCTGATCATAATTACATTGTGCCTTGTTTCTTAAGGTTCATGTAAATAAAAGTAATCTATTATTTGACAGCTGAAGAATTTAAACAATTTCTCCAATTCTACTAATCAAATTCTTAAATTGCAAAATGTTTCGTAAATAATAAGAATCGGTCAATATCACTGTTTCAAAATACTTACTCCTAGAATTTAACTTCGCGGAGTTTTGGCAACTTGGCGCCAAAATGAAATTATATATTATTGGTAATTTTAGAAATAAAACTAATCGTAATAAATCTCATACAATGAAAAAACTTTATTACGTAATGCATGTTTAAAATTTGGGACTTAATTTATCAAAAGCTTTAAACGTTTATATTAAACAGAAAAAATAATTAATCTTTAAAAATTAGAAGGTTAACACGAAATTAATTCAAATCTTACCAAAGAGGATATTTTTAAGTAATAATGTATGACTTGGATTATAAACTAGATAAGTACTGCAACACACAGTCCAATCGTTTCGACTTTTAAACTGTAAACAAATGTTGTACTAGAATGTTTCGAACAATTCAGTTTATTTTTTCTCTTCTCGAATATAATACAGTGTTTTCACTACAGCGCGAGAACGCGAGAATCTCGCGTATTTTTTTCTTTTCTCGCATTAAAAAATTATTAACGCGAGAAGATCGCGCACTCTATTAATCAATTTCAAAATGAGCGAATTTTGGAAAATGTTATCTAAATGTTAGAAAATGTTATCATGGATCCATGTTATCTAGCTTCCCTACCAGTATTGTTCAGAACCGGTACGAACCAGAACACAATCCCCCCCCCTCACTAATGACGGAACACCTTTCAGAACACATTTTTCTGCAACCACGTGTTCACGGAAGGTAAGATTTCTTCATGTAAGACGTTAAAATGTTTTTCAATGCTACAAATTTACTAAGTGATTCCGAATTGTTCAGCATATGTGGCAAGGTCATTTAGCACTCAAAACCGAATTAAGACAAAATATCGTATACAAATGACTGATAAACATTTGAGCAACCTAATGAGAAAACCTGATGAAAAAGTAGATATAGAACGTTTTCCATATTATACCTGCCAACTCTTCCGGATTTTCCGGAAGATTTTATTTTCACATTTAAAGTGGTAGCAATACTCAGGTTATTCCAATTAATTTCTTTAATTATAATGATAATTATAAATGAGTGTGACCACCACTATATATAAATAATTACAATAAATATATAAAAGCATAATAATCCTAGCGCAAGCGAATTTCAACGGAATCAAAATAGTATAAATATATTTTTGAGTCAGATTGCTTTTCGTTTATTGTTTTACAACCACTCTGAAAATGCATTCTCGGAAAGAGTGAAAGTTGGCAGGTATGCCATATGATGATGCAGTAAAAATATTCAATGCTTTAAAAATTAGAAAATGTTAAAAATGTATTATAATTTAAGAAATATTTTTTTTCCAAGTCTATTCGCGTTTTTTTAATTTTTAGAAATCTCACTTAACTTTTTGAGATCTCACCCTGTTTTTGAGAAAGGGTGAGAAATTCTCTCTCATTTTTTTTCTGTAATGAAAACACTGATAATACTATTTTTTTTAACCACATATCCAATAATTAGGGAAAACTTCCATTTAGAAATATCTATTACGTTTAGTTTCTGGAAGTAACATAAATAAATTTTTTTAAAACGATTTTTCAATACTGTCGGAACATTTGTACTGCCCAGAAAACTGGTATGGTTCCTTAATTGGCAATTACCTTTGAGTTATTTATTTATTCATTATTTAAAAAATACTTGCTTGATATATCATTTTTTTAAATATTATTCTTTACTATTATTATGTTTTTATTTTTATTCTAATTTAAAGGCTTAAACTAAAAGGGGTATTCGTTTTTTATTAAGTAATTATGTAATATTACTGTATTATGAAACACATTTTCAAAAACTTATCGAAAATTTTATGAAAAATGTACTGAAGCCCATTTGTTACTTAACGTTTTTGCAATTATTAAAAAAAGTAAATAATTTATACTTACTTTTTAAGCTTTATATAAATACCATTTACGATTGAGATTTGTAAAAAAAAAGAAAGAAAAAGAACTATAAACTGTTATTTGAAGTTAATTTTTAAAAATATTACTAAACAATCTGGATAAAACCTTTAATTAATTTATAATAACTAAAAGTTAAATTGAAACTACAAATTTTTTTTATTTTGTTGCAATGATATCCTAACAAAATGAATAAGTGTTATTCGGATAGACTCTGGAACTAAACTTGTGTCAATGAAGTAATATTTAGCTATCTTTTAATTAGGCAATTTTTTTTTATGTAACCAACAGTTTGTTGTCAAGAAATAAAAATAATTGCGTAGCAATCTTTAAAAAATATTACATTCTACTAGCAAAGCAAGTTATGAATAAAAGTCTGTAAAAAATTTCATGAACGTTTTTCATTAAAAAAAATTTATTTTTATTTTTTTTTGAAATTTTAATAAGTGATGAAATCTAATAAAAGCCAGGCTTTTAATTTAAAAAAAAAGAAAAAAAGATTTAGCAAACCTTGGTTTGAAGTCTTAGCATTTTATCAAAGCACAATGAACCAGAGAAAACAAATAAAATTAAAATATTTTCTTACAAATGACACATTAATCATTATTATTCTAATACTGTTACTAATCTAGACATCTTTAATGATTAATTTTGCAGTAAATAAAAGCACTCTTTAAAACTGAGCTAATAGTTTTGACAAAAATGTATAAATATATTTTTTTGAAGATACTTTAAAACTTTTTATGTCTTTATAATTAAAAAAAAAATTTTTTACTTTTCATAGCTAAAAAAAATAAATAATAATCTGTGAATAAAATTGTCTATCAGTAAATTTAAAATTAATTTTTATTAAAAAGTGTGTTTCTTACTTGTTTACTCAGTAAATTCTATTTCCTACCTGTCTGGTTAAAGTTCTCTTACTGTTGGGCCTACCATAGAAGATTTTTCTATTTTCATTCTTTGTGTAAACTTATACAGAAGCTACCAACCGTAACAAATGCTATTGAACACTGAAGTAAATAAAATAAAAAAATAATTATAATGTCCTCTATTAGCAGATTCTCCATATCATAGCAAAGTTTTACATAATCATTCTACAAGTCATTCTAAATTTCTTTTAGAATTTTTAAAATTTAGCTTTAGTTTAAATTTTTTTTAAAAAGCTTTGTTTAGATGCCCAGTGGCTGAGTGGTAGCGCTTCGCACTCCCGTGCCACAGGTCCTGGGTTAGATCCTCTGGCCGGGCATGGTTGACTCAGCCTTTCATCCCTTCAATGTATCGATAAATGAGTACCAAGCATGCTTGGGAACTAGACACTGGGGGTTTTTTGTTTGGCTGACCACCTACCTGGAACATCTGCTTATGCAACCCAGAGCCCAAGGACAAGAAAACTGAGATAGGCACAGTAGGCCTTGGCCCTCTATGAGCTGTTGCGCTACTGAGTTTAGTTTTTTTTTTTTAGTTTAAAAAAAAATCCGAAAATAAAAGCGTGTCTTTATTTATATAGAAGCACAAAGAATTTCGTTACAACTATATCTTGTAAAATATTTGTAATGTAGAAAATTATAGGATTTTGATATTGTTTTGAAGAATATTATAATACCTGACAGGGTCCTAAATCCAAATTTTACCAAAACTAGGCAAAAACAAAATTTTTGCTGGATTTCCGTTGCTGGCTGGGTAAAAGATTCAAATTTTCACCAGGTATCCTTACTTGATACATCTCTGGTTTAAAATAATTGGACTTAAAGAAGGCGAAACAGCAAGCACAAATGAAAGTACTATGTGCTTTATTAAATTTTTTTTTTTTCTTGCTTTAGTCTACATAGCACATAGCTTTTGTTGGACAATTAACCTTATTTAATCATTGTTCCGTATGAGACCAAGCTCTACTGACTGTGTTATTTTGCACAATAGTGTGTTTCAAAACTGTAGTTTATAAAGCCAACAATTTATATTAAAAATGTTGCATTTTATTTTTCAGCATGTTGATGAAGATAATGCATATGTGTGTGGTTATTTAAAAATTAAAGGGCTCACTGAAGAGTACCCTACTCTAACAACATTTTTCGATGGAGAGATAATTGGTAAAAAATATCCCTTTTTAACTAGGAAGTGGGATGCAGATGAAGAAGTCGATAAAAAACATTGGGTATGTTTCTCCTCTTTCCTTTGTCAGATATTTGAGTTTCTTATTATTTTCATAAGATTAATTTTTAAAAATTGTTTATGTTCATGAAATTTCCGTTTATGTTCAGGGGTCTGTTTAGAAACATTGACCCTTCATAAAAATGGACCCTTCACAAAAATATTTTGTGAAAGGTCCATTTTAACTTAAAAACGGACCCTTCACAAACCGATTTTTCTTTTAATTGAACCTTTCACAAATTTGTTTATCTTCATTATTGTTTTGCTAATCGAATAAACCCTTCCCAGGGTAGAAAACAAGAAAGATGGATGTAAACGAATTAAGTTTTGTCTTCAGCAGACGATTCTTCCATTATTCGTCCGAAATTAATATTATGTGTTCAGCAGTATAGACTCAATACCAAATATTTGTATGTTGCATCTCTAATTTAGAAGCAGCAATTGCTGTTTATTTTTGAAAATTTAAATTTTTTTATTATCATTTCACAGTGCCAAGCATAATCTTGTATCTATTTACAATTTAAAAACTCCTTGAAAAAGTTTTTTGCAAAAACTGGACCCTATTTGCACAAATTCATAAAAGCGCATCTTGGTTGAAAGAATGTGAGTAATTTTTTCACAATTTCACGAAAACCGGACTTTTCACATAATGTCTGGACAGACCCCTGATGTTCGATCAAGCTTTTTTTTCTATTTTATTAATTCATTTAAATGTAACTCTTGCAATTTTCAAATCAATCCAAGTTATGAATATTTTATTCCCTGGAATATTCAGTATTGTTGCAATTTCTTTAACCCCTTCCTTCTCGCTTCTGTGAAAATGACGGGGTGAGGTTTCGCCCTCTATTTCTCGCTCCCATGAAATTTCCAGGCTGGAGTGTTTAGTAGTAATGCGCCAATAAAAATAAAACTAATTCATTTCTTTTACCCGGAAAACATTTTATTTCTCATTTTACGCACTAGATGGCAGTACCAGGATATTTTTAAGGTAATTGTAGATAGTTAGTTTATTTTAAATTAGATGTCACCACTAATAAAAAAATAGGCACTTTTATAACCGTTTTCTTGAAAATTAACCGATTGTTAAGGGGTTAATGACGTTTATTTAAAAAATGTTTTATTCAATATGGCTCTTGCTGCAGTGAATAACTTATTTTTTTAGTTTTATTCACTAGCTATGTTATAGATACACTGCCCTACAAAGATGGAAGAGACACTTTCAGTTTTTGACATTTTTTAAGAAATACTCGGAGGATTATTTTATAACTTTAGAAATGTTTAGTTTATGCGATTTTTCAAACTTAGTAATAAAATTTAAAGCTTTCAGAGGTTTGAGGGACAGACAATAAATAATGAAAGAAAATAAGTTTTTTTGAACACCCTATGTCAGAAAATCAAGTTATAATCTTGTAACATGTATTAATTACTTAGTTTTTTATTTGCAATCGCCACATAAAATTTCCTAAGCCTAGCTTAAATATTTATGGACATTTTTTTAAAAAAACTAATTTTTCTGTTTTGCGATTTTTGCTATAATTTTAAAAATATTCAGTAAAGATGAACAAAAATTTTGTTTTACAATTTGAAAAAAGTTTATTTAAAACTACACAAGATACGAGTATTTAAAGTAGTTATTATGTAATGCGCAATCACGAAAAAATTTTCAAGATTTTTTTTCTTCATAATTTTGTATACTAATGAAAAAAAATCTTATAATATGTCAAAAACATAAAAAGTTTTGAGAAATTTTCTTTGTAGTTTTTGTATTTTTTAAAATAAATCTCAAAATAATCAGTGAGTTTTCTCAATTTTTTTTCTTTCTTTTTTTTTCTTCTTTTTTTTGTAGTAATGGGAGACACTACCTTTAACCGAACAGCAAGAAAAAAATAAAAATGTCTGGGAAACCCCTATAAAAAGTTCCATATTTCTATAAATATTTAAACTAGAATTATGAAACTTTATGCAGTTGTTGCAAATAACAATTAAAGTAATCAATGCAAATTACAAGCTTATTGCTTGATTTGTTTTGGTATAAGTTGTAAAATTTGTTAGTTGTAATTCGTAATTGTAGGGGTATGGAATCTCTTATAATGATTTGTAGCCTATAGCAGCACTTTATTTAGTAACACAGTTATAGGCTGTTTTATCAGTTTTATGGTTCCTTTTAATTAAAATTTACTTAAATGATTCATAAACTTAAAACAACAACAAACTTAATATGACTAGTCTTTACAATAAACACAACTGCTAATTAATTATAACTATGCTTTTCTCTAAATATTTTTTTCATATTCTTATAAAGTTAATGTACCTTATATATTTTAATCTTTTATATTATTGAATATTTAAAATAAAAATCAACTAAAGCTTATTTGTATTTTTCTAGAATAAATTTCACTCATTTTATCAATATGCAAAATGTTTCAATTCAGACTCATTTGATTATGATGAACTAAAGGATACAGATTATGTCTTCATGCGATGGAAAGTATGTATTGTTGAGTTTTACTATTTAATGCAGAGGCATAACTATTCTTGAACGAGTTGTCTTTTTTTAAAAAAATATTCTATACCATTCTTTAGTTTTGAAACTGTAAATAAGATAGAGATATACTGGGTCCTAAAATACAGTTCTTGATACACAAGAAAACTTGGATTTATTAAACGGCCAGTTTTAGGTACATGAGAAAATCTGGATTTATTATAATGCCAGTTCTGGATAGATGGCCTATTATAACATTTATGCATAACATTAACAATATAAAAATTGTATAATTTTTTATCAAATAAATATTTTGTATGATATAGTTCAAGAAAATTTATTGTGAGCCTGTATGAATAAAACATATGTTTTTATTTTTAGATTTTGTTAAATTTGGATTGACTGTTTGGAAGTAGAATGATTTATACAGTCAATTCGCTATAACTCGAAGTATGATAACTCAAATATTACTATAACTCAATTTTTTATGAAGTCCCGACCCTTTTATCTTCAATTTCAAGTTAATTATTCTCGATTACTCGAATTTTACTCCCTTTAACTCAATTTTTTTTGGATCTTTTGAAGCAAGAAAAAAAACCTAGGAGCTGATATCTTGTCCCTTCCTTTGCAACACACACACAATGTCTTTCGCACTCTTCATGGAGAAGCTAAAGCTATCCCTCTTGAAGTATGTGAACAGTGGTTAAATGAAACATTACCAAATTTACTTCAAGGATACAGTTAAAATGATGTTTTCAATATTAATTAAATGGATTTATTTTTTAAATGTCCTCCAAATAAGACTATGATGTTTAAAGATGAATACTGCTCAGGGGGTAAAATGAGCAAGGAACGTTTGACTGTCCTAGTTGGAGGAAATGCGTCTGTGACAGGGAAATTGCCCTTACTTGTTATCGGAAAATACCGAAATGCCCGATGTTTCAAGAATGTAAAAACGTATCCTTTGGATTGCAAGTCTAACAAAAAGTTTTGGATGACATCAGTATTATTTGAAGACTATGTAAGAAAATTGGATCGGAAATTCTTCGCTAAGAAAAGAAAACTGATACTCTTTATGGATAAATGCACAGCGCATAGTGATCTACCTAATTTGAAAGCAGTAAACTTGCAGTTTCTCCCTCCAAACACAACAGCAAAGTTGCAGCCGATGGACCTGGATATCATAAAGTGCTTCAAATAGTCTTATCGTAAATGGTTTGTCAGAAAAATTATCTTAATTATTATAAGCATTTAGAAGATTTGTAATTAATAAATAAGCTTTAATTAAATAATCCAACAATATTTTGAAAGTCCAAAACCGAAACTAACGGTAAGTCGAACTTCCGTTAAGTCGAAGTTTTTCGTCAGTCCTATCAGATTCGAGTTATCGCGAATTCACTGTATAAACCTCTGCTTTGTTGAAGTGAGGACACTAGCTGATAGTAATTAAATTTTTATGGCATTTATTAATGTAGCTTCTATTAAATGTATATTTTATTAAAATTATAATATATTAAATAAAAAATTTTTTGATTCTCAGGTAGAATTTTTTTTTATCTGTTAACTATAAATGTAAATTATGTGAAATGTAATCTACCTGAGTGTAATCTTATAAGCTTTTTGATACTCAGTGAGAAATCTTTTCATGTTACAAGTTTTGAACAGAAGATTAATTTAGTGATTTTGCTACCTTAATGTTATGATTCAATCTTTGTATCGTTGTAATTTTGAAATCCTAAAGAAAAAAAGTAACTACTAGATCGAGTAACAAAAAAGGGGCGTATTTGATTTTATGAAAAACTTTATCTATGAAATTCACGTGTATTTACATTGTGTGCAGAAAAAAAAACTTGAAAACATTCTGTGGTATTAGCCTCACTGTAAGGTTTTTACCCTGAGCGCTTGGATATTGAATATTTTGAGTTGTAGCACGTAAGAAACATGCTTTCTAATAAAAATTTACTTTAAATTTACCTTTGGCCAATTTTATTCTTACTTTCTTCTTTTCAATGTTAAGTTTAATTTATGTTGAAAATGTAATAAAATATATTATTATGAGTTTTTCGTTGAATTATTTCTCCTTAAGCTATTAATTAAGGAGAAAAAAATATTTTTATTTATTCTTTTAAATTTTAGTTATAATTTTACCTAGATAGTATTATTTTGCACCTAAGAATTATATCTGGAGTCTGTCTAGGTTTTTTTGATAGGTACCTATTTTATGCGAAGTAAGAGAATATTTTCAAAGATTGTCACTACAAATAAAAATCATTCGTGACTGGTAAATTTTTTAATATTATTCCCCTTATGTTCAAAAATAATTTTGCTAATGTGAAATTTTGGGCTTAAAATCGTATCCAAAAATAAAATCATTGTTCATAGTTAAATTTCAATTTAGTAAAAACCTGCATTTAATAGTACTAGCACTAAAAGGTATTTTTCATTATGAAAGCATTTTCGACTAGATCAGGAAAAGTTTCATCGAAGAAAAAAAAATTTTCATAAAAAATAAAGGTTTGTTAGAATAAATTTACAATAGTGTAAGATAATATTCGAATGTTTATAATAATCTTCGAATTTCGACTTCTTGTATAGTTTACAGAGGGAGAGTCATGTTGTTTCATTATAAAAATACTCAGTGGGAAAAAAAAGCTTGCTTTGATATGGCGTAAGCGACCAATTAGGCTTACCACATTACACTATCTGACCAAACACATGCTACCTTTTTTGTAGAAAACAGCTGGCAGAAAAGCTTTTCGTTTCCATAGATTGCAACAAAAATGGCAGTTGCATGAGGATTTTTTTTCTTTTTTAAGTATTTTGTGAAAATACCATTTTTCCTAAAGTTGAATTTGAGAAGGTACCGCTAATCGGTAGTAACTTTACCCTGGACAGACCCTTGTGTATGATTCCCCTAAGAGGCTTAAACTAATTTTTCACATCCCAACTACGCTTATTGACTTATTTGACCCATATAAGCAGAATCACTGGTTTTACTAACACGAGCCAAAGCCAAGTGACTCCTCTTACATAAATGGAGATTATTTAATGGTAGTTTTCTTTAAATAGTAATAAAAAAAGGTGTCATTAGCTTGAGGAACCTCATAATTGCTCCTTTTGTTTATTTAATTATATCTAGGTTATAGAGTTTATAATGCTCTGTAGAGTTTATTACTCAGAAAGTATTTGAATTAATTATATTTGTCAATTATTAAGGTTTTGTCTAATTAAAATCCTGAAAAGGCAAAGTTCCTAGAACTATTTGTCAACAATGGATGCTGATTGCGACATAATTTAATTGAAACTGGATATATATATTTAACAGGCTGGATTCTTTTCTCTGAAAGTTACTATTATTTTATAAATGCTATAGTGATACTTAGCTTGTTTATCATACAAATGATATCTTAGATAAAAAGAAGTGATTATTGCTTACTTAATTTGAGTTAAGTCTTAAAATGTTACTTTAAGCCTAAACTCAATGAAAGAAGTGTAAATATTTCAATATTCCATCTATAAATTAAAAAACAAACAAAAAAAAGTGCTTGGTTTAAGTATAGCGTGGCGATTATATTTATATTGTTATATGATGATATTTTTTTTATTAATAGGCCATTGTCTATTTTATTTTTTTTTTATTTTTGTCTGTTTTTTATATATATATATATATATTTATAGGAGCATTTTTTAGTCCCAGACCATACCATCAAAGATATAAATGGTGCATCCTTTGCTGGATTTTATTACATATGCTTCCAAAAATCTACTGCAGCTATTGAAGGTTATTATTATCACCGGAGTTCTGAATGGTAAATATTTACATTTTAACATGAACCTCTTTGTGAAATTCTATAAATTTGTGTATAGTCTTAAAGAAAGAAAAGCTGTAGATAGATATGAAATCAAAAATCGTTCTTAATTTTTAAAAGAAAAATTTAATGCTGAAAATATCAATTTACTTTATTTTTTTAAGAAAAGTGACTAAAATAGAATAAAGTTTATTAAAAACGCTGATAAAAAGAAAAATTAATAAAAAGCTTCATGGGTAAAAAGAAAATTACTTCTTAAAACTAATCTTAAATGTAGAAAACCACAGATATCTATGTAACGGGTAGTCTATAGTACCATAGAGAAGAAAAACGATAATAGAAGAATAAAGTCTATCAGAAATGCTACCTTAAAATACTGGGCAATAATAAAGGCAGAAATACAGCAAAAAAAAAAAAAAAAACTTTCTTAATTCTTCAAACAAAACATGTTGAAAAACAACAAAATTGATTCGCTTTAATGCAATTTTTAAATAAAATCTGCAGTACATAACTGGTAATTTACTATAAAGTAATCTAGCTTTAATTCTTTGAATTTTCTTTTTCCATCGTTTTCTAGGACATAAATTTACAAGTTTTAGAACTTAAATATGCTTAAAAACTATTCACTAACAATGTATATTTACAAATACCATTTTAGATTATTCTTTATTAAATCTATTCACGGCCGAATATTCGTCAAATGATGCATTACTTTTCATATTTCATGACTTTTAATTCTATTTTTTTTTTGTAGGTATCAATCATTGAATCTAACTCATGTGCCCGAACACAGTATACAAATATATGAATTCCGATAATCTGCCATTTGGTGACATGTTCATTTGCAGAATGTGGAGCGATTCTCATAACTGAACATTCAGTATTTGCAAATAAACTGAAAACATGATGTATATTGAATGTACTGTACATAAAAAGAAGAAAAAATTTAAAGAAAAAGTGATATTCATCTTTAGCAACTTACTCCACTACAATGAAGGCAATTTGCGAGCATCATATTTAGCAGAATTGAATTAAATACAAAACTAAAATTTTGATTTTTGTTTTATTCCCTAAATATGATAAATATAAGTACATCACTTGGTATTAAACTAGAATCTGGCGTGTGAAATTCTATCAGTTTGTGTTGCTAAGTTTGTTTGTTATTCTTAAATTTGTTGAGTTTATTATTTTATTTTGTATGCAATTTTTTTTTTTTAAATCTATTTTCCATGCCTGCCTTGAGATAAATAAATCCATGTATTAAATTAAATATTAATCATATCTTATTTTGCTTTTTTTAAAAATCTTTTGAATGAATTTCATATTGTTTAAAGAAGTATTTGCATATAAGAAAGTTAAAAATATCTATATACATTTTTAATTTTCTTCAATATTGCTTAAATGTTAAAGTAAAATATTGGCTTTAAAATTATTAAAATAACTGTTTGTATTGTTAACATAAATGGCTATCTCTTTATTCTTTCATTTGTTAGGAAGCTCAGACTGTTTATGCATTTTTTTAAACATTGCATAAATATATTTTAAAAATAATGAATAAAAAAATTTGGAGAAAGGAGTTGAACATCTATAAATGAAGCAAACATTCACACAATAGTATTATAGTATCAATATTAATGTATTTAATATTAAAAACAATTTTGGCAATTTAATTTTGTTACTTATCTTGTTCACAGAAAATGTGTCATTATTTTTACTTTTAAAATAAAAATGACTTTAACGTTTTCTAACACTTTAGATTAAAAGAAAATGTGCAAAGCTTGATTTCAAAATGTAATTCATTTTATTGAAATGAATATTTATTCCACATTCTTGAAGTCTTTATTTGAATTTTCCTTTATTTCTACAGATTTTACTATAAACTACTTCTTTTATGAAAAGCTTTTTAAAGATTAGGAAAAATCCCATTTCCCATCTTTCTTCTTGCGCATTTCTTTTTAAACTCTTTAACTAAGCCCCCCCCCCCCAGACACATTTTTTGTAACTTAATTTATTTGGTGGCAATATATATATATGTCATATAATATATAAGTCATCATTCAGCTAAACTGATAGTTATTCTTTGTGCAAGTAAATATAATAAAACAAAACTAATACTATGTGCCTACTAGTACTAGTTTGCCATACTTTTTACAGATTATAGTACTAGCTACAGAATTTATGGAAAATGTTTAAGGATTATGAAAAATCCAATTTTGTGATTTCCATTCTTTTTTATTTTCTTGTTCATTTACTATTTTATTACTACTCCTTATTTCTATTATAATCAATTATCTAATATTTTCTATTACTATTCTCTAACTACTCTTTGTTTCTTGCCACAGCAATCTATCTGATACTTTTATAAACTGATTATTAATCTTTATACAAGCAATTATATTAAAACGGATTTTATTGTTTAAAAAATGTGGGACATCAGTTAACTTCTTTGTTTTCATATTGTCATGAAAAGTACCACAGAAAATTAGCTCAATTATTATTGTGTAATATTGCTAAAGTTTAGCATCTCATTTATCGTCTTCAGACATGTTATTTCTAGATCTTTTTAAAACTTTGAACACAGCATGGGTTCGAATTCACTGGTATATAGATATGGAAAACTTCCATTTGATCTTGCTGTGTTGCATTAGAACTCGGAGAATTGATAAATTCTCTAGCAATCAGCAAGTTTAATAATCTCCATTGCCTTAATTTTTGTTCATAATGAGCAAGAATCACAATTATACTGGTTATTATTGAATTTCTTTTTTCAGGTTTTTTTTAAAAAATTAATCCATTTATTTTTGCACATTTTAATGCATTTGCTTATATTCCATATTTGTAGATCAAATTTATTGCTTTTCATGCAGTTTTTTTTTTTTTTTTTACTGATGTTTTATATATTTTTTCCTTTGTTTATAAAAATATTTGCAATTTCATCTATATGTATATTTATTGGTATTTAAAAGATTAAATGTAATATATAAATTTTGTTTCTTTATAGTATAAATGATTGTATTGCAAGGACAATTAGCAGTATTTTTTTTGTTTATAAGGACATTCATATTTTTATAATAGAAAGTTTTACTAATTTATTTACGTTGCTCTTAAAGATCATTTGGAGATTCTTCTCTTATTTTCCAACTACTCTCGTATTAATTAGTGTACCTTCATTGTTAGGAGTTGCTCTTAGTTAAAATATATAAATTCAAATTTTTGTTAAATACAAATTGAGAAAAAATATATTCTGGAAAAATAATCGCTCTATGTCAAAGTCACCAAAACATAATTTATAAAAAAAATTAAAACAATGTAATCAAATGAAAAAATGTAATTTTAAGTATGGAGTTTAAATTTAAAGTCATCAAGCCGTTATATTTTTTACTTGTTCGATTGACTTAACTTTTTAAAAAATGCTTTTTAAGTTTTATATACACAATTGACTATGAGGGGTTGATACTTTTCTTGCTCATAAACTTTTGGGTTTGTCTTTTAAAGTATTAAGGCACTTATAAGCAAATTAAATAACTAATTTTTAAAATCCTGGAATGCTCATAAAATTTTGGGTTTATTACGCCAGTTTTTAATCAAAATAACCTTTTTTTCCAAAATGTGGAACCTCATAATACACACTAAATAAATTATAAATTGTACTTTCAAAGTATGGTAGGTAAATATAACCCCTCATTATTCACTTGATATCATACCACTGTTTTATCGCAATTTTGATTTGTTTTGAATTTATGATATATTCTGCCATCTATGCTGATATAGCAAAATTATTGTAGCTTGTAAAATGTGTTAAGTTTTTATTGAATATTCCATTGTGTAAAGAAATTCATTTGATAGCGTTGCATTGATCACTCTTTCACTTGAAATGTTTTAGTGTGATGTTTGATAGTGATAGTTTTATTGTAAATCTGTAAATAATTGGATGCAAGAACTGAAGTTAAAAATCTTTATTAGAGGCATTTAAAATGGATATTTTACCAATTGTGAAAGAAATGTGCTTCTAACAATTGGTTAGCTTTTGTAACAAAAGTGATACAGAAATAAAATCTAATTTATTGAAAATATGTGTTTATGAAAATGATTGTTTGCATTTTCTTAATTTTTTATTTTAGTTTTAAAAAAAATACTCCATCTACTTTATAAGTATTTTGAAAAAGTAAAGTTAATAAAATATAGTGATTGGGTTATTCAATTATAAGAGGAGAATAAAATTTCAATTTATTAAAATGTTGACTAGCCTGCAAGAATTATTCTATGAGACAGTATAAAGTAAAAATGCCAGCAATGAGTTTTTATCTCAAAAATATTGAATATTGTTTAATATTGTTACTTTTAAAATGTATACTTTTTTCTTTCTTTCAAGATATTCTAATTTCTTGATTAAAATTTTTTTTAAGAGGACGCTTTACCGCGGAAGAAAGTTTTTGTCCCAAATTCGCTCTCTCCTTTTTTACTAATTTAAAAGAAAAAGTTCAGGCAAACCTAGATAAGTCGTGAAGTTTCAATTGCTGAAAGAAAAAATACTTCAAAATATTAAAATGCAAACAAATTATCAGAAGAGAAATCGTTCATTGCGTAATCCTAAGATATCATCTCATAAATTATTATTTTGGGCTATTTTAAAATTTTCTTTTCAGTATTTCTTCATGGCTTACTCTAGGTTTGTCTGAACACTATTTTTCTGCACTTTAACCCTTTTACTACTAACGGGACTCATTTGTCCCAACAAATGTTTAAAAATTATTAATGGACATACGTATCCACCATTAAGTACGACCGGGACATATATGTCCCAGCCTCTAAATTGATAACCGCTTGTCAGAAAAATCCCAAATACTAAATTTGCCTTCTTTGTGACCTATTTTGTCCTTTTGAATAATAAACGGGACAAAAAAATCCTTTTTTAAAATTTGTAGTCAAAGGGTTAAATTAGTAATGAAGAAGAAAGAGAATTTGCAACGAATTTTTTTTTCGAGGTATGGCAACCTCTTAAGATATTATATAATATTTCCCTGCTACAATTCTATTTTCATTGTCAATAAAATAATTTTACAAGTATTATAAATACTGAAACCATGATTTTTTTTAATTGTCTGATTTCTTTTTCTCCCCACCCCTTCGTTTTAGTAATTCTCATGGTACAGACTGATAATGTTTCATCAGTACTCACCAAAACAATGTGAAATTCATTTAAAACAGTTCTACATTTAGTTCAAACACATTAACTCGTAGTTTGATCATTTACCAGCTAATACGACTAATATTGCAAAATAATTTACCACAGTATTTTAATGTATTTAATATTTCCTTGCAATTTTAATCAAGCATTTACGAACAATTTTCTAGGGCAAAATTTCATTTCGCAAAATTTTGAAGCAACTTATAAAGTTATTTGAATTATCTTGAAACTACTTAAAAAATTATTTAAAATACCAGTCACCAAAATGCTAGCTGAGATTTAATTTTTGAACAGATTTCTTTTCTTTTTTTAAATATTTCTTTTTCTTCCCACATGTTATTAGATTTAATTAAGAACTAACTATAATACAAATATATTTACTTAAGTAATTTGTTTGCATAATTTTTTATCATTGCTTTATTTTAAAAAAAGTTAGCAATTTATATGCTTAAAAACATCATAACCTTTATAATTTAACGCAATTTATTTTGAAGCATTCACTATTTTATAAGTTAGCATGAAACATTTGGTTGCAATATATTTGTTCCTTTTATTTATTCTTTATTTTTTTTATGAATTTTGAAACCTAAGAGAAGAAATTAAAATAAAATATTAATTTGTTCCTTCATTTATTTTTCTATTAGATCTTATGATATTCTATAATTAAGTATTATTCATTATAGCCTTAACAAAGGTGAACTTATTTTTGAGTTTCATTGTTTATTAAGTTGTGTACAAAATATATGAAACCCTGATTACTGCAAAGGCAAACTAGGCCTAGAAATTTGTAAATAAAAGTTCTGTATAAATAGTGTGAAAAAAAAAGTTCCATAATGAAGTGGAAATGTATTAATTAGTATTTATTTTTTGAATGCTGGATCCTGATTTATAGTTTTAAATTTTTTTATAGTTATAAAGAAATAAGGTATTATTAAATAAATATTTTGGTAGAATATAATATTTTGAAAAATTGAATGGTTTTATGCTAGTCAACTGAAGCATTTATGCAAAGCGTTATGTAATTACTAGCTCCCTTTTGTTTTCAAATCCACTTATTTAATAAATTATCGCTTAAGTTATTAAAAAGGTTAAATAAAAATCAGCATATGAAATTGTTTAGTACATGGTAAAAGTTTTTTCTTTAATGAATTTTATTAAATACAGTCAAATCTCGAACTTGACAGGAGAAAAAATTAGAAATATGGGAAATCGCATGTTATCAATGGTAGAATAAAGAAAAATGCTCTTTACATACCTTATTTACTATTCCATACTTATTCTAAAAACACTTTTTACACTTTCACTTAAAAAAAGATTCAATTGTTGTTTGCTTCAGAGATGTGTAAGAAAGTTTGTCTATAACACTTTCTAAGTGAACTATAGCTTTAAATGTCTCCTCTGACATATTCGGCTGCCTCTCAATAAATCTCCCTACAGTGTCCACTGCAGAAAGTGCTTGTTTGTTAGTAACATTGGGCGGTAAATCTTCGATTTCTTCATCCTCTTCCGATAGTTCACAAGAAGCTTTCGTTTGAGCGATGATATCATTGTCATCCCACTGACCACACACTGTTACTGCATCACCTACATTTACAAAGTCATGAAATTCCATGTCATCAAGCTTCATGAGTCCGGTCAATCTGTTCACATCATTCCATGCCATGTCAGCCATTCTTAAAATTTTTTATTTTTTTTGGAATATTTTTTTAATTTTAGAAAAAAAATCTACATTATTTATGGAAAAAAAAATTCGTGAAATCAAGTTTTTTTTTAACATTGAGTGTATAAGGAAATTTTTTCTTTTCTTCCAGATATCGAAAAATTCGTGAAATTGAGCTTCGAGTTAGCGAGGTTCGACTGTATTATATTATTGATGTATATACTTAAATTCATGTTTTGAAATAAAACAGCTTGATTTTCAATTAAGCTTAATACAAAATGGGCTAAAAAGAGTTAAGCATCCATTAATATTGCCAGTTTGAATGGGTACCCTAAAATTATTGTTAGCCTTGGGCCCTATTTTTTCTTAGTTTGACCCTACAAGAGGTGCATTTTAATAGTCCAGTAGATGGCTGTCCACTAATAATAAAGAAAATTTTTTAATTAACTTAAATGAAAAAAAAAATTTAGTTATGCTCTAAATGGACACAAATTTATCCATTAACTAATGCAAATTTTAGAATTCTTAAAAGTTTTTATTTTTAAAACATGTAAAAACAAACTCTTTATATCATAAATTATCACTTTTTATTTATTTACAGTTTATAAAAATTAGATTATATACATTCATAGAATTTTCAGCCATCTTCTATACGCCAAGCAAGTACTCTATAATCACCTCCGCCTGTTACTAAAATTTTACCATCTGTTGATGCAGCTATGCAAGTCACAGGACCTAGATTTATGTAAAAAAATAACTAAACAATACTGAAAGATTATTTTAATTTCATAATTTTAATCTATAAGTTTATAATTTACAAGTTTAGAAACTTAATAAGAAATAAATTATCTATATGACAACCAATAATTTAAAATTTTCACTAATTGTACACAGGGCAACAATAATTGTACAAGGATCAGAAGAAAAAAATTTCACAATTAAGTTATTCACTTAAATATTTTTAAAATAAGACTTGGTAGATAGGAGAAAAATTGAACCAGTTCCTCTAGTAATTTTCTGTTTGAGGTGGTAATTTGCATTCCTCTCTTTGAATGAATAATGTTTGTTTAGACTTTAAAGCAACATGAAGATAATGTTGGTTAAAAGTTAACCGCAACATAAAAAGTAAAAATCATGCCTTTTCTATTTTAAAAATTAAATTAATAATTCATGTAAGGAAGTTGTTAATGAAATATATAATTTTTTTTTCCTAATTGAAAACCATTTTATTATAAAAGCATGACAGAAGTAATTAATATACTTTTCATACATTCAACCATAATTAGTCTTAAAACCACAAACATTTGAGTTCGTACTTAAAATATGCATTAACATAGTGGTTTTAAAACCTTTTGCCTCGCTAACCACTTTCTAAAATCCGAAAAAATAAGTGTCAAAACCCTATTGTAATTATCTTTAATAGGTAAAGCAAAAAACTTTATATATACATATATTATTGTTACAATGTAATTTATAAGAAGAAACAAAAAATATCTTAGTACAAAAATCTATATAATTAATATAATAACTGAAATGAATAAGAGACTGACTCGTAAAACCAATTCGCTTTATGTTAAATTTGAAAAACTCAAACTCTTGACGGAATATTTGTGGAAATTCAAAATTTAGCTTTATGTTTGACAGTTCTAGTCTTAGATCAGGTTCTGCATAAGTTTATGTTGAATTCTCAGATCATTATGTTATGCAAGAAAAATATTTTAATAATGACTTATTTGTTCCTGTCACTACATAGAATTACAAATAAACTAAAAAATTTAATGGCTTTTTAATTCCTGTCACTAGTAAAGTTACAAATTTACACAAAATCTTGTGCCGAAAAAAAATATGACTTGTTAATTCCTGTGTTGATTCCTGTCACAGAATTTTCCATCATCTCCAGACTTTTGAGAACTGCCCATTTAGTAGCATTGCAGTACATATGTAAGTAAATTTATAATTTTTTTCACGTTAGACATTTAATAATATTTTAGTGGACCACCAATTGCAAAACAATATCAATTGTTTTAAAATTCAGGAGCATCTTAGAAGTAGGAAATTCAACATGAAGCATTAGATTTTTCTCACAGATATGTACTGAATAACTAAATACCATTGACAATGAAAGATCTGTCAATAATTTAAGCTTGCAGGACATAAGATTCCACTGATTAAAGTTCATTTCTTATTATTTTTGCTCTAAATTCCTTTTGCAAACAATTCACAATTTATTTAACATTGTGGTCTTATTAAATTAAAAAATTTTTTACTTGATTTTACACAATAATTTAATAAAAGGAAGAAATGTGTTTAGATCTGCACTTGTGTTGCAAAGTTCTATGTGGCTGATGTACTGAAATGTTGTTTGGTGTTGCCTTTTGACATGAATTTAATATTATATATATATATAGTCGAACCTCGATTTTATGTACTTTAATTTAACGATTCATTGAATATTTTTTCTGTCTCAACAAAAATTATGTTAAAATGGTCTCATTTAACAAATTTTTAGCTTTGATTTAACAAACAACAATCACTGGAAAAAAATTCGCGCATAAAACTAAAACTTTGAATATTTTTTTCACACCCTAATCCAAGGGTGCAATTATATGTACGTACAATGTATTCAGTTTTAAAAGCAACTAGCATTAAAGAATATAACTTAACGTATAACTTATAGTTTTTAAGCTCGTAGTAAACTAATAACGTAGTATCTAAGGGTATTTTGCATTGATATTTTTATACCTTACTCTTTACAAAAATTGATATTCGATTTAACGAATGGATTTGTTGGCCCAAATGAATTCGTTTAATTGAGGTCCTCCTGTATATATATATGCAATAATGTTTAACCCCTATTTTTTGTGCAAAAAATATTTTTTCAACTTTTTTTCTCTCCATAGTATATATATATACAATATATATATATATAAAAATAAAAATCATTCTTGAAAAGTTTCCCGTTCATGTAAGTACATTTGAATTCGCTACATGCTTTATAAATGAAACTTATATTTCATCTATGTTTTATTCTGTTTTTTATTTTTATTTTATTTTCTGTTTTTACGTGTTATTTTGACTTTTTGTTTTCTATTTTATTTGTTGTAATTTCTGAAAAATTTTTTTTGAGTGCTCCTCACACTGTATTGATACAATATCAGAAAGCACTCTTTTTTGCGGATATAATCGTGTGGGCTGATGAAAAAATTATATCTTTTATTTTCCGGATTTTTAAAAAAAATTTTATCCTTTTTTTTTCTCCAGTTGTTTGATATTTTTTATTTCCTTTCTCCCCCCCCTTTTTTTTTCCATATGTCTGTAATTTTCCTTTGTTTTATCTTCATTTTGAACCTATCTATATANTATATAATAATAATTCCCCCCTCCCTTTTTTGGAGTAAATAATATTTTTTAAACTTTTTTTTTCATAGTACACATGCTCTACCTTTTGGAGAAACACAGGGAAATGTAATGCAGTTCACTAAATGCCCCACATAGCACATTTTGAGAAGATTTGTATTATCATTTAACATGCTACCATTAGCTCACTTATTTTTCATACAAAAACAACTAAAATCATACCTGTGTGTGCTGTTATGGTTTCTAATAACTCTGGATTCATAAGGTCCCATAAAAGAATTTTTCCAGATAATGTTCCAACAAATGCCGTACAACCATCCCATAAAATACACCTGAAACGAGAAGGATAAAAGTATTTCTATATTTTTTCAACTATAATTTGACTAAAATAATGTCTTATTATGCAACATACAAATTCGGTTAAAACTACATAGAGAAAGAAGTAAGATGTGTTATTTACTTGTTAAGTTTAAAGTTATTCCTTTTTTTCCAAAAAAAAAGATATATTTTAATTACCTAATGCCTTCTGCACATTCTGTACTATAGAGCAGTGTAGCAGTATTCACATCTATAACATTCAACACACCATCACTTCCACAAGTAACTATTTTCTGACCATCTGGGAAATCAAAAATTACATATTTGAGTAAAATTTTCTATAAATTGAACTATATCTAGAACTATTACAAGGTTGATATTATATTGATATATTATGTTTATATCTAGATATCTATATTTATAAAATCTAAATATTATGATATTGATGTATCTGGAACTATTGACAGAAATTACAGCAAATAATTACAAAATAGTTATGAAAAGGCAAGTTAACTCGTCACCAGTCAACAACGTGTTAAATTACAATTTAAACCATTTTACTTACCTGGACTAAATGGTACAGCATGAATTACATCTTTGTGAACTAGAAAAAAAAACAAGAATAAATATTAGTCTTTCTTCTCCAAAATACTATGTAAACTATCTTTAATATAAAATTTTTTTGCCTAACTTAAAAAATTATACCCGTATTAATTTTTTTAGATGTTTCAGAGGAAAAAATAATTGGCCAATTTTATATACAGTATGTTCTCGATATCTCAAAGTTGTTAAAAAAATTCGAGATATAGAGTTTTTGAGTTCCATACTAAACATGTTCTAAAAAGTCATACCTAAATCCATGATTTTTTTTAAAAAAAATAGTTAAAATCATGACATTTCATGACAAATTTTGTTCAATACTGAAATTCATGACTTCATAAAGTCATGAAATTCATAAAGTGTTAAAAAAATTCTATTTCTGGGCTTAAGAACAGGATATTGGACAGGATAAACACGAAACACTAATTTTTTTCTGTTAAGATTTTGTCATAGAAATTTAATATGTTAATTTAATAACATATAATATGTTTACATATGCATTTATACATTCTAAAACTAATTTTTTCACAATTACTTAACATGTTCTGATACTAAGTTTTTGAATTATGCAGTACTTACACAAATGACGACCTAATAAATAATATGTATCCATATCCCAAATGTACACTTCACCAGAATCAGTGCCTGTTACAAGAAGATGATTTTTGTCATTCAAACTTAAACAACAAACACTAGCTTCGTGATCTAATTCTGCCTAGTAAAAAGTCAAAATAAAAAAAAATTGTATTATAAATAATATTTTAGGGCATAAACTGACATATAATTTCCTTTTTTTACATAATGAATAGCATTTTTTTTGTTTACTAGAAGATGTACTATTGTACTATCCTTTTTATACCAAATCATACAATTGTACTTTTCTTTTCACTACAAAATGTGTCATTTTATTTAAGATGACAATGTTTATTGTTAAACATTTCATGACAGTTTCACAGCATTTATAATAATTATTTTTTAACAATGCATATTTTTGAGTGATTCAATTTTTTTTATTCCCTTATGAATTTAATTAAACAGAGTTTACTAAGGCAATGGAAATATTTTAAAGAAGATGAAACATTTTAACAACATAACATATTCATTGAAACACAAAAGCTGTGGCTATTAACTATCAAGACTGATCTAAGTAGCTAATTAAGTTATATAAGCTAAAATTAATATTGATAATTTTTTTACTATAATCGAAATTGCTTTGACTATCCAAATACAGTCGAACTCGTTTATAACGAGCTCGGATTTAACGAGAACTCGGATTTACCGAGGGAAACGAGAATATTTGGTTGGATCAATGTTAAGTCTATGGAACAAAAGTCGCTTTTAACGAGCAAGACCCGGTTTTAGCGAGCAATATTTTTCTGTTTTGCAACCTTTTTTCTCATCTTTCTAGTCTTTCTGTCTTATATTTTTTTCAAAATGGTAAAAAATGCGCGAGAAATCGAAAAAAAAAACCGCGAACTGAAACTTAATTGCACTTATTGCTCTAATCTAAAACTTTATCGGTTAACGAAAAAGTTAAAATTTTACCGGAGTTGGATGACGGTGTTAAAAATATCGAAATCTGCAAAAGGTATGGATTGTCTTCATCTACTGTTTCCACACTGCTAAGAAACAAAGCCAAGTTAATGGATGCATACGACCAAAATAAAACAGACTGTAAGCGACTGAGGAAGTGTTCGAAAGAGGATTTGGACGAAGCGTTATTGAAATAGATGAAGGTGCAATGTAGTGCTGATTTACCTGTGAGTGGACCTATTCTAAAAGTGCAAGCAGAAAAATTTGCTGAACACTTTGGATATTCTGAGTTCGTTTGGTTAGTTATCATTAAATTAAGTAAAGTATTTAATTAAATTAATTAATGTAATTAAAGTAAGTAAGTATTAATTAAATTTTAAGTAAACTCAATCATTTGACCTCCCTCTTCTGGTTGCACACCTGCCTTAAGGACCCGTTTATTACGAGCACTCGGATTTAACGAGTACATGTTACGGTCCCTTTGTGCTCGTTATAAACGAGTTCGACNATATACCGATTTTTAAAACCATCTATAGAAACTACTTTAATGTGCTCGAATGGCAGGTTAGACAGGTTTAAAAAGCGGAATAACAGAAATTCAGGAAAAATTATCTGAGAGTCGGGAAGTGCTTCCATATCTGATGTTGAGAATTGCTCATCAGCTAAAGATTACAAATCTTTTTTTTGTACGCAAGACGAAGAGTGATGAAAAATAACACATTTTCTGCTACTACATAATATTTTTCAGTCATTTATTTGAATAATGTGTATATGTTATATGAATATAATGTAATAAAAGGGAGGAGTTTGGGAACCATTAGTGAAATTGCCTGCGTAACGGATATAGTGAACTCCCGGTTATAGTGAACCGAAATTTCGGTCCCTTGAAGGTTCACTATAGCGGGGTTTGACTGTATATATATATATATATATATATATAAATTTTGAATTACTAAATAATTAATGTGGCACTGACCTTTAGATCAAATGATGGCTTCATTCCCTCACTTGATTCATATAACCAGACCTAAAAAGAAAAACAGCTTTTGACACAACTAAACAGATTGAACTCTAAAATGGTCGAATCTTCAGGTAAGATCTTTAACAATGGTAACAGTATCAATATTGTATCGATAAATATCTGTTAACATTAAGCTATTTTTCAAAATTCCGAGTTACTTTCTTATGAACGAAAATCAGTTTCTTTCTTTACCATCTTAAAAGGATTTAGTAAAATAAAAATAAAAAATTACTTTAAATATATCTTTATACAAAATAAAAAGTATTCCATCAAAATTTAAGTTACTAAAGTATTTTCATTAGCTTGAATATTTTTTTTTTCTTTTTTGATTCAAAATTATTATTAACTTTGCACATTTCACTTCCATTTTTTTACAAACTTAAACTGATAAATGCATATTTTATAATACAAACCATCAAAACATATTTATTTATAACTAATTTAGAAAATAGAGCAATGTATTTTCACTATTTTGTAAGGAATTTCCAGAAATATACTAACATTTTTAGTATTTACAATTTTTTTTGTGGACTAGTCTTTAAAGCTAAAATTAAGAATCCCATTGTTGGTCAGTTATCACAGTGCCTAATTTAACAGAAAATTAAAATTAAAAATTTTGTAATTTTCGTTTGATTTTATGTAGTAAAATTTTCATGAGAAATTGTTTAGAATGAGAATTTCTCTGTTATACAAACTGTTATATTTAATGTGTTACTTATCAACGTTGATATAATTGTGATGAGATTCTTACCTTTGCAGTTGAATCTAAAGAAGCAGTGACAAGGATACCATTCATAAAACTAAGATCTGTAACTGAATAAAATTTATAATTAATGCATTTTGGTAATTATCTAATCGCAGGAAGTAGGAACACATAAGCCTAACATTGATTGTATTTTAATGTTATTTTATGAAATCTGTAATTTTCTTACTACTGTAACTTAGATAACAATTATTTGATGTTCTAAACAATATTTTGAAATCAAAGTATTGCTGAATGAGGAATATATTAATAAAAATTTTTAGATGTCAAAATACTAAAAATTTTTTTTTAACATGTCTAGAAAATTAATTTTCTTATTTAAATAATTTATTTTGGCAGTGTCTCAAACACTACAAAAACTAAAAATCTATTTTTGCAGTAAATTGTATTACATGGAAAAATTAAAATCAATCTTTTTTTTAATTCAAGCTAGAAAACTCTAAAAGTTCTAATTTCGAAAATGTAGTTAACCTATACATTTTCAATTGAAACAAGCTCAACTTTTATAAAAATAAACAAATTTTTAAAAAAGTTTTAAGCAATGACGAGTTTTTTCAGTCACGTACGTTAATAAACAATCAACTTAATTATTTTTAAGTCAGATCTACAAATGATGAAGATTACAATTCAGTCTATTAAATAATATGGATAAACCATAAGTTTTTTAGAGTGACATTATAATGAAATTTTAAAATCAAATGAGTAAACTAACATTCAACCATTAAGTCAATAAGCTTTATTTTATTCTTTTTTTTTTTAAATTCTTTTATTGTACAATTGTGGGGATTGTAAAGATTTTAGAGAGCATGAAGTAAAATAAGCTTTTCTGAATATTATTATAATAATGAAAGTTAATTTTATCCTTTTTATTTCAACTTTTTAGTTAAATGTGGACAAATAATAATTTAATGTTAACAGAACAGAAATTAAATTTTCTCTAAACAAGTTCAAATAAATAAATAAATTTCAAACTTAAAAAATTTAGTTTCAGACATTATTAGGCTACATATTTAAAAAATAAAAAATTAAAAAAAAAAACTTTAAAATGAATAGAAACAATAGAAAAATGCCTTCTTAAAACTGTGGTCACGATGAATAAATTTTTTCTATTTACAGTAAACCATAATATTTTCTTAACTCAGATATTTGAATGCTTCCAAAATGACATTCAACATATTTTTCCACCAAAATCAAATGATCATCCACTTATCTAAGTCTTCCACCAAATCCCATTAGAAAGCAAAGAACATCACTTTCAATTGAAAAGCAGCTTCTTTAAACCCAAACTAGAATAAATATAATGTTTCCTACACACAGCATACTATAATATGTTTTTAAACATAGATATTTGAATGATTTCAAAATGTTATTTAACATGTTCACTAAACTGAAATGATCTTCGACTTATCTAAATCGTTCACTAAATCACCAGAATAAATATGTTTCCTACTTACAGCTAACTACTATATCATGCTCCTAAGCCTAAAGATTTCAGTTCTTACTATTATTTAACTATTATTTAACAAATTCTGCAACTAAAATCTTCAATTATAATATATAATTAAGCAAATACCAGAATCATTATATTTTCAAAGTAAACTGCAGTACTTAAGGAAGTACTTTTGTTAAACAATGCTACAAATAATATTTTATCACAAATGATGTTTGATTAACAAGACATACCTACCAGAATCATCATGAGCCATTGTTGTTGCTAAGAGTTTTCCATATTCTACATTATACAAGTATCTAAAAAATGTATAAAATTATTTTTGATATAATGTATCTAAAGAATTAATAATTTATTATCATTTAGTGAAAATGAAATTGGTAATAATAATTTAAAAATAGAAAGCGTGTTGTGATAAAAAATCACAACAATCTACAAATCACTATAATATAACATTATATATATATATATATATATATAAAACTGGATGTGGANTATATATATAAAAAGTACTGTAATCAAAATCAAATAAACAATTCTCAAATAATTGTAAAGATTTTACACCTAATTACTTGTGAGATTTAAGTTTTTGTTTGGCATGCACTAACAATAGCTTAAAAAGCTATTTAAATAAACTTTATGGTAGTGTCTAAAGTGGGCAACTGTACTGTGGGGGGTACGCAGAAAATTTTAGGGGTATGCCACATTTCTCATCAAAATACTTTATGCCCTCAGATGTGCCCAAAATAATAGAAAAACAAAATTAGGGCAAATTTTTTTCAATGAATATCACTGTATTATAACAATAACAGTACTAATATGCTCCTACAAATACTCCAATCTACATTTTGTTTCAATTAGCGTTATTTTTGTTTTAACTCTACTTAAAAATGACCGTTAGGTATTTGTGGTTATATATATAAATATATATATATTAGATGTACAATATTACAGATATATGTTAGATATACCATATTACGATATATATATTCTTCTCTACTTTTAATTACATTTTTTTAGAGTCAATAAAAATTAAGAATAATAATACATTGCAAGCGATGTAAAAACTTACATGTAATTGTCCCAGGAACCTACAATAACAGTTCTGTCATCTGCCATTAAAGAACAAGATGATAAAGCCTAAAATTATAAAAAATAAATTTTTATACAATTGCGCAGAAAAACTTTTATCTGATTTTTTTTAATTGATGGAGCTAAACAATTCCTTTTTCAATACATAGAATATTAAAAAAAATATTAATAAAATAAAGAAAATTTTTCTGAAAAAATTCTACATCTAACATAAGATAGTGAAGAAACTTACCATATTGTAAACTTTAATGCTTCTCAATTGTTTTTTTTCTTCCAGTGAATACATTTTCAAAAGTCCATCTGTCAAATGAAAAATAAATAAATAAAGACATATTTTCATTACTAAACCAGTTTTTGGTGAAAAATTTCATTAACAAAAAGAACTTAGTGCAAGTCTAAGAGACTTTTCTTCTTTGCACTTATAATACAGCCAGTTAGATTAATAAGACAGGAGGCGCTTCGCGCTTTTGTACCACAGGTCTGGGATTCTATCCTTGGACTGGGCAAGGGTGACTCAGCCTTCCACCCCTTCACATTGGGGGTTCCACGTTCAGTTAACCACCCAACTGGAACATCTACTCCAGCATCCCAGAGCCCAAGGTCAAGAAAACTGGGATGAGCACAGTGTCACTGAGTTTATTTTAGACAGATTAATAAGTAATATTTTTGCTTTTTCTATTAATAAATATTTTTTTTTTAAATTCTGCATAAGCTATAAGATTTTGATGATAATAACAAGACACAAACATTAACAAACCCAGCTTTTAATGAAAAGAATTATAACCAATCTAAATTTGTAGTTAAATTATTCTTTTTTAATATAATTATTATGCATTGTTATAAAGTTTGTGTTATGTTTTGTCAGTCTCAGCGAATTTCGCATTATTTTTCTACCAGAATTTCTCACATATAGACCAGATACTCAAATAAAACTTTTATAAAAATTATAAATAAAGAAATAGTCTAATCGCAAATAACAAACAACAAAATATATAAAATATACATTTCATTAAATACAAAATAAAATAATGTATCTTAATAAAATTGGATTTTTTATTGAGATTCAAGTTTTATGTTTCATCAATTTTCATTGTTTCTACATTAGATTTCTTACATACAGAGCCATGTAAATAGTAATCAATTGATACTTAACAAAAATGAGAAAAAAATTAGCAAAAAGCATCACATTTACAAAAAGTAAACAATTAGATAGTACACCTAATATACAAAGTAAAAGAATGTAGTGTAATTTAGAGTTGATTTGTTCTTTTTAAATACAATTGTTGAATATTGTTATAAGTATCACAATTTGAAGATTTCTGAAAATTCATTAGGCACTTTTATATCAAAATAATATCAATCGACTTTTATAGAAAAATAATATTGATATAATATAAAAATAATATTATCGATAAAAAAAATACTCAATAAATAAGTATTTTATTCCTACCTTTTGAAACAGAAAATATAAACTTCTTGTCTTTTGTGATGCATATATCAGTGATAACCCTGTAAAATAATATGCAAGAATTTATGAAAGAAATTTATTGACAAAATAAATTGATTTTTTTGTAAAAGTAGTATTTCATATATAAGGAGTAAGAAGTAAGTTGACAATAAAGCAACTGCATAAAATAAAAATACAACTAACTCTCTGTGAAATTTGCACTCCAAATTCAGAGTAAGTTTAGAAATGTTTTTGTTCCATCTCAAGAAAGAATGTTCAGATCTTGTACTTGTATTTGAGGTACCTAAAAATCAAAAATAAATTAAGCATGCAACTAAAATAATATTAATTTTGAAATCTAATTTACCATTTAAAAAAAAAACTTAAATTAATGTGTTTTTCTCCCTTTTAATTTTTCATCTCTGATACAATTAGAGCAATTATTTAAAAACATCTTTAAAAAATCCAAAAACTTTATAAGTTCCACTTCTTTTCTATTACCAATTAAAATTTTAGCATATCTTTCTCTAAATATGTTTGAAAATCAGTAACAAAAAAACAACTAGATTATCCATGCAGCCAACAAATTCTTTACATTTCAAAAACAAAACCATTACCGAATATAGCAAAAATTAACCTATTAATCTTCCTAAATGTTTTTTTTACTCAAAATTTAAATTTTTAGAATTTGAAATCTATCATGACTAATGCATCATATAAAATTCTTAAAAATTTACTAAATATTTAAAACTTTCCTATCAGCAATTTTGGAACATGAACTAGAGCTAAACAAAGCACAGTTGACAATTGTACATTGTTTTATAGAATAATGAATACAGACAAACGTTGATATCACAAAAAGAATAAAAAATGTAGAAAATTACTATATTTTTTAAATTGTAGAAAAAGTCATTGTTTTATTTTTAAAATAATACAGCATATCTTGACTTAAAAATATTACAATAATATTTATTAATTTATTATTAATTTGTTACAAATTATTTACTCATATCTGTAGTCTTTCAATACTTCTTCTCTTGTAATGATACTTCCCAAACATAGCCTTAAATATTTTATGTTTTATTGCAGACATATTTTGCAATGTTCACTGTTAATTGAAAAAAAAATCACATATGGCTATCTCAGGGGACCCTCTTACACACAATTGGTACTGTAGAAAATTCTCTTGGGTACCCTGCTTTTTGAGGGACTTCCATATCACGCTTTGTCAATGGTCACTTGAGGTATCGCTCATATGTACAGGGACAAAAAGCTTTTAGTATTTGCAGAGATTGTGAGATTACTACGACACAACCGCACCACATTTTAACCTGCATTAATTTTAAGTTGGACGATATTTTTTTCAAAACCTCCTTTGTTTTTAGACTCCTTGGAAGTTTATGGACTTATGGAATTGGTCTAGTCAAATTGGCCACTTGAAAACAACAACGCACTCCAATTTTTGACTGTTAGATTCTCTACAATTTAGAGGATTTGCATGTCAAAATCCTCAGCACGTGGCTCATAATAGATGCGAGGTGCCTGCAAAACCTTGTGTACTTAGTCTAAAAGGTTATCAAATTCAGAGCTGTAATTACACAATATTAAATTACGCTTTTCATAATTTCTCTACAGGTGGTTAATTTTATTTCTGGTGAACATCGTACTTTGTTGTATTAAGGTAAAATAAATAATTACTTCTTTCTTTATTTGAGTTCAATAATTTTTCAAGAGATTCAGGCATGTTATCATCTAAGGCAGACAGAATTCTCCTTTGAGGATGTGGTTTAATAAAAAGTTGTCTAGGAATTTGTCCAAATTCCATGATTTGCACTTCCAGTGAATATCTTTCATTGATGTCTTTAATGCTGCAAATAAAATTAATACAATAAAAAAATTATTTTAAAGAAAAAAAAAGAAATAGCACTAGCTACAGCTTAGTTAACTTTAAAGACACTGCAATTTTCTTAATCAGTTGCTTCTTTAAACATTTAAGAATTACTGTTAAAACGAGCATTCAAAACTAAACTAGAGTTCTTAATTAAGCTTTAAAAAAAATTCCTTTTATTAACTTATGATTTTCATGGTCTAAAATTATATATAAAAGTAAAGTGCACTAAAAAATAATTATAACCCATTGGACAGTTTTGTTATTGTATTCAAATATTTGATTGTATTAGAAAATAGTCAAAAACACTAAAGAAACACATAAGTATCTAAATATTTTATAATGTAATAGAATATTAAAACAACTTTGGAAGTAGCATAAATAAAAGGAAAAAATGTAATTTCTATAAATGGAAATTTTTTTAGTGTGTCTGAATTTTATAAAATTATTTTATCTTTCATGAAATTAAACATAAATAATAAAAGAAGTCATACCTATCCAAATCAACAGCTCCTTCATAAGTTAAATAATAAAAAACTGAAAAATAAGAATAAGTTAGAGTAAGATAGTTTGACAAAATTTCCAAAACTGAAAATTATAAACAAATGCTAGAAAAAAGAAACTAACTATACTACAAATGTTCAAAATTTCTAGAAGCCACAACCAATTTTTAAGAGCCAGCATATTATGAGAAAGGAGCATATCCCCATTTTTATATTTTAAAATTACATTAAGACAATTATTATATTTACTTTAATATCGCATAGAAAAAATGAAGTTGTCAAAATTGTGTTTGATTTTAAACATATTTAGTTTAGTTGTATTGACAATGATGCTTAATTAATTTTGGTAATAGGCACTACTGCTATCAAGGCAATTTGTGTAAAATTTGTATTAAGGTACCTATTACATCTGCAATGTTAATACAAAAACAATTGGAAGAGGTTTTTTTAGCAGTCCTTTGTAAGAGATAAATACCAGAAAAAATAGTTTAATTCTGGTAAATTTTTACTATCATGAGTTAACCTTGAGCAACAGCATCATGCCAAATGTGCAGGTTTTGCTTAATCTAATAACGTACAGTCATTGGGAAAGTGAAAATATAATAAATAAACTTAAATGGAATTATTTTAGCTTTACCAATTGTGTTGATACATTTCTCAGTTTCGCACATGATTTCATAGTGTTGTTTAATACTGATTTATTCATTATTTACTTTTTTTCACCCCGTATGAAAAACGAGTATTCAGCTAGTACACAATAAAACCATAAATAAAAATATATGCACAAAAACAAAATTTTTTTATTGCTAAATTTTTTTATTTTAATATTAAAGCTTACACTTACATATAAAGTTTTTGCAGTGATGCTCAATCAGATTTAAAAATAACATTTTTAAAGCAAGGAAAAAATCTGTAATATTTTGTAACCCAAGCAAAATTACCATTGTCAGCTTTACTTGCTTCTTCTCCTCTTTGTTTATAACCAAAGATTAAATCTATCCAATGATTTAAGCTGTTTGACACATAATCTGATTCAAGAGCATCTCGTAAGATCTTCACACATTCAACAGGATCTAAAAATGAGTTACGCAGTAAGAAATGATTTTTTTAAAAATAATAATTGTCTCAAAACAGAAAGGGTATAAACAAAAAAACAATATTTTTGAATTTATTATCTTTAAAAACACTTAAAACAATTTAAAATGTGAAATGGTGCATATTTCACTCAGAAAAAAGCTTTACAGAAAATGGTCTGAAATAAAGAGGGGCCACTGTCTCCAATTTAATTTAACCAGCTATGCACAAAGGTGGAAAAACAAAATAAATAATGAAGAAAACCTGATGTTTGCTCCAAGTTTACTTTAATTCCGTGTTAACATTCATTTCAATTTACTATTTTAAATTTAAGTTTAAAATTAGTGTGGCAACTTACACAATACTAGGTTAATAAGTCAGGTGGGTTAAGCGTAATATTTAGGTTAAGTGGAATATTTAGGTAATTTTGAAGGAAAATAATACTAAGTATATAAATAGGTGCTCCACGCATAAATTTATCACTTTGAGTGAATAAATAGGTGTGAAATAAGAAAATGCAGAAATACTAGAGGAAATAGTAAAGTTTAATATAGTTTATTATTTGATAAATTAAATTGAAAGAGTTAGCAAAAATAAAGAATGATTTTAAAAAAGCATTTACTCCAAAGGCAATGGTTAATTACTTCACTCTTGCTTTGACTTCAAAATAACAAAAAAGGTTCAAGTATAAAATTTCAATTTAATAATTAAGTTGATAGTGGCCAATTCATAATATCTCATCAAAATGTAGAACATTTTATAATAAAAGTGTATTCAACTTTCATATTTTCTTAAGAAAAGGATTGAAAAGTAAAAGGATTTATTGGAAATAGTGTGTTGAAATTAATACAGGTGGCATCCAAGTTTTAGATCTAGAGCGGTTTTTAGATATACATAAAATAACGCAATTTTTATGATTAAAACATTTTTGAGTAAAATTAGTTTACTAAAAATCAACCTCATGCAAAAATACTATGAATAATAAAAAATGCAATAGTTCACACATAAAAATAATAATAAGGATTATAGAAAAATATTTCCTTTTGGAATTTAAATATAAAAAAATCACAGTTAAAGTCAAAATACAACAAATTCATTAGCAATTTTTTTCCAGTTAACTGTATTTATAAAATCAAATAATCCCACTTTGAGGAAGGAGGAAATAATTGCAATTTTTTAAAATTTAATAGTGATGTTTACAAATCAAATAATCACACTAAGAAGAAGATAACAATTTTCTATAAAATTTTATGAAAAATTGATTTTATTTTTTAAAATGATTTAAAATGAAAAAAAAAACAAGTTAAAAAGTATAATAATGATGCAAATAAATATTAACTTTAACTGTTACTTCAGTCACTTAAGAAATAAAAATTAAATTTAAATATGAGAACAAGCTGTAAACATTACCTTTAGCCCAAGCGGGTAGTTCAACATCTCCAACTTTAACCCCATTCATTCGAGTTCCGAAGTCTAAACTCTATAATTTAAAATAAATCATAAATTAAAAAAATAGCTATTATTGAGCTTATCAATAATAAAAATTATCAAATATTTTTTCAAAAAACAATATGTATCTTTTTTTTGTAAAAAAAATCAATATATTTAGAATTTTTTTTTTAAAATTTACATTGTTTTTAATATTTTATTTTTCTAGTCTATCCTAAATGTTAGAACAATTCAGTTAAACTAAAGAACAATTATAATAAACAATCAAAGCTTTTTTTTCTTCTTTTTTGTGTGGAAATTACATCTATCTCTCACACTTGAGCCGTTGTGGATCAATGGAAAGAGAGCTCGCCTCTCAGTGAAGTCACCAGAGTTCTAATCACAGCAATGGCTGGTTGATACAAATTTCGGACCCAGCTTGCATCAACCCCAGTGCTGACGTAAGTGGTAGACACACCATAAGCTTAAGTAAGTGGTAGACACCACCTAACGAAATTTTATAGATTCTCCACATTTTTTTAAAACAAACTTATGCATGTAAAGTATATAAAAATAAGTAACCAAAATATTGAAAATTTATCAAAATTTGAAAATTTTTAAAAAAATTGACAAATAATTTTTGAAAATTAACTGCTGTTAAAACTAAGTTCTAAAATAACTAACTTTATTAAATGGTTTTAGAAAAGAAAAGGCTTCTCTTAATCAGATAAAGAAATATTCTTAATGTTTTCAACAACAAACATAAATTAAAATAAGTTTAAGCGCTTAAAATACCAGTTGAAAAAATATTTGAGTATGCGAATTAGAATAAGCATTAGTTATTCTAATATGTATACTGTAGCAACCACATCGCTAAGCTACAACAGCGCCACCACATACAAGACAGTGGATGCTCAGACTTCGAACCGAATGGACCTCCTTCTTTATTTCTCCTTTTCTTAGTTAATTAAACTTATATTTGTTTGTCCGTGTGCTATATGTATATTAATAAAATATTTGGCACTAAGCTTTTCCTCATTTTAAACTCCCTGAGATCTAGCTCGGGCCACAATACTCAAATATTTTTTTATCTCCATATTTAACTTAATTTCACTGATAAGTTATAAAATACTTAAAGTAAAAAAAATATACATTACTTTTCCATTCAGAAGAAACTGTCCTTTTTCTTCTAAGTCGTAAAACTGAGGTACAAGCTCTTTAAAATCTGAAGTATTTGTAGTAATATTTCGCCATGTATCAGGAATACTATTAAAGAAAGTACAAATTATTTCTCAGGAAAAAATGCAAATAAGAAGGTTGCAAATTCAAAGCAATTACTCACCTATTAAACATACGATCAGGGTGATCAAATCGACCATTCTGTAAGCACAACATAAATTGGGGCACTGAAATAAATTATACCAATATAGATACAGCCATATGAAGAAAATGTTCATGAAGAAATATATGTATATGAAGAAAATGGTATCAATCACAAGCATACATACTATTCCTAACGAGATAATACAGCACAAAACCTGGAGTAGAATAATGAGATCCGTATAAAAATTTTGGTTCCGCCATTTCATTGTAACGTTCCTATAAAAAGTAAATATAAAGATGCTTTAGTTTCAGATGATTAAAGGAAATTAAATAAAAGTTTGGTCGTCATTTGTAAGATGGTATGTTCTCCAATTGCCAGACTTTTTGGAAAAAAACAAGGATCTTCAAGTTTTCTAAACCAAGGGGCCACATAAGCACCTTGACTAAGTTTAAAAGGCAAAGATCTATTCATCAAAGACATTATTACAGAAGAAAAGAGCATCACCGCCACCTACTTTTGATTACAAAATAGCAAAATTCTGGTATGTTGGTTGTATAATTCAAACGCTTAAAACTAAATTAAATATAAAAAATTCTAAAATTAAAAAAACATTAAAAAAATAATATTAAGTCCACTAAATTTTCTCAAGTAAAAAATATTTCACATAGTTCTCTGTGTATATGATGCATTTTCCATCAAATAAATATGCTATGAGGCACATCTTTAAAAAAAAAATCAATCAAAACATGCTGTGAGGCGACCTGATAATTATGTTTATCATATTGCATGTGACATCACTTTATGTTTTAAAAGCTTTCATTATGTTATATATTTTGAAATACTCTTGAATAAATTATTGTAACTTACTTAAATTATCTTTAATTTTCTTCTCTGAATGTAATTTAAAGTGTCATTTCAAAACAATCCCTTATACGTAAAGAAAATGTGATAAGAGAAAAGTCAAAATTATCAGTATATAACATATTAGAAATAGTATAGAGAAAATTGATACAGATTCATATTTATCACATTGTTTATAATGCATTAATATTTCACAATCAATGAATGTCCGACGTTATTACCCCCTATTTTCATAAAATTTTGGAGGCTTGTTGTTGACTTATACAGCTGGATATACTATAAATAACTCAAAATATTAACTATCAAGTCCTATGATTTATTTACCTTTAAACGCTTCAAACGATCAACATTCAATGCTCCAACAGGTTTAGTCAAATCTCGAAACACTGACCGATCATTTAAATCTGAAAAATTAATAGTAAATGGTTACCATTTAAAAATGGTGTAATTCTCTTAAGTGAAAAAGTCTTTTAGAAACTATTCTAACATCTCACCTATTGACTCAGATGTATAGTCTGATAATACCCAAGGAAATACAGGATATTGTGTCAAATCATTAAAACTTCTGTCAGCTAAACTAAGAAAGTTTTTAAAATAAATTAATGAGACTTAAAAAATTGAATTAATTTTCAACATTGCATTCATAAAGTATTAACTCAGATTCAAAATTTACAAGTGTTTCAATAAACAAATTTTAGTATAATTGGAAAACTTCAACGTTGAAATTCATTAGGTAGCTTAAATTGAAAATTCACTGATTAATACATATTCATATATATAGCATATTCATTGATTAATATAAAAATGAAGTAAAAATGTAATATCACTAAAAGTTAAAAAGTTTTAATTTTTAAGAATACTATTAACAAATGTGGCAACTTGTGTATTTTGAATTACTACAAACAACTCTTTTTATAGCAAATTTGGATGATTTTACAACATGTAATTTTTTAAACAAGATTTTTTTCAAAAAATTGCATTAAATTAATATCTACTAAACAATGAAATTGATTTAAAATTGCTGTTAGTTTCTTTAATTTGAATTTTCTAAATAAATTTTATTATCAATGAGAAAATAATTTGATACAAATATCTGATAAGTCATTTTAAAGGTGTTCTTTTTTTTTCCTTTTCAGCTTTCTTTCCTTCATTTGTTAATGGCATGTTTTCATTTTTAAATTACTAAGATTAAGTAATATTTTAAATTTTTTATAAACATGATAAAAATGATTTTAGTTTAAAGCACTGAAACTGCTATTGTTTCAATTGAACCAAAACTCTCTAATAAAGAATGTAAATAGATTAATTGAAAAATTTAGAGGATGAACATGGCAAATGGTATTTTAGAAACATATAAGCATATGTTTTAAGTATATTAGATTATATTATTTTGTCAAGGTTTCTTTCAAATGTTTTTATGTGTTCAAAAGTTGATTTTTACTGTGACTTTTCCCTGGTAAGGAAATGTTTTACCTGGCAAGTAAAATCAACTTTTGTTACATCAACTTCCTTGGCACATAAAAATATATACAAAAATGCTACATTGATAAAAATCAAAACTAAACTTGAACTAGTATGACTTTTTTCTTAACTTCTAATTCAGATACTTAAAAAGACCAACCAAACACACAAAAAAAGTAAACTATTTCAAATATATTTTTCTCACGAGAGATACATGAAAAAGAATTTTTTATATAAGTTTAGCATTAGGCATTTTTACACATTGAAGTGCAGGAGCTACTTTTTGTCATGCCTTTAAAAGAAAACTTCAATCATATCTGTTGGCTCACAACTTTATTTAATTAGAAATTAAGTTTATATCACATTCTTTAATAGTAATTTATTTTTGGTTCTTTAGGTCAGGTAAGCTCAAGCAAAATGAATGTGGGATCACGTTCTTGAATTAATAATTTTAAAAATAAATAAAAATTCCAATTATTTTCTTTATAGACACAATTACAAACATGCTTCTACCAATTTTAATTATAAAAAATCAATGGCAATTAGAACTTAATCACTTACTAAAGTTCAAATTGATTAATTGACGTTAATCTAGATTATCAAGTGTTAACCACGATCAATAATCAATAGTATAATTTTTGGTGCCAAGTAATTTTCAGTACATTTAAAGTTTATTGAAACTTTAAAAACATGTTTTGCTTGATCTAATAATGCAACATCACCAAAAAGGCAACAAATAATAATTAAAAGAAGAATGTATGCAAGCAGATTTGTTTCACCTGTTCAGATAAAGTAGATAATCATAATTAGATATAGCACCATTCTGCCACAATAGTGTCATATTTTCTTGATCTCTGTCTTCCAGCTTCACAGCTGAAATATTAAATATATAAAGTATTACATTTTTTCCTATAAGAGGCTGAAAAAAATAACTACTTAGGAAACCAAACAATTTACCTGGTTCATTAACTAATTTCAGATAAAGTATATCTCGTTCGCTTTGCGTTTTGAAAGACAGAAATAAATGTTGTACTGGAGAATTCTTCGAACAATATAATTCTAAACCCTATAAAAATTACAATTCTACAATTATTTTTAATATTTAATAAAAATAGTTTAATTTGATAAGATAAAAATTTTCTTATTACAAGCAAAGTTTTTTTATAAGACAAATATAAGTGCATAAGTATATCTTCCTTCCTTCCTTTCTCACTGGCCAGACCAAGGTGAGCCCAGGCCTTTCACAGAATTTTATCATAACTCATTCTGTTCTTAGCCAAGGATTTCCAGTTTATTATTATGTATTTCTAAAGTAATTTTTAAAGCAGTTGGACCACCCAAGTCCCAGTCCTCCTTTTTCTTTTTTCGTGTGTACTTTATTATGTCTGGGTCTTTACATAGTTTATAAAGTTCTGCTGTTGATGAAGATATGACTTCACTGTTATGAAATTCAGTGAAGCTATATCTTCATCAACATAAAGAAATTCCTTCATTCCATTAAATAACTAAACATTTTAAATCTTTACTAGGAAGCTCTGTCCCCTGCTCGCTGACTTTTGCCGACACCCAAGATTACTTTTTACCTTTACCCTTCAACAAACTCATTTCACATTTTATATGTTCTTTTTGTCTAGCTTTATACAGTTTTTCGAAAACAAAAGTTGAGAATAATTCGACAATAAAAATTTTCTCAGAAATTTTTTTTCTAAATATATATTTGTTTCCTCGGCACAAAATTCTAAATACATGCAATTTAATATTAATTTTAAATTGTAAACAGTTTAGATTATTCTTGAGTACACAATTTTAAATTTCAGTGTTCAGAAGCTACATGTTTTTTATTTTATCACAAAGTTGTGAAAAATAAAATGTATAAGGATCAAAGAACAAAGTTAAGAAATGAATGTAGTCATAAAAAAGGTTTAAATTAAAATTATGTTTAATTCAATGTTAACAATTCAAATTTCTCTGAGGTAATTCTTAACCACAAAACTTTATTTTTCTTATGTACACATTTTTAAATTTTAGAATTCAGACATACAACAAACGACAGGCCCACAACAAAGATTTGAAATTGATAAAATATTTTGTTTCTACAAAAATGCACAGAAGCAAAAAAATTTCGAACACTAAAATAAATTCACGCAATCCTATCTTTATTTAATAATTGTTATTGAAATGAAACAACAAAAAAAAGAGATCATAACTAATCAGTTTCAGGGAAGTATTTAATTCCTACTTGCAATAAACATAATTATCGTGCTATAAATTGTGCCTTCTTGATATGACAGTACAGAAATGAACAATATAACAGAGACACTAAACTATAATCGTGGAGTGTCCACTAATCAAATCTACCATATTAACTAACCTTTCTTTTAGGTGTTAATAGAGGGCACAGGGGACCATTAGGCCAGAAGAAACTTCTAGAAAATTGCCATGATTACATCAGAGAGAATTGCCCTTAAGTATGCTTTTTAATATACTTTTTACCTATCATTTCTGCCTAACTTTTAGTTCAGTTCTTTTTAGCTTTGTGCAGACTGTGCAAGAAATGTCTAAATAGAAATGGGTCGCACTTAAATTTGAACTTGCTTATGCCTACTCACTCACTTGATGTTTTCATTACTGTATTTCTAAAAAAGTAATGCCATCGCTTTCTTAAATTTATACGCATTTTTTATATATATATATAATATAGAATACAGAACAATTTGTTATTTTATAGAGCTGGTCACTTTTAACCAATAAATTATGTATAACTTATAATTTGGCTTGTTTCAACTTTTTGTAGCTCATGCAAGAAATATATATCTATAAATATCTATATATAAATATATATCCAGTGTGCTTATATTTGTACTTGCTTAAGACTGTTTCCTTGTATGATATTTCATTTCTTTCTTGCCAACACGGAGAAGAACTTTCATTGGTTTTTCAACAACATATACATTAATGTTTTACATAATACAGATAATAAAAGAATCCCTGGCATCAGAATTTATGTAGTAAATCTGCAGCACTACCGTCACGAATCCAAATTTGTCTTAGACTCTAACAGAGTTAAAAAAATATTACTACTATAAAAATCCAGCTTAATCTAACATATATGTTGCAAATATACAGTATTTAAAAACTATACATAAAAACTTTAAGTCATTTAAACTTGATTTGAATTTTATACTTAAAAAAGAAGTGGAATAAATCCTTAAATAGTAAAAGTCTTTAATCAAGTAAACAGGAAGAAAAGAAACTTTTTTAAAAAAACTTTTTGTTCCTTGCAGTGTTCTCTCAACTCAGTTTTATAATTTTGAAACAGGTTATGAGATGTTTGAAAAAGGAGTCTAAGTACATCCTTCTTAATTTTTTTTTTTTAAATCTAAGATTAAAAATAATCTGCAGATACTGCAATACTATGCAACACCTGCTGCAGTTTTAGAGAATTTCTGCTGTCAAAGATTAATCATTTAATATTCCTTATTCTTATATCAATAAGAAAAATTTAACACTTTTCTAGATTGATATTATAAAAATAATATTTTATCTCCACTTTTTTAAATTATTCCTTATGAAAGGCAGATAAAAAATAAATAAAAAAACACTTTCAAAAATGTGCAGGAGATATTAATCATAAAATTTAAATATCAAGTTTCTTATCATATGTAAATTCATTTTTAGATAAAAACAATACTTTTTATTGCACAAAAGATTTGAAATTTTTAGATTGTAAAATTTTTCTTTCTCAACTCTTAAGAAACACATTTTATTACTTAAATAAATATATAGATTCATTTTATATTTTTTTAACAATTAAAGAATTTTTATTATACCACTTGTTTGAGAAGGAATCTTCTTTTTATCACTCGCTTAATACTGGATAATTTTATTTTCAGAACAGGCCACTGAAACAAAAGCAAATGTTTTTTTTTAAAAATAAAAAAACAGATAAAACATTTTATTGAGAATAAATAAAATAAAATTTATATAAAGCTACAAAACTTGAACATTGTAAGTAAAATTTTAAAAAAATATTTACAAAAATTAAAAAATTAGCTATTCCTAGATATTTTGTATAATGTAAAAAATGTAGATGACAGTCAGTAAAATAAAATATCACTGGGCTACAACTTATATCTTTTTTGAAAAATCAGTGCCATTATTTAAAAAAAAATTTAAAATATAAAAAATAAATAAATATAAATGAAACACTTTTTTAAAACAACTAATTAATAGCAGCAGGGAATATTTTAAATTATGAAATAATACACAGATACAAATTTTTATGGATAAACAGCTTTCTATAAATAAATATGTTGTTTCTTTTGTTGTTGCCAGATTTGGATGTTTGATTTTTTAAAATAACCTGTATCAACTATTATGATTTTAAACAAAAATCATATGACAAAAAATTATACAGCTTTTATACAACAATCTACATAGCTGAGATAATTTCTATTGTGTTAAAATCATAAAAATGCAATTTTAACCAAGGTCCAAGAAGCTTTACAACAACATCTATAGATGATTGAATAAATTAAAATGACTCACTGGTTCGGCATTGTTGTAAGGCTGGAAATAAAGACGTCCAGTTGTTAATAGAATTCTACCAGGATTTGTTACTAAAGGAGTAATCTTATTTCCCATTGTTTCTAGAAGTATCGTTTCATGTAAATCTTCTAACCTAAAAGAGAATATAATTCATCTGAATGTTATTAAATGCAAATGATCAAATGCTTTAGTGCAATCAGTCAAAACTTTCTAACTTCACAAAATTTTAAAATCCATGCTACTTATTCAAGAATGTATAAGAATGTAACTTTTTCGGGCAAAATTTTTAATTGCCAAATTAGAAATTGTTACATTACAGGTATTTACAATTCACCAGACAATTTACAAAACATTAAAAGATTACTAAAACATATATCCCATATGCTTTTAAAGATGTCATAATAAAAAAAGAGCCAAAAGATTTTGATAGGTCTTTTTCAACAAACATTATTATTACCTAATTGTTTCATGGATTGCTTTTCCTTGTAATATCATTGATAATGATGATTATAATCAAGTAAAATTACTAAAAAAAATTACAATATCAGTTAAAAATACACTATGCTTCATATTTTGCAAATTAATAACTTTGTCATTGCAATATCTCAAAGAGATTGTCAAATTAATAACATAAATGACATATTAACAGAAAATGAATAACCTAATGTAAGCTTATTGAAAAAATAATAAAAAAAGTAAACTATTTTTAAGAAATGAAATTTACATACCAACTAGTGTCAAATTTGGTGCTATTTTGCCTGCAATTTACAATGGCACCGATCTGAAATTTAACATAATATTAATATATTACTCTAATGCTGTTTATAAAGAATAAACAATATAATACATTTAATTCAAAGTAAAAAATATATGCTGTAAGTGAATGCATTTTAATATAAATTAATTAATGCTTTACACTATTATTTACATATAATGCAAAGTAAATAATGGTTATGGTACAGCATTTTTACTTTACATACAGATATGTGTCTAACACATAAATGTACATTAAATAAATGTATTACTGTGTACACATATTATAAGCACATTTAGTCAGTAAAAACAGAAATTTCAATTAAAATAAAATTATTAGAACAAAGACAAAAGCATTTTTGAATCAATTCAGTTGTTTAAAACATTGAAAATTTAATTGATAAAAGAAAAAGTCCAAATTATAAATCTCTTAGATAAATGAGAAAAAAATTTGCATAGAAACAACTCACACAAGTATGAATTTGTATGTTTATTATTATTATTTGGTACATGAATTCAGAATTAGCAAGCAAACAAAATTAACAAGCATTTTTTAGTTCCCCAAGTCCTTCATTATATAATGGCCCATCTATGTGCGTAATTTTCACAAACAGAGGGCAAGGGCTAATTTATACAAACTAAACTTTATATCCTCAAATGTAAGCAGTTTATAATTTCATCTACATTTACATATTATGTACTAAAATGAAACTTTTTATACAATAGAAATGTACTGCATAAAATAAACTAATTAAAAAATGAAAAAAGATAGTCCTTTACTGAAGAGGAAGATTTATATAAAATCTGTTACTAAGTACCCAAAGAAATTTGAAAGCTACTAAATATTTTATGATAAGGGATTCTATTATTCTAAGCAAGCTCTGGATAGTATCTTTCTTGTTAAAAACAATTAAAAAAAGTAATTTTTGCCAAAAAAGAGTTTTTTTTTATAATTTTAATAAAAAGACTAAAAAGGATATATTAGGCCTATAATAAGGATTTTATAAATTATTTTGACATATTTTGTTGCAAAAAAGCATATTGTAAGATAAAATAATAAAAAAGCATATAGTAGAAAAACATATAGTCATTACCATTGAAGCTTGTTCAGCACTTGCTAGCATGGATGCTCTTTTTAGCTGAAAAAAATCATTGTAAGTTAAACTAAAATTTTCTAAAGAAATTTTATCCACATAAAAAAGTTTTAATAAATTAAGAGCAAAATTATGGTGAAAGTAAAAAATTTTATATTTAAAATATAAATATTAAACTCAAGCACGCTGGTTCTGGATAAAATAACGTAAGACTGAAGTTGAAGCTTAAATTTAGGAAATTTTGATAATAGTTTCCAAAAAAGTAGATTTTAAATCAATTTATAAAAAGCAAAATACTTTCAAGCAGAGGTTGTTTTTTTGATAGCTCCCACTACTTAAACAGCGATCTTGAAAGGGAATTGGTTGCAAGAATATCCTTAATTTCATCAAACGTCATTCAAATGGGAAAATTTAGAGATTTTGATATGTTCCAAATGGCATCTTGACTTTTTATGGCTCTTTGTGCAAGAACGATTTTGATGTCTTAAAATTAATAAGAGAAATATATTTTAAGCTTATGATTTAATATAGAAAGACTCGTATGAGGCATACATATATATATATATANATATATATATATATATAGTGAGAGAAAAACTAGAAAATCGGAAAATGGTTAACATTTATTAGATAAAATAGTATAAATTATAAATGCTTACTAACTTGTGAAATCTGTGCTAAACAAGCATTAGCAGTTCCATACAGAAGTGCAAATAAAAAGGTGTTTCTTTCCTAAGGGAAAAAATAGAGGATGATCATAAAGTCATATAAAAAAATATTTATATTAAAAAAGAAATATAAACTGAAAAAAAAACTAATTATGAATTATAAGTTCTTTAAATAATATTTTATTAGAAACATCAAAAAAAAAAAAGTATTTAATGGCAATAGAAGAATTTCTTCGGAAAATTAATAAGTCATCTAAATATTGTACTAAGGGTTATTTTGGCATATTTCATTTTAATTATTTTATGATTCAAACTTGTTTCAATAGAACATTTTAAATTAAATATTAAGTCTATTTTTATATTCCTTGCTAATTGAATAAGACCTTTGTAATATTAAATAATTTTATTGCTTACGTTTAAAAAAAATACATTTTTTAGAACAAATTTTTGACAAAATGTTTTATTTATATTTTGAAACTTTTGCTATTTTGTTATATATTACTTTGAGTAACTATTTAAATATCCATATGACTTTAAGCTAAATTTGAATTTATGACAAGTATTACTCAATGAACCTGAATTTGCTTAGGCTTGTTTGGAATGAGCCTAATCATGCTGTTGTGTACGGCTTATTGCAGGTGGCATGAAATAAATTGGACTTATTGAATGATATACTCTCTAATTAGTCTATGCGTAAGTGAACTCTTTACAGTGATCTTAAAATCTGCCTAATCTAATTGAATGGTCTAAGTAGCCAATCTTGACAACAACAAAAAACTTGATTATTCTTTTCTAATTAGCCTGGCACAATGTAAAATGATGGCACTATTTTAAAAAGTCCTAGATTTTTTCAACTTCAGGTTGATGAGTACCAGCTTAACATGGTAAAAAAGATGTCCTGTACTCAAAACTGATCACATTGCTGTTGGTCTTGCAATGCGGAACTTTCACCATTATGTCTCCCCTGGGTAACTACTGTCGATTGCAGGAGCGTATTTTTAATATAGATATTATGTGAATTCTATATTTTACCAATTTTTTAATTATAGAATAATAAGGAAGGGACTTAAACGAAGTACATTCAACAAAAAAGTCAAAATCCATTAATTATTGCTTTAGGTGGAAAAAAAATATTAATCAGGGTTGCCACGCAAATCTGGAAAAAAAATTCCCTGTGTTTTCCCTGTACATATTATACATAATATATTAAGAGGAAACAACAATTACTGTGTTCTTGTGTAAGCTATATTGGACTAACTATATTTATTAGTTTTAATTGCTGGAATAATAGCTGAGCATATTTAAATAATGCATTAATAAATAAAATAGTTTAGTATAACTGAAATATCATGGTTAAAAATCCCATAAATTATGCTTTGAGTGGCCACCCTTTTTCAAAAGACAAAAATAAGAAACAAAATTCTCTGTATTTTCCCAGTTCGTAAAGAAAAAATCAAAATTCCCTGCATTTTCCCTGTTATTTAAGGTGATTTTTAAATCCCCTGTATTTTCCAGGTTTTCTCTGTTCTCCCTGTGGAGTGGCAACCCTGTTAATAAACATTACAGCAATTAAGTTTACCATAATGACAAATATGGTTCTATACCATATATGGTGACCATTCATGGTTTACCATACCAATTCTAATGTTTTATTAAAAATACTAGCAAACTACCACATTTTACTTTTTCATTGAATAAAAAACATCTTCGACTACACAATAAAAGCAAAGGAAATTTTTTTTTGAAATTAAAATTTTTTTTCTTTCTGCAATGCCCACCTGTGTTAACATCCGTCAATTCAGGGATATACAGGGCGATTTTGTTGGCCTCTCTTTCAGGGGCACCATATTAGGTAGGCTAACGTCGCTCCCACAGTGAGGACAGATAAGAAAAGAACATCCATGCCTTGCCCGGGATTCGAACACAGAACCTTTCTGATGCAAGGACAGTTCCCTGCCCCCTACACCATAGAGTTGATATAGTAGGTAGAGGAACCAAGTCCGCTTTATTCCTTCCGAAAAGACACGCCACAGATAGCAAGCAAAGAGTTACAATCACGTGATGGAAAGAGTGCAATACTTGGCGCAGTATCACAAATGTTGGCGCACTAAGTTTTTAAACAGCTTTATTTCGATATTACCGATGCGCAAATAATCGGAGCATTTGAAAGAGAGAAAAAAAATATTTTCGTTAATCATATTTCTTTAATATTATTAAATGGGTTTTTAAAACATGAGGAGTTTTTTTTCTCTTAACAAATAATTTTTAATTAAAGTACTGCCTTTATTTAAAAAAATTCAGTAGTTCTCGTCTGTACCCTTAACACTATTCCTTAAAATTTATTCATTATATAAAAATAAAAAACGATATTCTGCATCACTTATATTTATTACTATATTCAGAAATTTTTTTTTAAATGTTTTTATTGCAAAGACCTATTTTAAAAAAAAAATTACTAATATATATTGTAATAACTATTGTTATTTTTTTTAAAAAAAATAATAACTTCGATACAAAAATCAGGATTTTTTTTAAATCTACCAGGGCTTAAAATGTGAATTTGAAAATGTTGCCCTTCTTTTTTAATGAAACACAAGTTCGTTTAAAAAATTAATTTAATCTTTACGTTTTAAAAGTTTTATCACTGTTAGATAAAACAAATTGTAAAATTAAACAGATTGTCTGAAAAAAGTTCGATGCTTAGAAATAACGTTAATGTTGCAACACTTTTATCATTTTTATTTATGCTCACCAAGAGACTGCTCGAGAGGTAATATCAAATTTCGGGAAAAATAGCTTCGGGGAAAATAAAACCCGTTTTTAGTAGAACAGATTAGTTAGAAAACATATTTTTGATTAAATTTAATTACGTTTAGAATTTTATTTATATATTGAATACATTAAATTATTTATACAATAAAGATTATTTACATTATTAATTTAGAATTTTGACTTCTTTTTTTCCTGACACTTAAAATAGATATTTTCAAAAATAAACTGCTGTTGCATTTTAACTTAATACTCAACAATTTGTCTAAATATGAAATAAAATATTTATTCTAATATAAAAGTTTTCAGCTCCGAATAGAGAAAAATATAAGATTAAAAGCATTAAACTAATCAAAGAAAATAATAAAAGAGTTTAATTAGAAATTTTACTTTGTATTTCATGTACAATCTAATTCCATAAATTACTAGGAAGTTTAAATTGTACACACAAAGAGACTAGTAGAAAAGCTTTCGAAATTTAAACAAAAAATACTTAAATAAAAGAGAAAGCAATTAGAATTTTTACTTTGTACTAAATGTAGATTGAAACTAATGACGAACTTATAATTAAAATATCTTACTTTTATTTGTGATAGAAATTGCAATTTATGCAACTTTTTATGAGGTAAATTTATGCAACTATTATAGGTCAATGTATATTTAATAATTTTTATACAGAAAACCAGTATCTTAAAAAGTAGCAGTTAAAAATATTTTACTTTACAAATAAAAGAACCATAATCATTTTATGGACATTAAGAAAATTACAATGCCCATCCATAAAAAATGTAATTTTCTTAAAAATAGTAAGTGCATTTAAAACTATATCTTTTAGCCAGCTGCAAATTAAATATATACAATCTAGATAAAGGTAAAAACAGTTGAAATTTTACAAGAAAGGTTCACGATGCTAAATCTTTGCACCACAGCCAGCTGTTAGCCTTGGCCGTCTGAGCAGTTTATTCCATACCAATGCATAACATGCGCTAATTTACTGCACTAATTTACTCCTATACAACTTATCCACTTCTATGTTATGTTTTCTAAATTTGTTGCACTAAATCAAACTAATTCTACGCTTTAATATACTAGTAAAATAAAGTATTTCCAATAAAGCAACTATTTTTAAATAAAAAGAAGATAAACAAGTACTTAATGATTATATTAAATATACCTTAATTTATTTTCTAAATAGTACATAATTTGTATTCATTTTATGTATAGTAACAGAATTATATAATTTTATTAAAAATTAACACTAAAACTACTATACACTATTTTATATTTAAATACTAAAAATATTTCATAGAATTTAATTATTCATCAAACATATAAGAATATACAAATAATTTGGTTTTTAAGCATTCCTATGTAATTTAAAAAACACAACTTCTTATGTACCATATTTTTTATTTAAATATATATATTTAAAGGAAACATTTTAGAACAAGATAAATATTGGGTTTTAGTAATCAAGAGGTAAAGATATACAAAATCTTCAGAATATACAGAAATGATATCGACATTTAAAGAGAACTAAAACAAAACCGAAAGTTTACTCAACTGTTCCTTGGCGCTAAAGTATCTCGCCAAGGAAGCCAACAAAGCTTTGCAGCTATTTCAGCTAAAAATAGAATATATATTGAAATATACTTAAACATTATAAGTTTAAAGTTTAAGAAACAATAAAAACTTATGTTAAATGCAAAAAAAGTGAGCAAAAACGAGCGTAATTGATTATTAAAGCAAATAAAACATGATTATCAGAGCATGACTGAGTATCGGAAAAATTTTAAAATCAATTTTAAAATAGAAAAAGTGAAAAAAAATGTCGCCCTTTCTTGTAAAAAGTTATCGGACAGTCCCTAGAAAACTTCTCCGTGCAGCAAAATGCTCAGGACTTTTGTACCATTCTTATTTCTGAATTAAAAAGACAGACAGTTAATTGCATCAGACGATCGCAATGCTAAACGAATGGACGGGAATCGAAGCGGTCTCAGTGAACGGCAAGTTTGGGCTACAGTCACGTGACTTTATCTTGTCCACGGGTCGGGGGTTATTCTACTCTCTCTACCCAGTATTTCAACTCTATGCCCTACACAGGCCGGTCGGCAATTAACAAATTTTGATTAACAATAAATCAGTTAATGGATAAACATAATTTTAAACTTACTCTTTTAAATTTATATGGTGCAATAAATGTTCCTTCAAGAACTTCAATTACTTGATCACATTCAACATATATGACATTTCCTTTATCAAGCCTAAAATAAATATTATTAACGCTGCAGAATAGTTTTATAATAAAAATTTTAAATAGTGTAGTATAACAAAACAAGCATTTTTAAAAGACGTTAGAGAGTAAATATAGAGTTAAGTCACATTTATGCGACAACCACTAGCTTTCAACGTTAATACGATTGTAGTATAATCAATCACAGAAAGCAAGTGGCAGCATTAATAGAGAAAGCTAAATTAGGAATGTCAAAGGAAAGCAAAACAAATTGATTATGTTTCCAAAAAATGCTTATAGAGAACATTCGTCTAAAATTAGCACATTTGTATCTGAGGTATTTTGTATGCCCTTTACATTAAAAAGATTATTTTGCTCTAATCTGGATTATGAAAATAATTTCTCAAGACTGAATACAATCTAAATCATATGATCCAGGGCTTAGCAACTTTATAAGACTAAAATTGAAATAAAAATTTTATTATTTTGTTTCTTTTAAAGCATTTATCTTTTTAAAAAATAAAACTAGGAGATTTTGATCACTACTATATTTTTTTTCTTAAAATGTCAATATTTTTGTTGGTTGTATTTTGTATATTGCAGGTGGGTTCTTCAACCGTATAATGAATTGACTCTGGATACAATCTAAAATTCATTCAGGAAATGTGGATTATTACAAGCAGGGGAAAGGAGTGATCCTGCGCCAGCATCACATTTAGCTTCAGATAAAATCATAGATGATCCAGGGCTTAGCAATGAGCTAATTCAACTCTTTAATACTAAAAGCGACTCCTCTCATTTTTAAAGTTTGGAATAAATTTGTTTCTTATTATTTACAAAACAGTCATTATTTTTGAGTATGAGTGCCTTCTTTTCTTTCATTGTCATGATTTAATGTATGCAATACTTTGGGGTAAGAACCAACCTATTTTAATTGTTATTAATTTAATTGTTATCAATTTAATTCTGATAAATACATTTCATCTTCAATATTTTTTCTTTTTTTTCATTTATGGAAGCACAGATTTCTATTCAGGGGTCTGTCCAGACATTTTGTGAAAGGTCTCGTAATTTGTGAATATAAAATAAAAGTTAAGTCACATTCTTTCAACCAGGGTCCTGCTTTTGTGAATTTGTGCAAATAGGGTCCAGTTATTGCAAAAAACTTTTTCAATGAGTTTTTAAATTGTAAAGACATACAAGATTATGCCCAACGCTGTAAAATTATAATTTTTAAAAAATTTAATTTTCAAAAATAAACAGCAATTGCTGCTACTAAATTAGAGATGCAACATACAAATATTTGGTATTTAGCCTATACTGCTGAAAGCAGAATATTCATTTCGGACGAATAAAGGAAGAAGTGTCTGCCGAAGACAGAACTTAATTCATTAACATCCATTTTCTTTCACCCCCCTGGAAATGGTTTATTCGATTAACAAAACAATAATGAAGATAAAGAAATTTGTGAAGGGTCTGATTAAAAGATAAATTATTTTGTGAAGGGTTCGTTTTTATGAAAAGATATTTTGTGAAGGGTCCGTTAACAGACCCTAATTTCTTCTAAACAGACCTCTGCTATTGAATAAAAAAATAATAAAACATATAAAGTGAGTAAATCTGGAGAGAGAGATAAATAAATTTTCCGTCTATTCTCAGCAGCAAAGGGTAGTAAACTTAAGATTTCTAAACTAAAGAGTAGATTGTTCGAAACAAAAAGTGAAAAAAAAATTAAAGAAAAAAGCATTTAAAATTGCAATAACTTTCAAACAAATTGCCATTTCAAAAACAATTTATGCCAAATCATAAATGTTCTTTTCAGTAGACCAAATTAAAATGCAATAGTTGCAATTCTGTGCAATCTAGAGCGGGACTCCATGGTATATTTTTCGTACATGTTAAACAATTGATCATTTTGAGCTAACTATAGAATAATAAAAAAATTTTACATCACCATACTCTCCCTCCATACATTTTTCAGCATACCTATATGTTTTCAAGTTACCAGTTTTTGAGCAGCAAAACAAAATGATATGTAAGGTTGAACACTTAAATGATGCCAATACTTGCAATTTTTGATCATTAATTTCATAAAATTAAATAAACAAAAACAAAAATAAATAAAAGAGTAATATTGAATAGCTGCTGAATCTTCTGATTTTCTTTTTATGCTTAAGATGGTAACCAAACATAGAGGTTAATATTTTTTTTATTTTTTATCTTTGTTTAACAAAGTTGATTTATAATGATTCTAACCACCAAATGCTTAAATAATTTAAATAAATGTATGGATAAATTATAACATTATTGTTTAAAAGTATTCAATACTTTCATAGTTTAATTAATACCTGTTTACAATTATAAAATCATATGTTAAAATCAATTGTTAAACTTATCAATAAACCAGAGGGGGAAAAAAACTAAAGGATTCTTACTTTGATAACAAAGATCCTTGCCATTTTTCAATAGTCACACAGTCTCGTAAAGGTAGCTAAAAAAGTAAAGTAAGCAATGCTATACTTGATGTTTGTCAATATATCAAACTAGTCAGATATTTATAACCTGATAAGTGTATTGCAATTTAACATTCTATCATAGAAATTATATTTGATGACATATAACATGAAGAGATATTGTTATAATGTTAAGCGTTGAAGTTATTTATTTTTATTTATTTAGTTTCTTCGTAAAAATAAGAATTTCAATACTCAGTATCCTTACCATCTTGGATTTTAGGTTAAATTTTTTATTTGCATTTTCTTTATACTTTTTTTTGCACTTAACAAACTTTTGATAATAAAGCATTATTCAACGGAACAATGCCTTTTTCAAAAATATAAGGGTTTCTTCATTAGGTTAGGAGATTAGAGCTTGATAATTTTTAGAACTTCAATGGCTTTCTCCTCAAAACTTTAAAGAATAAAGTTACGCAACTTGTGGCTTCAAGTAAGTAATTTACATTACTACTACATGTACTAAATTACGTACTACACGTTTGTCAGATTTTTGAATTTTTAAAATTTTATTTTATTACAGATTCAATGAATGAAAACAGATTTGGATGATGCCAAAAAAATATTTAATGTTAAATGCGTAAAAACAAAGATATTTATCAAAAATCTAAAAACAAACTATATCTATACTAGTTAACTACCTTTCAAAAACTGCTGTTTGCAGAACTGAATTGATATAATTTTGTCAGAAAAAATTAATAGAGAATCTAAAACTAAACACCTTTTAAGACTCATATTTTCATTGGGTGATGGTCTTGCATTTTATATGTACAGAAAGAAACTACAGAATAAAATTAATATCCACCATCAGTTTATTTGCAAAAATGAAGAAAAAAAAAAGGAATCAAATCATATTTAGAAATTTTCCCTCCTTATCTCCAGCCCTTCAACAGTTGAGTTCGCTCAGAAAGAGAAAGGTCTCTAAAGAATTTAAATTTCAGGCTCGGAATTAGGTAATTAAAAATAAAGGACATCGGATTCATATAATTCTCTATGGGCTAAAATGGAGCAAGTAGAATATCTTTTCTTTCTTAATAAAACTTCCACTTATCTATTTTGAGAGGCCCTAAAAAACCTATAACCATGGTACCTAAATTAGCTAACTATACAAATATATTAGGTACCATTTACCAAAGTATCAATTATCACCAGGGTTGGCAGGTTTTTGACATGTGACAGTTTTTGACAGTTTAAACCATGGTTTAAACCGTCACGTCAAAAACCTCACTGTCAAAAATGTCGAAAATGTCAAAAACCTATATTCATATGTGAAATTTAATTAATACATAAAATTTATATATTTTTTATAAAGGATAGTGTTTCTAAATATGTTCTAGAAAAAATAAATTTAAAATTTTGAAGAAACACTTATATTTTGAATAGTAACCAAAATCTTGTACTTTTGAAAACTCACATCTTTTGTAATATTATGTATTCATTTTCATGTGTTATTGAAAATCTGCAGTGATATTATTAAGAAATTTATTTATAACCAAATTTAGTGTATAGTATAGATTATACTAAAAATTAGACATTTTTAAAGATAAACATTAGCAGTTTTGTACATTAGACATCTTCTTTTAAAGAAAAATCTTTTTAATATTCTTTTAAATCTTCTTAATAATCTTTTTAACATAAGACAATACAAATTTAAGTGCTTTCTGTTAAATACACAGAGTAGTTAGTGTCGATTTACAGTATATTCAGCCTATTCATTTACTATGCTGAAAATTTAGTTTATCCAAATACTTGTGAATTTCATTTTGCTGAATACTATATAGTTTTGTTGAATATCTAAATATTCAGCTGTTGAATAATTACTTCTTGCTTTCAAGATATGCATTATTTGTATTCTTAATACAAGTGGAGAAAAAAAAATTAAGAGATAAAAATTGTTTTAAAATGATAAGTGTAATAATTATAAATAAATATAATAAACAATATGAATTATATTTATCATTATTCACAAATATAACTACTTTTAAATTCAAATTAACATACTGGATAATAAAGATATTCGGTATAACATTAAAATTTTTTTTCATACACTTGTATCAAGTTTGTATTTATACAACATAACTTGTAAGTTCCTTATAAATATTAGTTATATGTTCCTTATATGTCAAAAATGCATAGTAATAAACTTTTAATTTTCTTAAGTATCAAAAAGAAATTTTTTTTTTTTTAAAATATAAATATTTAAACAATTTTTGTGCAAAATTTTTCTGCACATGCATTTGAATATAAATTTCTGAGATTTTAAATCTGTTATTTTACCTTAATTTTAATTAAAAAATATTTTAAAACCTGCTGATTACCTATAGTATAATTAAATTTCAATATAATGCATGGCAACTGTTGGTAGTTTTGAAGTTTATATATTTTTTTTGGCAAACTTTAGTTTTTGACATTTTTGACGGTTTAAACCAGTATTATACCCTTGTCATGTCAAAAACCACTTTTTGACGTCAAAAACCCAACCCTGATTATCACAATTAATTAAGCAAAGCTGTGGTGGCTCAGGGGATAGAGCGCTTGCTTTTCCATGAGGTGGACCGGGTTCGAATGCCAGTGGTGGCTAGACAATACAAATTCTGCACCCGGCTCGCACTGACCACAGTGCTGATGCAAAATATACTCACTGGATGGGGGATCATGCGTTAGAGTCCACTTACTGTCAGGCTAACCATGGGAGGTTTTCCTTTCCATGTAACCCAAATGTGGGTTTGTTCCATCAAAAAGTCCTCCTCGAAGGCTAATTTCCCCCATTACTTGATTCAGGAGCTTCCTTGACTTCTGGATTGGGTTTAAAATTACAAGGCTATGGAGTTGAACTTTAGTAGTCATAAACCAAAAATTGGGTCGGCTGTTCAACGACGGTTATAAAATAAAATAAAATTAACTAAGCAACACTGTCATCAATAAAAGTTGAACGACTTTATCGAAGTTCTTTGAAACTGATAAGTACCTTTTATTATTACAAGAGAAAAGAATAATGTAAAATTGATTTTTTACCTTTAATATTGGATGCATGATATCTTTAGGGTCAAACAAGATAGATTTTGAGCAAACTTTCAATCTTCCTTTCTGTGTTCTATTAAGTAATAAATAAATTATTAATATATAATTAAAAAATTACATGAATAATTCTCACACAATGATATTTAAAAAAAATAAAAAATACTTAAAATCACAAATGGTAAAATTTTCATTGAAAACCCTTAGGTTTTTGGTGTAATGTATAAAAAATAAAATAAAAATTCTATTGATGAAGCAATACCATTGGGACACTGAAACGCAAATAGGTTTTCAAGAGTAAGGAATAAGGTTTTCAAGAACTTCAGCAGTATTTGATTTGCTTACATCATTAATAAAAAACTACTTAATTCTAAAACAATAATAGAGATATTTTAAAATTTAAAGAACTAAAAACTAATAAAGAAATAAAAAATAAAATAAAAATTCTATTGATGAAGCAATAGCATTGGGACACTTAAACGCACATAGGTTTTCAAGAATAAGGAGTACAGTTTTCACTCAAACTCACAATCATTTCAGCTCTATTTGATTAGCTTACATCATTAACAAAAAACTACTTAATTCTAAAACAATAATAGAGATATTTTAAAATTTAAAGAACTAAAGACTAATAAAGAAATAAAATAAAAATTCTATTGATGAAGCAATACCATTGGGACACTTAAACGCACATAGGTTTTCAAGAGTAAGGAGTACAGTTTTCACTCAAACTCACAATCATTTCAGCACTATGATTAGCTTACATCATTAACAAAAAACTACTTAATTCTAAAACAATAATAGAGATATTTTAAAATTCAAAGAACTAAAGGCTAATAAAAGCAATATTACATATTTCTAAAAAAGATAGTTACAATAAAATATTATTAGCTAGGTACCTTTGCAAATATAAAGAGAAATATAAAAAACTTTATTCCCATGTAGGATAAACATAGTTATAAATTAGTAAGAATGATTATATAATATTCCAATTTGAAAATTCAGCAACTAACTTTTGAACAGCTTCAGTTTCTGTTGTTTTTCCTGGATAACCGAAACAACTATAATCTTCAAAGTATATTTCCCCAGGTTCCAGTAAAAGTAAAGAAAACCTGAAACAAACAACCCAACAATAACTACAGAATTTTAAATAATATAAATAGACATCAAATACTAGTTTGATCATTAAGAAGAATATTTAGTCTTTGAAGAAAAATTTAGTAGAGCAGTGCTTTACATAGCTCGAAAATTTCAACTTGCCTAATTAGTGGATTAACTAAATATAAAATCCAGAATAAAAAATAATAAGTATCCAAATAATTCATTCCAGAAAAATAGTTTAGCTGATCCTATAAATACAAAATTATTCACCTTTCTTTACTTAAAGTTTCTTTATAGGCCATCATCTTCACTGAAATACTTCCCTTTCGCAATTAAACTTCTAGTATTCGGAAAAAAAAATAAAGTTTTTAATCAGTTTAAGTTCCAAGTTACTCACGACACAAAACTAGTTTAAAACAACCCAAACCATATGAAAATCAAATATTTTATAATTCAGCAGGTACACAGGGAGTATCGTCCTGATCATGACTAAGATTTGACATGTATTTATTTATGATTTATTTGTTTACGAGTGAAAATAACAGAACCGGTACTTTTTACAAGGGAGAGCATTCCAACGAGAAATGTGATTGGTGAACTTTTTTTGCCGTATGGAGATAGGAATGATCATATATCTTGATTAGGGAAATATACCAAGATCTATAGGGAAAAATAGGTACTTTTATCATGACTTGTAAGAAAAAATAATAACTTTCTTTGAAATTAAAAGTTATCGTTCACTAAAATTTATCAAAATAATTTGCATTTTCTTTTATTTTTATCTCGAAAATATTTTTCTCATATCAAACATCTTCAAGGTAAGCTTCAAGGTAATATGACATGTAAACAAAAACAAACTGAATTGAACGTTGGTAGATGAATCGCTTTCGGTTTTTCGTATCATTCGCGCTTTTTTTTTATGATAAAAGTAATGCAATCATGATAGTTAGAGTGTAATTTTTAAGAAATATCATGTAACTTAATTCACTCTTTAAAATTAAGAACTTTTTTGTTGTAAATAATGGCCTCGAAATCATTTAATCCTTCTGTTTTGAAATTAATATCTCTCCGTGAGCAAGGATTAATAAGAAATAAAATTTATAAAGAGAATATTGTAAGTTCACAATTAAAACACGAACCGCAAGAACCTCAATCGATTGAAGACATGTTTAAAATATATCATTTTGAATATGTAAGAGCTGATACAGATGGAAATCTGATTGGAGTTAGTCTTTACAATAGTAGACTTTTACTGACAAACTTACGACCGAAAGCAATTAGCCGCATATACGTAATGCATTTTACGTATAATCCTTCCTGTGTTAAAGGCCCAAAAAATCGTAATTCATTGATATCGTCATTTAAAACTAAAAAAACTCTCAGGGAATGTCTTATCATTACAGATACGACAGATGTTCATATAGGCGGAAAAAATCCCATATTATTTGCTGGTAATTCTTACAGAGAAGGGATGGCTGGTTTAACTTATTTTAACTGTGAAGGAAAAAATTTAGATTATGAATGGAGAGTTCAGGGTGAAGCTTTTTGTTGCACAAGCTGCAATTTTACACAGCAATTTGCCTTGGGATGTGAGGATGGTTATTATTTATTTAATACAATTCGTATGGATGAAAAGAGAGTATTGATTGATGAAAATGTGTTAAGTTTGCAATTTAGTAATGATGGTAATTTTCTCCTACTAAGTACTGATAAAAAAGGTGTCAGTATTTGTGATATAAGAGAACATGCGTGCTACAGAAGATATTGTGCGATAAAGCAAGAATATGGAACTTCATGTCGAAAGCGTTATACTATTCAAACTACTTCAAATCATGTAAGAGAAATGAAACTATTGAATGATCAAACATCACTGATATGTGTTAATCATGCAGGGTGTCTAGAAAAGGTGCATTTAATATTTTATCTAAAAAGTTATATTTTGTAAAGACTGTTGGGGATATTTCCGTATCCTGATCTGTCACACCAACTACAATCGCCAAATGGATTTTAAACTTGCAATTTTTTTAAAAAAAACCCATGTAGATGGATGTTTGCCTGGGGGTGGTTGCGAGTTATACCCTTTGAGTTGGTCCCTTTCTGCAATGTTTTTTTTTTAGTTTCTCACGGGCCACTGCCCGGAAGTTTCCAAGCCTTGGCGATTATTCTGCCCTAGATCAGGATACGAAAATCACCCCAGACTGTTAAATGGGTTTGAAATTTTAAAAAAATCTATGATTGCAAACAATCTATACTGTTACTCTACTACTAAAACTATTTTATCACAAATTAAATAAAGTATGAAATTGTTATTTAAAAATGTTCATTATGTAAAAACTCCTAAAAAGGTTAGAAATTTTTAAAAAAAATCAGTAATCACTAATTATCTACATTATTAAACTTTTAGTACAACTATTAAAACTACTTCACCTTATGTTAGAGAAATGAAAGTATTGAATAATCAAACATCACTGATTTGTGTTTATCAAACAGTGTGTATGGAAAATTTACATTTAATCCTTTATCTAAAAGTGTTTATTTTCTGAAAACTGCTTAAAGGGTTTGATACTAAAATATTTTACTGTAAATACAAATCATTTAGGAAACTTAATTTGTTGATTATAGCAATTTATTGCATTCAAATAAGCTCTTATATGTTGATAATCAAGCATAATGTATGTTATTTAGATTTTAAAAAAAGCCTATTGAAAAACGGCAAATATAATTTTGTCAAATAGTGTAATTTTTAAAACTAACAATTGTGAAAACATTTTGATTACCTTTGTTGTGTTTAATTATGTGTGTCTTACAAGTAATCATGTCCCAAAATTTTTTATTTTCGATATAGATGAGAACTATATTATATAATTAACTCTTTTGGAACTCACTGCTATAACAAGGTAAATCTCGACTCACAAATTGTTGTTGAGAGTCAAATGAAATTTTAAAAATCAATAGTTTTCTTTAACCATACAGAGGAGGGCTGATTTTACATTTGTGCCTTATTCTTGCACACATTAAAGCAGCAACAGTGTCCTAAGTTGAAAATGCAATTTAAATGAGAAGAAAAAAACATTTTTGTTTGAAATTCTCAGTATTGTTAGCCAAAACTTCAACGGGGGTCTGTCTAGGTTTTTCTGAGAGGTATCTACTTTGTGAAAATTTATATATAATTTGTGAAAATTAAAAATCATATTAAAAAATCAACACAAAAATATGGTTAAAACATGAATTTATAATTTCTTACGAGACACGAAAATAAAATTTTAAGAAAAAGTATTTTGTGAAACTACCGTTTTTCCTAAAGTTGAATTTGTGAAGGTACCACTAAACGGTAGTAAATTTGGCTTGGACAGACCCCTGTTTAACTATCGGTATTTTAAGTAAGTATTTATAGTAAGCTTAATTATAGGTATTTTAAATAGAAAACATTTTAAAGTAAAAAGGGAAAGTTAAAGATGTCATTTCTATCTGATTTCTTATTCTTTTTATAGCATTTTGGTCAGCTGTACCAACTTGCAATATTTTATAACAAAAAATTCACTATCATTATCATCTGGTGTTGTCTAATTGTTGAAGCAAATTACTAATGATGTTAATGAGCATTGGGAATCTTATTAAAACTCTACTCTTTAAATTATCTGATTTTTTTTCTCCTTACAATACTAAGGAGATATCCTTAAATATGTTTATTCAGAAGAGGGAATTGCACGAAATGTTGCAAAACTGTATTAAAAATGAAACGTTTATTCAGAGAGTAAAATATTGTATTTTAAATTTTTTCTTTATAATTATAGGCTATATCATAAACATTTAACCTTTCTAATGTGTTTATGGGACTTGTTTTCATTTATCTCAAACAATGTGTATAATCTCAATTAATTCTTTAATTCCCTGTATAAGTTTAAAAAGAAACACTATTGAAATTGTGATTAATATTTTTCTTTTAGTGATTTTAACTAAATATTTATCTGTTGATGATTTTTCTGTAAAAAACTATTTTGTAGAGATAAAATTTTAAAAAATTCTAATGTTCATAAAATTTTTAATGTTCATAAAAAAGGATTATAATGATTATTTTAATGATGAGGAAAATGTTTCTTTTTATAATACTATAGTAGCAAATGCATTTTGTGGACAGCTCGATATCAACTCAGGTTGATATTTTTTAGCTTAAAACTTCATTTTCATTTAACAAAAAAAATTTAAAACCATTAAGAAAACTTTATTTTATTACAGGCAGATATAAGGATGATGAAAACTGTTTTTCAATATCAAGGACATCAAGAACATATGTATAGAAGAAGCATTTGTTTAAATGAAGAATTGGATCTTATTTGTGCTCCAGGAAAAGACAAAATTGTGCGAATTTGGTCTCTCAGCTCTGGAAAATTAAACTATGAGAAGAAAGTTTTTGATAGAACTTATTGCTTGTTGAATAATGAACCTCCTCATTGCTGCTTTGTTTCAAATCAAAGACGTTGGTTTCTTTCTGTGATTCAGGATAATGTTTTAGTACCTGTGGTGCCAAATGATGAATTTCCAGATGCAAGTGAAAATGATGCTTCATTTTCATACAGATAGCCTTATTCTGTTACTATACAAATAATCAACATTCTAGCAATTTAGACTTTTTCATTTCTACTTTCGATTATGTAACAGCATTCACTCTTACAAATAGGCAATATCTAAAATTAAACAACAAAATTCTCCTATTTATTAGATTTTAATTTTTTATTTACTTTCATTTATTCAGTTGACTCTTATTTTAGATTCGCAGTTTCTCAATTCTGTGAAACCCTTCTAAGTTCTCAATAGAACTTGTTGCTTTACCAATAATGAGCCTTCTCAATGCTGCTTCATTTCTAATCAAAGAAGTTAGTTATTTTTTTATAATTCAGGATGTTAAGTTTCTGAATTCAAATTGAAAATAAAGTTGCATTTTTGTGCAAATACCTTTCTCTATTCTTACACTTATGATCATTTCTCTTTAAAAAAAACTAAACATTCCTTTATGTATAAGCTTCTACAAGGTCGAAAGTTTCAAGCAAAAACTTATTTTAAATCACTGGCAAATATCTATATCTTATAACATATATCTTTATATCTGATAGCATATATCTAATAATCATTTCTATATCTAATAATATGGAATACTTGTTTTATTTTGCAGAAAATTCATGGCCTCTGTAGAGGGTTCAAGTATGAATCACATGTATGCAAGTGTAAAAAAAAGTGATTGTTTTTCCATTGAAAGCATTTGTTTCAACTTTAGCATTTTTTTAATTTTTTTTTTTTAATTTATTCTTGTGAGTCATTTTATTTATGTATTATTTCAATGAAATTAATTTTATTTTTTTGTTAAATTATAAGTCTGTTATTCATGATGATTGTTTTCATATTGTTATTTTTGTTTAAAATAAAAGATTCAAGATTTTAATTTTAAAAAATAAATTATTTATAAAAACTTTTTGCAGTCTATGATTAAATCTTGTGGCATCAGTAATTAACCTTTGAATTTAAAAGCAGAAAATCTGCAAACAAACTTATGTATATTTTCTGTTTTTAGAGAACACTGGGATCTGAAAAGTTTTTACCCGATTTCTGTTACTAGAGAAGAAAATCTGAACACTATTCAGATTTAATGCATGATTATGCATTAAAAATTATACTAAACTGAATATTGGTTCTTTGCAGAAAGTAAAAGAAAAGAACCTACAGAACTACCACGTGAAAGCATATATGAACACAAATATTTTCAATATATTAAACTTTTTTCATGTGTTATTAGCACGTTTTTAAATGTTTAACTCATCAGGTATATATAGGGCAAAACATTACTGTCTGATAGGAGGCATCTATACAAGAATGTGTAATCAGAAAACAAGCAGTGAGAAAATAAAAGGTAGTTTTCCACAGTCACATTTAAAAAATTAACGCAAGAATGGGTAAAGTTGCTTCAGAAAACTTTTTATTTATAGGAATATGGTAGATGTACAAAAGATTGCTGGAAGAGCTTCTCAAAAAATCTTCCACCAGTAGCGTAGGGAGTGACATACTTGGTGGAAACAGCAAAAAATGCTTTGTACATCAATCAGAATCCCATGAATAAAATACTGTTTAAGCTTTTTTTCTATTTTTAGAACTTATTGCTACGCATTTCCACACAATATTGTAAATCCTGGATATTTAATATGTATCAATATGACACTCGAATCGCACATTTAAATGTGTCTGAGTCATCGCAAATCCTAGAGTATTTTTTTAAATCGTTTTTCAACAATTATTACTATGCTTTTTCACAGGATTTTGAAAGTCTTGATATTTTTTAATCTGGTAATATGAAGACTTACAAATCTGTCATTTTAATTAACCTTTTTGACGTTGGGCTAAAACAAAAACTAGTTAGAAAAGTGCTTGAAACTTTTTAAGATATTCAATTTTTTTTTTATTAGTTAAAAATATGATTCGCTGCAAAATTATGAAGAAACTTCTTAAAATATTTTTCATTGCATGCACAGTATAAAAGAACTAGCTTAAATACTCATAATTTGTGCAATTTTTAATGAATTTTTTAAAAATTTTGAATTGACAATTGTGGGATTAATCTTAAATTGCTCCAAAAATTCTGTTTAATTGCATCGAATATCTTATTAAGTTATGAAAAAAGGTAAGATGAAAAATTTAATTTTTCGTAAAAATGTCCATATCTCCATAAATATTTAACTCTAGGTTTACGAAACTTAATGCAGTAGTTAAAAATATCAACTAAAGTAATCGATACAATCACAAGTTTATTGCTTGATTATCTGGCATAGGGTGTTCAAAAATACTTGTTTTATTTTATAACTTATTGCCTTAAATTTTATTGCTAGGTATGAAAAATCACATGAACTAAATATCTCTTAAGTTACAAAATAATCCTTTCAGTATTCCTGGAGAAATTTAAAAAGATATTAAGACTGAAAGTGTCTCTTCCATTATTGTAGGGTAGTGTACATCTGTATTCAGTATTATCCAATACGGAAAATGTAACCAATGGCAGCCAGCACTATAAAATTAAAGATGCAGCTGCAATTTTAATGATTTTTCTTCTTTTGTTAATCTATAGTCTTAAAAAAATTCAGCTGGCACACTCAATTTAATATCCTAACCAGTTTCTTTAACCAATAGATTTGCTATGAATATAAAATGCTGTGTAAAAAGTTACTATGTACGAAATGTCGCAATTGTGTACATTGCCTAATACTTTTTGGTATAAGCCGAAGTATAAGAATTAATACATACTTAACTTAGGCACAACACACAACGGTAAATGCTTTTAAAGGCAAAGAATCATAGTATGGTTGGTAGATGTTAATTTATGAAGAAACGGTGCATTATTTTTTTAACCCTACCTTTTTTTTAAATATATGTTTAAAATAACATTTTCTTTAATAGATAAATTTTTTTAATGTTATTTTACCCAGCCCAGCAATGGTTCACATCACCAGTGGACTTTCAGTATTGTTTACAATGCAGGATTTTATAAAGATGCACTGTATGCTAAATAGGTTCTGAAATTTTTGAATAATTAGTACAAGAAACAGGGACAGTAAAAAACACATTTGTTTGCAGCAAATTTAACGCTTCAATCGCCCAAAATCAGCAGTTGTTTCAGGAAGAAAAAAAAGTCCACAAAATAATTTTAAGAGACCATTAAGTGAAGTTGCAAAAGATAGCTGACATTTTAAACATATCAGAAGGCAATATCTTTACAATTTTACACAAAAAAGTGCTGTTTTAGCTCACACAGGGCCCAAATTAATGTGTCTAATATTCATAATTCTTGGAGCTGTTCAAGCAAGATAGAATCTGTTTCTTGCTTTACTATATGGCAGTGTTTCCCAAAGTGTGGTACGCGTACCCCCAGGAATACGGGAGCAGTTTAGAGAGGGTACGCGTTCTTATGCAAAATGTTTTGCAACAATCGAAAATTTTAAAATAATTTTATTTAAAAACAAAGATAGCCATGAAAATTTACGATTACATATTTTTCTATTGGCTATTTTTTGCAGAGTTAACAGTTAGTAATGTCAATAGCCAGTTGTGATTTTTAACTTTTGTGCAATTTTTTTATAGTAAAAGTTTGTAATAAATTCTACTTATTTTGATTATTTTTATAAAATATAATTTTTATCCTTCTTGAAAATTAAACATGAGGAGTGTACTTTAACATCATTCTGGCTGCAAATGCAAAACATGTGTCCAGTTTTAACAGAAAAAATTGTGAAATATTTTTTGCCTTTTCCAACTTCATATTTGTGTGAAGTCGCTTTTTCAGCATTCGTGGACATTAATTCGAAAAAAAGAAATAGATTATTGGTGGTTGAATCGCATCTCAGAATAAAACTGACTACAAGAGAACCAAATTATGATGAACTGTTATCACAGCAAGAACAATATCATCCTTCTCACTGATGCAAATAAACTTATTAACGAAACTCTATACCAAAAAATAAAAATAAACATATTTTTAAAAAAATACATTCATATTTTTATTCGTGGTACACAGCGTTATGAAACATTTAGAAGGGGTACACAAAAGTCATAAGTTTGGGAAACACTGCTATATGGCAATGCATGATTGACAAATCGTGGAACAAATAAAGGAAGGAGTGTTGGACAAATAAAGTCTAATTTCTAAAAATAAAAAAATTTCTTAGCTGCACTTGAGATCGCCGGGTTGTGGCGAGCTGGACTGGTAGCCAGACCTAGGTACGTGTCCACGTCTGGAGGAAAGGAAAAAAGCTGCACTAGAAACTTAGTGATGTGTTACATACAATTTTTAACAGCTGCATATTTAAATGATTTTAAAACCTTTGTGTTTTAGGACTCAACACATTATAGTTAGATTGACAGAAAATAACTGTTTAATATTCTAATTGTTCCAATGATCAATAATATAAAAAATAGTTAGAATTATCAAAATTCTGTGATGTTTCTGCTCGAACTATGAACTAATATTATGTAAATGTATCATGTTATAAAAGAAACCACTCATTTTCAACTGTAAAATATTTTATGTAAATTCTTGTTCCATATATAAAATTTTAAATCATTATAAAGCAAAACATGTAAAATAAACATAATTTAAAGCTATCTAATTTTTAAACAGTTACAAACACTTTTAAAGACCCTCTCTTATAAGAGACCAATCATGAAAGCCATAAAAATTTCGACGACAAACAAAGTTGAGGTTTAATAAATTTCAGAAACAAATAATTTTCAATAAAGTAATGAGTAAAAATGTTCAAGTCATTCAATAATCCCTCAATGAAAAAACAATTTCTCGCACAATACAACTACTAGAATTTTGATTAAGATTTGTCTAATTTTTAAATAGTAACAGCATCTTTCATAACTATCGATTATTAATTAAATTTATTTTAAAAATATGCATATAGATTGAAATAGTGTGACTGCAATTTCTGATATAATTAATTAAACTTAACAAATTGTCTATATTTTATTCAAAACATAACCTTCTTAATTTTACAATTTCCCTTTTTTTCAGATTCAATGATTTAGTTTAGTTATTGCTTTTGTAGTACTTTTTTTTTTTAAATACGATTCATATTTAAAAAAGTGGAAGTTGCATAAAATAAATAATTATATAAATTCAGAAGTCGTATTTAATGCAACAAAAAAAAAGTAAATTTCAAAATTAATTCATTAAAACATTTCATGATTTCTTTTTTAATAATTTAGAAATTCTAAATCATTAATTTGAAGTATTTCCTATTTTTGACTAGTTATTTCCTAGAATATCGCAAAAACTAACCGAAATGTACAATATTTTTATGTAAAAAAATCTACCTCATATTTAAGTACACATTAAAAAAATTATTTACAGCAGCTGAAGACTTAAAAAACGATTATTAGATGATTGTAACCTCGCTATTAAACTCATTGGAATGCTTCAATGTTATTTAAAAAAGTATGTTTCAGATTTAGAATGCATTTAACTACTGTACTTCTGAGGTAGAATATAAAAATCCAAAATCTAAGTACTAATATAAACTTCCTTATATATATAAGTCGCAATTTTTTTCCCCTTAAAGGATATTTGGGAACAATGATTAGGAATATATTAATTGGAACAGTAGCATTTTTCATAACGCTAATTAGCTAGCAATCTAAAGCAATATATTTAACAAGAAAAAAGTGCATCTATAAAAAAAAAAAACATAGCAAACAGTAACAAAAGCGTTTTGTATAGTACATATTACAAGTTTCTTTTGCTTATAAACTTTTTCATATAAAAATAACAATACAAAGAAACATTGACGAAAAATAAAATTATTTTTTTTCCTTACAAAATGGAAATTTTCAATTTACAGATTTCAATTGCAAAGTCAATAAATGCATATTTTGTAGCACTCGCAAAAGATTTTGTAAAAGTGCCTCATAATAAATATCAACTATTCTCTAAACAGCACCACATTGCAATCTCAGTTTCTTTCTTTTCAGGAAAATAACACTGGTCACTAAAAGATTTCTATGCATGACAATTAAAGATAGTTGGTACAGTTCATATAACTGGTTATGCTTGACTGTCATCATTTAAGGATTCATCGGGAAGTATTAACCCATCATCAGTGCTCGAACTCAAAGACCCTCGTTTCATTAAGCTACGAGCCGATGCAAGTCCAGCTCCTGGTCCACCTCGCCTATAATAATTGAAGAAACATATCTTAATAAACATCTCATATGAACTTAAAAATACAATGGAGAGTCTGTTAAAATATTATGTAAGTAGCAAATAAGGGGAGAGGAGTGTGGTTTTCTTATTGATGACAAGGGAAGGAGGGGTATGAGTAATGTAAAACCTTAAAATAATTTTATTTTCAAAACTTTTTGTACGAAGCAAAATAAGAAATATTTTAAAAAGCTACTTGAGGAAAATTTTTCATATTTGGAATAAAAATTTAATTAGGGGAAAGAAAATCAATAGTTTGAACACAGACGATTCATAATGAATAATCTACTCAAAATTTTAAAAAAATAATTAAATTGTAAACTTTCCTCTTTTATTCAAATTTTACCCAAAAATTAGATCACAATAGTAAAAATAAAAAGTTAAAACAAAAAAGGTGTGGTGTCATGACTAAGTAAACAGGGGAGGGGTTTGTGATTTGCTTATTTTTGCTGACAAGGAAGAGAGGGGTACAAAATCAATAATATGTTTATGTAATATTTGAATGGACTAAGAGTCTCCTTATAGCAAATTTCTCCTGATAACGAAAATTTTAATTCTGACTGAAAAATAACACTAAAATAAATTTTTTGACTTTTATCTTTTGTAATTTTTAAAGAAAATTCCAATTAAATGATAGAAATTCAGAATTGAAAGGAACAGATAAAGGGACTTGAATAACAGATGATGTTACTTTCTCGAACATTTTGGAAGTGGTCAAAAAGCTTGACTGCTTCATATTCTGCAGATGAAGAAATTTGAAGAATTGAATAGCATTAAAGGCAAGAAGAGTAACAGTAATAAAAAAAATGGCACAACTAAATGCACATTAAACTGAAATGCTATATGATCCTCAAAACTATTAAAACAGGTTTTTTAAACAGAAGAAAATATGTAAGATTATATTTAGCTCCTTCCTAAAATGTGAAAATTTAAGGTTACAAAGTTCTACCTAAATTGAAATCATGGAATTCTTTAACTAAAATAAACATAAGAACATACTAATACATAGTCTCTTAATTGATGAACTGTCTTCACACCTAAGCTTTTTATAAATGCAATAAAAATCAATGATTTTAATAAATTTATATGCATAATAATATTTAATTATAATTATATTTAATAAATTATACTTAATTAGAATTTACTATTACATATTTTTGAACTCATAACACAGACTAGAAACTTTTCAACATTTACTTATATAATTGCAAATATTTGCGACGAACTCAAACATCTACTAAACAAAATTTTCGCTACATCAAATTTTTTCTTTACTGGAACCAATCTATTGTGTATTAGAGAAAATCCCATTCAACTGTTAGACATGTGAGTTTATGACACATAATTGTCATTTATAGTCCCATAATTTATTTATTTCAGATTTGAATAGAAACCTTTTTAACATCATATAGCAATTTATATACCTACAAAGTCATATGTTCACGCTCTACTATAAACAGTGTTCTATTATTAACATAATATAAATTGAGAGGCATAAGCTACATATAAAATAGTAAAGTTTCTTGATTACTAATACAGGGTGCATAGCCAAATCTTTGAATCAAAAATAAGCACTTTTTAAAAACTTTTCAAGCACTTTACAAAAATTTTCAAGCACTCAAAAAATTCATATTCAATCAATGATATTATTGAAAAACAAAAACTTCTTATAAAGAATTTTAGCGTTAAAAAAAACCCAAAAAGAAACTGACGTAAATCAAAACAATCAGTACTTTCCCACATCTTCGAGTGAATTCAACTTGACCCTGAGCTCAGAACAAAAGTACCCTTACCCCCTACGTCAAAAAAGTGTTAGAAGTAAAACAAAATAAACAAGAATAAAATTAAAATAAATTAAAAAAAAAAAAAGGATCTGACTCTATCCGAATTGGAGCACTCTGGTTTCAGTTTCGAGTGTGCGCGCATGCGCAAGTCATAACGTGGGTACGACATGAAGTCCGCGTGAATGATTACATAGCAAACACCCCATTTTTCGTGAAATGCAGGGGATCCGCCAGATATCACTGAAGAAAAAAAATACATTTTGTGGAAAAAAAGCACTTTTTAAAAACACCAGCTGAAAAAAGCACCTTTAAAAGCTTTTATAAACGAAATCCCCAAAAAAGCACCTTTAAGTACTTTTTACAAACGCTGCGCACCCTGTAATAAATATTTAATGCAAAATTTCCTCACTCTTCACACACAATGAACTACTACGAAAGTTCCGTGTTTTTTTGGATAAACCAAGATCATATCAACTAACAAAAGCATTCAAAAATTGAGCAAAAGCATTTATTTACTTAAGTTTTTATTATATTCATTTTAATAAGAAAATTTTTGAAATAAGTTAAGAGTTATAAAATATGTACATAAAATGATATATAAACAACCATGTGCATTTAAATATCAAATAAAATATTCATAATTAATCATGCATAATACATTAACAGTAATCTCATGCATCTTAATGGATGAACTAACTAATAGCATAAAGCAAACTCTTAATACTTCGGATAGAATGTTTTTAAAAATCATACAGCAATGAGCAGATAATTTATTATAGAATAGATAATTCCAATTAAATTTAAATATCTACTTTGCCAAATTATTTTTCTCTGGTTAAAGCAGCTTCTCATAAAACATTTTTCTCTTCAATAATATTTTAGTGCAAAATTATATGCATATGAAGTTTATTTAAATAATTTTATTTTAGTTTTAATTCTTATAGCATGCTAAATAATATAATACCATAAAATTAAAATCTCTTTATATATTTCACCTTCAAAAACACATTTAATCAAAAAAACATTTATTCAACTAACAAAGTTATTGCAAATAATATTTTAAGTACATCTGAATGATAATACAAAAAGGAGGAACGGACAAAAACACGGGTAGTAAGTTAAATATGATAAATTATCGCTATCCTAATAATTTTTTTATTAATTAGTTTGGATATGGAGTTGAATGAAAAGGTGCTGCGTTAAACAGGGTATAGTGTTGGTAAGTTGTTAAAATGGCTTTAAAAAATATGTCTAATGCCAAAAAATAAAACTTTACTCTAGTACTCAAATGTCATGTTAACAATAATAAAGTGAAATACCGAATGGGTTATTTTACCTCATTTGTTTTATTTAAAGATTATATTTAAAATTCAAGATATTTCAGAGCTACCTTTTAAGATCTTACCATCATTATCTATACGAATGTTAAAAAATAAACATTTCTACACACACATATAGCTAAAATCTTGGGAAGTAAATGATATACGTATGAAACAGAACTATTGAAAACATCTTTAAAGCATGCAAAGCACTACTTAACTATCTATAACTACAAACTAATAGCAATCAAAGTACGCATTCATTACAAAGAGCATAACATTTTTAAATTTTTTTAGAATGGAACTGCAAAAAAATTACCCATTTTCCTACAAGGATGTCATGTAACATATATAAAACAATGTTAAAATATGAATTTGCAAATTAATTAATAAGTAAATCTATTATATTAAATGCAAAATTTAATTTAAAACAATTTAATTGTATGTAATCAAAAAGAACTAGTTGTAAGTAATCTAAATTCTATGTAATCAATGATGTTATTAAAAAAAAAACATTTCAATGAAATTTTATTTTTTACTATTTAAAGATTTGAAGCTACACTATTATTTTAAAAAATAGTTTAGTAAAACAAAAAAATGAAAAGACACTACAAATGATTCAGTTATTCACTTGCATGTGCTTTAGCACAGTAACTATTGTTACAACTTGATTATTATTATTTTTAATAAATGAGAATTAATTAACTGGAAAAATAACCACCTTTTGCAATATTTGAGAATTCAAATTGCTATAGCATTACTTTAACATCTTTAAAGAATCATTTACGATCATTTACTACATTTTAATAAAGTTTTGAAAGAGCATTCAGCCATAATGGTATTTAAAAATATATTCGTAAAATTAGGAGTGTTTTTAATTCATAATTTGTGAATCAAAAATTAGTTGCCAAGTAACACAGCTTCCAGTCATCTAGGATAATTGAAATGCTTTTAAAGACTTTTCCCTGGATATCAGAATTTAATAAGTGAAAATAATTTTAAAAAAATAACAAAAAATTTACTAAAACAATAAGAATTAACAATCATACAATATAATATTTGACTTTAGTATCTCAAAAATTAATAAATAAAAATGTATAAATTTTTAAGATAAGTTTATATAAGTTTATTTTACCTAAGTTTATTTTTTAAGGAAGAAGTTTCTCGATTAAGGGTAGCATTAGCTTCTATTAAGTCTTCAATTTCTCTTTGAGCTTTTCTTCTTTGAGCCTTTTCTCGAGAACATTCTTCTTCAGATTCATCCAACTGACGTTTAAGTGCTTTTACTCTTGCATTTGTTTTCTCTACCTACAACAATTTGCAAAAAAGTTATAAGCAATTCTTGATTACCCCCCCCCCACACACACACAGGGTGGCTACTAAATATTGCAGCACTCCAAAAAATATAAATTTATTTTAATCATTTGGTAAAACCATTTCTCTCACTATTCCTGCGAGTGGCACTTTCTTAAAATACAGGCGATTCTTGTTCAAAGAAAAAAATTTAGAATCAGTTTAAAAATCGAGCTGAGAAGGTTGATGGTTAAGCAGCTTTTAGATTGTGGATTTTCTGCAGGTAGGAAATTAATATCTTTTGGGTTTAATAGAACATTTATATATAGAACTAAAAATCGATTATTGGATACTAATGGCTGCAAAGAACAACCCTGGTCTGGTCGCCCATACTTAATTCGTACAAAGAGCACATTAAAAGAAAAGAAATCCACAAGGTTCTAATAAAATGGCAGTAGAAGAGAACGAGAGTCAGAGAACTATGCAAGTTATAAAGGGTTCTTGTCTTTATCGCAAAAAAGTTCAAGGTTTGACAATTTCACAAAAATTAAAAAAGGTTACAAAGATATACGAAATTGCTGATCTGGCACCTTGGCGAAAGTGTTGGCAGAATAATCTATTCTGATGAGAAAATATTTTGTACAAATTGAAGTTATAATACTAAAAATAATATTCTATACTCAGCTATCTTCAATGATATACCTGAAAGTGTTTGAACTGTAAAACGCTTTCAGAACAAGAATTCTGTAATGTTTTGAGCTGCAGTGTCAAATAACAGAAAATTTCCTCTGAAATTCATCGATAAAGGAGTAAAAACCAATGCTGAATATAACAAAAAGAAAGTATTGACACATTTATTGTCACATGCTTACAGATTTCAGCAAGATGTGCACGAACACGCCGAGTCAATTGCCCGAAGTTTATAAATTAAGAAGATTGGATCCTTTCTTCCCCGGATTTATATCCTTTAGACTGTTTTGTTTGGGGGGTTCTAGAGGCTAAAGTTAATGCTAAGTAGCACAGAAGTTTGGACTTTCCTAGAGCTTTATTGCGTGAATGGGACAAACAACCGCTTAGAATGAATCGTGTCACCATCGGACAATGGGGTAAGAGATTATCTTTCGTAATAGATAAAGATGGTGATAGATTCGAATAAAAAAATTTAAGGTTAACTTTTATTCATAGTGTTCATCATATTTGTGTATTTATCATTTTCTATTTAATATCTGTACAATAAAATAATTCGATATTTTCAACAGTATTTTGTAGCCTCCCTGTATGTGTATATATATATATATATATATAAAATAAAAACTGCACAGATAATTATTTTTCTTTTCTTTTTTGCATTTTTTTACAATTATTCAAAAAACATATTTAGCAGAGTTGTTTAGGCACTTTGCCTAACATCTGTTTACAATAAACTTTAATCATTTTTCTTCTAAGTTTTGATTATTAATCTTTAATAAACAATATAAAAAATTGAAGGCAATAAAAATGTATATATATGTACACATAAATAATTAAAATAAGATGTTAAGAGATTTTTTTCACTGAATTTTGAAAGGAAAATAACCAGATTAAAATTAAAATATTATTTTACCATTTAATGTCACAAAATAATAAGTACTTGTATTTTAATATTAGCTTCAACAGTTTCACTAAAAATTTATATTTTAAAAATTTATTTTTACCTGTTCTTTATATTGGTCAGTATGCCTTCTTTCATCCTCCAATTGCATTAAAATTTCTTTAAGTCTCTTCTCTAATTTTCTATTATTTTTACCCAAAGCCTGTCTTTCTCTAAAAAATATATATAAATTATTACTTCAATAGCTACTAAATAAACATTGGAAATAGGTTTAAAGCTAAAGAATCATTTAAAGATAAGGAAAAAAAATGCCACAAATTTTGCATGAATAAGATCAAGATAAATTATATCAGTCTAATACAATAAGTAAAAATTTAAACATATTATAAGCAACACAGGGTAATGATATAGAGATGCCAACCTGTAACATATTTTTCTATAGTCTCGTAAGTTATTCAACCATAGTTTTACACACTAACAAATCAAGTTTTACAATACTTTAAATGTTAATCCTCTGTTTACTGAGGATACAACTGATCGACCAAAATAACAGCTAATATAATTTTAAATCCTGTAAATAGAAGGTTAATGATTAAAGTAATCATTTAACCCTTCAAGCATTCAGGCTGAGGAAAATTGCAGATGTTTTCTACAACCTGCTATTTCCATAGAATAACATGAAAAACGTTTGTTTTTTGTTGTAAAGAAAAAAGTGTGGTAAAGCTGGGACTAATCCTCAGAGAATTAATTGATGCAGAATAAATAATTTTTTTTCCATCAAACAATAACAAATGTTTAGATATATTTAAAGCAATTAAAGTTGACAAAATCAAAAAGTTTGCTCGGGTTTTAATTTGCAAATAAATGAAACAATATAAAGTTAAATATTTTTTCCACATTACAAAAAGTTAATAAAAATAAGGGAGTTAATAAAAATAAGGGAGTTAATAAAAATAAGGGAGTTAATAAAAATAAGGAAGTTAATAAAAATAAGGGAGCTAATAAAAATAAGGGAGTTAATAAAAATAAGGGAGTTAATAAAAATAAGGAAGTTAATAAAAATAAGGAAGTTAATAAAAATAAGGGAGTTAATAAAAATAAGGGAGTTACCAAATTTACTACTTAATCTTTGGATAATAAAAAAATACCTATTAAAATGAAATTACCACCTTAAAAAATAGTTTTTAATGCCAAGGTTCAAACATTTTACACTAATAATTAGTACTATAAATAATGACACAAAGAAAACATACATTGAACACAGGGTTTAAGCTGAGTCTAAAAATTCATTAGCAAAAAAGCTAAAATCTGAAAAAAAGTTTTAGCAAAATGCTAAAATGCCATTAGGCTTTTAAAATTACTTTATATCAAACAAGTACTGTAAGTTATCTGACAAAGAATAGCTTAATGTACAAGAATATCAAAAAGAATACCTATAACAAAAAAAAAAAAAACACATTTATTATTTATCAAAACATTTTGGTTTATAATTAACAATCTTCCTTTCTTTCATGTTTGCCCATTTTACAAATGCTTCTTGAAAGTTAAATGCACTTTCAGGGCCCTCAATATTAATCATTAACAAATTGTTTACATGGTTGATTAACAACCTGTTTCGAATATTAGTTTTAATCAAATTAAGGCAGCTAAAGCCCCTTTCACAGTCAACAGTGTGCATTGGTATTGTTGCACAATACTCTATAACAGAAGTTATTAATGGGTACTGTTCAGACACATCATTGGTATATAAAAATAAAAGTAATTCATTAAATGACATGTTTTTACATCGTTGCATTAAGATGTGTTTAAATAATCCCCATTCACAAAGTAATTCAGTTTCTGTAAACTGAAAATCTTTTCTGGGAGATTCCGAAAACAAATTGAAAATGCAACGGATTTCCTTTACACCATAATGCTGTAATTCTTCCGAACTATGGGGCATCCTGCTAGGTATAAATATATTGAACATTTCGATTTTATCCAAATCTCCCAATCTATCAGTAATATTTTCAATGTTACAGTTTAAAAATTGTGCATCAAATTACGGAATCTTTCCCTCTGTTTCAGTCCATCTAAAATTATATGGCCCTGAAACTCAAATTTTTCACTTTCCTTCTTAGGCACATCATCTAAAAAACTCATATAATGAGTGCCGGTGCCATTTTTTTATTTCTTCTAAACTTGAAATACAAGCCTTCACACTTGATTGAACATATTCAAAATTTAAATTAGATTTTTGAAATATGAGGCTTAATTTATTAATGTTGAACATGATATCATTCATGATGGCAGTGGTTGCTATAAACAAAAAAGTAGTTATATTTTTTAACAACCCTTGAGCAACAGGACGTTTGTCTTCCATTAAAACACTAACTAGAGCTTGCCAGTTGCAATCCAGAGCTGTAACTGAATTATCCAAAGACAGCCACCGAGTTGTTGATAACTTTATGAATTTCCTTGATTTTCGTTCAAGGATATCTTGAACATTCTTCAATCGCCTGGTATTTGCAGATAAATTTTTAGATTTTATTATTTTCTCGAAATAATAAAATCTAAATCTAAATACACGAAAGATATTTAGATTTTTTCTCCTTCTTGTTTGATCAAGTTTTTTTCATGGATGTTAGCGTCACGGTTTTTCGCGGAAGCTTTTTTTTTAATAGAATTTAGTAAAATCCTTTAGCAAAAATGCGAAAATGCTTTGTTGAATTTTAGCATTTTTGAGGGGTCTTTTCGCATTTTGCGAAAAAAGCTATCGTAGCGGAAACCCTGATTGAACATAAATATAAGTAGCTAATGATTAGTAATATAAATTTAAACAATTAATAATAATAAAAATTAATAATAAAATTTACAAGGTTTATCTTAATGATTGCTCAATGAAGAAATTCTACAGAAATAGGTTTGACTATGTTAACAAAAATATTGTTACATACTTTGCTTCTAATTCTAACTGTTCTTCAGCCTGTGAAACTTTAGCTTCTAAGGCAGCAATTGTAGCTTTTGTTCTTGTTCTTTGAGAAGTCTCTAAATCTTGCAATTTGGCACGTAGCTCTTTGTTCTAAGGTAAAATAAATATTATAGAAATGAAAATAATCTCACCAATAGGAATGATTAAAACATTATTTTGATTGAATACAAAACATTCAAGTACATCAGATTTTTGTGTTTATTTCATCTCTACATGCTGTTCGAAAAATGAATAGCAATTATTCGACATTTTATAATAAATGTATTTATAATACCCAACATTAATAGGAAAAAAAAAATTATACCCGTTCAACTGATATTTTTTAACAAATTAAATATAATTTCCAATAAATATTAAATATTAATATATTTCCAATATAAATTAAATAAATATTATTAATCTCCAATAAATATTAAAATATTTCCAATATAAATTAAATATTATTTAAATATATAATGTTGAAAGTTTTCGGGAAGCTGTGGATAATTTTTTAAATAATTTGAGTAAAAATGATTTTCCTTTTAATTTTTGTAATGTTAATTTTTTAATTAAAAAAATGATTGATGTTTTTAAGTTTTTATACATTTTTTCTTTTAACAGGGCGCAATTCTAGTCTTAACTGAGCAGCCCCAGTTAAGCATTCTATTAATTTATCTACGTTTCTCCTTCTCCTGACCTTTTTCATTTCATTTTTAAACTTCTACTGCGCATTATTATAGGGGGCGTTGTTTTTCAGTTTTTAGTGTTTTCTTTTCCTCCATTTGCTTTTGAAGTTGATTCTTGACCTGTGACTGTGAGTTTTTAATTTTCTTTTCGTAATTTGTTTATTCTTTTGAATGTATCTTGTTTTTCCTGGACCTCTATACAAAACCATCGGGGTACTGAGGGAGATATTTTAAGCTTTTGCTTCTCCCTCAAATAGAAATGGTTTTGTTTTTAATGGCTACCGGGGCCGGTACCCCCTGAAGACGTCGGCTTCGGTGGTCATATTTTTATTTTATTTCATTTGTTCTTGTATTCCTAAATGATCCATAATTTCCCATTTATCAGCCAAAATAGCATCACAATTGTATTAGAAGTTCATAACTTTTAAATTTTCAAGGTGAAGACAGTTAAAAAGTACAACAGTTTACAAACTTATGTACAAGAAAAGCGAACATGCTACATTAGTTTTTGATCAATGAAAAGGCATAAAAAATTGCTCAACAAGAGCAATAGTTAAAGCTGAAAATTTCAAATGTTTCAAGGATTTTTCTGAATTATCTGAATAATAGGGATTTCTAGCTAGGTTACTTATAGTAAAAATGTATAAAAACATTTTAGTCCTTTTTTTGTAATTAAAAAGTTAAAGATTGTACATAAAATATTTGTTGATGGTTATAAACTTATGCATTAATATGTATATTAGGTATTAATTATATTATAACAATATATATATTTTTCTCTTAAAAAATACTTTTAAATTTTAATCACATTAACAAAATTTTTTAATGATCAGATTATGTTTCATTAGTAAATATTTTAGATAACTAATAATTTTTTTATGTCATTTACACAAACAAGTAAAAGTATTAATAAAGGTATAATCAAGGGTAGTAGATTTTTTTTTTTTTTAAAGCTTATCCTGTATTTTATAAAATGGTCATAAGGTAGGTTCATTTGAGAAGATGCACAAGAGCCTGGTTACCCTGTCTTACAGTAAAATAAAGTGCAGAAAAATAAGTAATAGAAATTAATTTTAAAATGATATTTCTATTTATTAAATAAATTACTTGTCTCTCGAGAATCATTCTGTTATTTTCTAGTTTCTGTGAATTAGCTCTTTCATTTGCTAAGTCATTAGACATCTGTTCAATCTATAAAAGAAAACAGTTTTTTCAATAAAAATGTTTAAAGATTGTAAAATTAATGAATAACAATTAAATGAATAACAATTGTTTAAGTTATCACCTGTCCTTGTGCTTTACGAGCCTTATCCATGAGAATTTCAGAATTGCTTTGTTCTTCTTCAAGCTCCTCTTCTAATTGTTGTATTCGGGCATCCAATCTTCGCTTCTCATCTTGTAGCAGAGAACTGAAAAATTTTATAAGTTCTATTTTTCAGAGACCTTACCTTTTTAATTTTTAAGATAGAAACGATTTCATATAAAACTATAACCACTAAAACAATTTATTTGCTTTTATTTAAATTAAAACTTCTAGATATTGGTGAGTATTATTAAAGTTCCAGATAAAATTATTTTTAACATATAAAAGTTGTTGAGGACTAAAAAAAACTGCAAATACATCTAAAAACACTAACTTACACACACATCTAAAAATTTTCTAAACACTATTTTTATTTAGTATAAATAGCAAAATATAAAAACTATGAACTTTTAGTATTTTTGATTGTAGAAATATTAAGCTCACATTTGATTGAATAAAAATCTAAGGAATTGAGTTGCAAATCTGAAAACCTAAGTAAGCTTATCTCAATAACAAATGAGCCTCATTGTTACTTGAAATTTTAAAATGATAGATTTATTGTTAAACCATTTTAAGCAAGTTCAAAATACAAAACTATATTATTGTTTTACCCGATTACATCTTTAACTTTCTGTTACCAAATTTTCATCCCCCCCCCCAAAAAAACAACTTTATATTAAGAATGGAATAAAACTCTTACGATCAAGAGTGCTAGTTAATTTTCAGACACTATTTGAATTTAGTGTTTTAAAATCTCACCCAAAGGCTTTGAAACCTTTATAAAATCAGAAACAAACCTTTAAAAACAATGATTACTTATTCAAATGTATTATTAGGAAATGGATTACTAGATGTACTAGGAAAACTACTACTTATTTAAACATATTCAAGGAAATTTCATGACTCCAATTTTTTTTTTTTTAATTGCAAGAACTTAAAAAATAATAAGAATAATTATATAGTATTTTCATTTTTTTCCCCTCTCAAACAATTTAAATTTTGCACAAGATTAAAAAATAGATGGATTGGAATAAATAACTAGTTTGATGAGTGTAATAAGTAAAAACAAATAAAACAATTAGCTTTCTAGAACTTAATATAAAACATTTTCAAAAATATTTTCATCTATGCAGTCAAATTGAGTTAATAGTTATTTGATACAGTGTTTGAAAAATTATGTAGAAAAGAGTTTTTTTTTAGATACCTTCTGGAAGCAGTAGTATTGATTTCTTCCTGCAGTTCATCTCTTTCAGCTTCAACTGCTCTTCTAATTCTTTCAGAGTTGGCAAGATCTTCTTGTAGTTGAATCATTTCAGCCTCCATTGACTTCACCTTCTTTTCAATTTCCTTCAGCTGCAGAGTAAGCTCTTCTTTGGCAGCATGATCGGCTTCAGCATCACGTTGATAGTCCTTTAATTGGCTCTGCAAACATGTAAACAGACATGTGATTGCAGGTAGAAGAAATCAAATTTTTTTCCTAACCGTTCTTTGATTTTTTATTTCCTTTAACGAATCGGACACGTTAAAAAGGGATTAATTAAATGGACGTTTTAAAATTCGTTTGGTGCAGAAAGCAAAATCTTATTAAAAATAGCGAGATTATAAAAAATATGCAAAAATCAGCATTGATAACTGCCAAGAAATGTATTGAAAAAACTATAGAATTATCGCGTCAAATAGTGAATACTGAGTTGCAGGATTTGAGTTTACTGTGTCGTAATAATATTGGAGTTTTAAAAACTATGAGTAAATTAACTGGAGAAGAAAAAAACGGAACAATGAAATAACTGGCATTTACAATGCTATTAATCGCGTTGAAAAGTGAAAAAAAAAGCATTAAAAACTTAACAAAAATCATTACACTTAGCATTTCCTAGATATTCGCTGTTAAGAAAAGCATAAAAAGTTTAAGGTGACAAGAACAAATTCATAAAAAAATGATTATAATAACAAACTGGCTAACAGTAACATGAATTGATACTTCTTAATTATTCAGCATGTCTATATAAGCAAATTTTTTCTTCGACACAGTTTTTAACATGCGTGTAAATTTAATTCTTCGGCAAAGTTAGTCTCCTAAAAGTAGTGAAATTGTGCCTACACTCTAAAAATAGATTGTAGATACATTTTTAAAAAAAGTAGTTCTTCCCGCCACAGGTATAAGATAACTACCAGATAAAAATGGATCCTGTATTCCAACTAGCAAACCAACATTCATAGTTTAGAGCTCAAAACAAGTTGATTTGTAAACTTAAGAAAACTTTGCTTATCTCAATCTCCATAATGTTTTTCGCATAATTGCAATAACTTTATCAATATTAAAAAACAAACTTTAAATATTACCTGTAATTTTTTCAACTGCCTCAAAGCATCTTCTTTAACTTTATTGGCCATTTCTAGTTGCTGTTCCATGTCTTTAAAGTCTCCTTCAACTTTCTTCCTGGCACTGATTGCAGCAGTCCTCTGTTTCCTTTCATCCTCAAGCTCTGACTCTAAATCTCTGATCTGTCAATGCAGTTAATATCAATTGAAGCAGAACAAAAAATTAAATCAATTAGCAAGAATTGAATGCTATATAAAATTCAAATTACTTGTTTTAATAAGGATCTCCTTTTTTCTTCTGCCTGATCATCCTTTGCCTGCAGATCTCTATCAAATTGAGCTTTCATGGCTTGCATATTTACTTCAAGGCGAAGTTTGGCATCTTCAGTAAGTTGCATATCGTCCTCCAGTTCTTCAATTTGAGCTTTCTGAGCAGCAAGTTGACTTTCCAAAGCTCTTTTAGCTTTTTCCAATTCATGAACCTTTAAATAAAGCAAAATAACAAAAAGGTAAGCGTAAATAATTTCTTTAAAAAAAATCATGCATGCTTGATTAAATATATATATATATATATATTTTTTTTTAATTGAAGCTAACACATTGCTGCACAATTTTAGTTTGACGATTAAGCTCAGAAACTCATTTTTTCAATTGTTTATGACTAACATATGAAATTAAGTGTCACTCGTATGTTAAGAAGTAAAAATTATCACATTTTACCAGTCTTCCCATGAAAACTCTGAAAAGCTGTAACAGTCATTAGTTCATTACAAAAATTTTTCTCCTCCTAAACCATATATATATTTTTAAATAGTTCAGTTAGCTGATCTTGCTGGGCAAATTATTCAATATCTTCATATTTTTCTTTCTTGGAACATTTTCATTTTTTCTGACGTTATAAGAACTTATAATGTCTCTTTTACCAACAATTTCATTCTAATGACTTCTCACAATTTAAAGAAAATTTAATATTCTAAAAAGATTATTTAACCAGTAGAAAGATAAAAACGATTTTTTAAATGGTTTAGTTTAATATGTTTAGTTTATATTGTAGAAAAAAGGAATAAAAAAGTAAATAACTTAAGTGAGAAATTTTTTTAAATAGGAACTTCACTGCATATAGAAATAAAATATCAAGCATTATTTTTATCAATATTTTTTTTATTCTATGAATATTTTTAATATATATTACAGTTATTACAGACTAGGGGTTTCCAACTAAGAGGGTCACAATCAAAAACATTCAGCTATTAGTGAGCAGTAACTTAACATGGACCATACATAGAATTTTTTTGGCCAACTTTCATCTCAAGCTTAGCGAAACAAACACAAGTATTAAATTACAAATTTAAAAAAATGAAAAGTTTTCTTTTTTGCTTAATAATAAAAAGTCTAGACAAATATTTTAATTTGATGGCAAATATAGCTATTTAAAATTAATGACCAGAAGAAAAAATGTCTTGTGAAAAAAATCAAGGTATATCTTCTGTTACAAAAAAAAGGAAGTTTATCTCAAGCTCTATTATTGTCGTAGGATATAGATCAGAAAAGAAAGAAGAGAAAAATTAGAGGAAATTCTACATACCCGAAACATAGATTTAAATTTTTTGCCAAAATCTTTCAAATTATTTTGTTTCTTGTTAAAAAAAGAATCCAAAAAATATGTTAAATTTGATAAGGGAGCAGGGTGCGTAGCCAAATCTTTAAATAAAAAATAAGCACTTTTTAAAAACTTTTCAAGCACCTTACAAAAATTTTCAAGCACTCAAAAAATTCATATTCAATCAATGATATTATTGAAAAACAAAAACTTTTTATGAACAGTTTTAGCGTTAAAAAAAACCCAAAAAGAAACGGACGTAAATCGAAACAATCAGTACTTTCCCACATCACTGAGTGAATTCAAATTGATCATGAACTCAGAACAAAAGTACCCTTACCCCCTACGTCAAAAAAGTGTCAGAAGTAAAATAAAATAAACAAGAATAAAATTAAAAAGAAAAAGATTTCATAAGCATCTGATATTCTCTATCCGAATTGGAGCACTCGGGTTTTGGTTTCAAGTGTGCGCGCATGCGCAAGTCATAACGTGAGTACGACACGAAGTCCGCGTGAATAATTACGTAGCAAACACCCCATTTTTCGTAAAATGCATGGGATCTACCAGATATCACTGAAGGAAAAAAAATTTCTTCGTGAAAAAAAAGCACTTTTTAAAAACGCCAGCTGAAAAAAGCACCTTTAAAAGCTTTTAAAAACGAAATCCCCCAAAAAGCACCTTTAAGTACTTTTTACAAACGCTACGCACCCTGGGGAGTAAAGGGAACAAAAAAGCATTAAATTTCATGAAAAATTAGAGAAATCAAAATAGGATTTAATTTACATCACACTAGAACTGCACAATGGGCTCTTAGCGACATTCTGGGAAACATCCCTGAGGATGATCTGGAGACATATTTGATCATCACAATTTTGATCTTTTGCAGCATGATAATCTGAGCGCGAAGTAAAGCACTTTATGATAAAAAAGTTTAACGAGAACAGGTACCGAGCTCCTTCAATCTTAGAGGTCACCCATTTGCTTATTGACGTCAGTGATGTTTGACTTCAGTGTTCTGTAGATGTATCTTCAAAAGACCTCAGGCTGGAAACCCTTGGTCCAGATTTTATTGGACATTTATTTATTTTTTATAAAACATTCATACAAAATACTTTATTGATTTCAAGTTGCTTACAGATTTAAGAAAAAAATATAACCTTACATTTTTATCAGCTGTGCCTTGACTATTAACAAGTTCATCCAGTTCCATTTGCAGTTGTTTGCGCATCCTTTCCAATTCCTCCAGCTTATCTTGGCTATCTTCCAAATCTCGAATCAAGGATAATATCTTGGTCTCTTTTTCCCTGGATTCCCTTTCAGCATTATCTCTTTCTTGTGCAATTCTTTCTGATACTGCTTTTTCTTCAGCAAGCAATTGATCGAACTTCCTCTGCTTTTTCTCCAATTCTGAGACTTTAGTCCTTTGGCTTTCCAATTCCATATTCAAATCTTCTACCTATAAATATAAAAGTATAATAATAAAAATTAATATAATAATAGATACAGATTTCAAATCTGTACAGTTCATACTAGATTTTGTTTAAGGTTATCATTAAATAAATAATATAATCCAAAATAAAGTATTAAATAAAGATAACTAAGATAATCACTGAAATTTATTTCTTTAATGTAAAAAAAATTAAATCACTTAAACACTACAGTTATATTTCCAAATGTCTTTTTGTTCCTTAAATTAATTTAAATAAAGCAAGCTCGCAGTAATACAAGTTACTACATACAGAACAAAGTTCCTTATCTAGAGGTTCGTTTACCGAAAGGGTCTCTTTTCCTTTTTCCAGACATTTTTTAACAATCAAAATAAACAAAACTCTTTCCCTTTACAAAAAAATTTCTTTTAGACTTGCGACTTCGTGCAATTTCACGCTTATTTGTGATTTTTAACAGATTTCTGATTTTTGCTTGATTTTAATCAAATTTAGACTATAATATAAAAAAAACTGGATATCACGGAATCAAAATTTGGCATTAATGTAAACAGAAAAAAAATTTTTAAGTTGCAGAAATCTTTTAAACTATAAAAATAAAACATTCAACTCTCAGAAACGCTGTTCATGTATTTTAAAGAGTAATTTTATTGAAAAGATAAAACTAAGCACAAAGACAAAAACTATCCTAACTATACATCACTCTACTAAGAGTAGAACATAATTACATAACAATAAAACACCCAATTTCTCCTAGCTTTAACACAACAGGAAGTGACATCTTTCACCAAAAAGTGACACAACAGAGAGGAAAACACTATCCATCAATTTGTTTACACTTTGGATCTATTTGTTTTTATTTGTTTAATTTTTTTGCATCTATTTGTTTACATATTTTGCTCCCTTTCCTATTTGCTGTACTTAGTATTTTCAGAATTAGCAAAAAACTTAATTTGACCTTGAGTTAATGGTCCCTCAAATATATTTTATTACCAAATAATGTATGTCCTTTAACCACAGATTTTGCGAATATGTATGCTGTATTGTTCAAAATTCTAACATATTTCAATTCAAAGAATTTGTTACTAACATTGTGTCTAACAAAATGGTTACAAACTTGATGTGTTTGCTTCCAGAGTTCTCAACCTCAGATTTAGAAAAATCAGTAGCAGCACTGTTATCATAAACGAAATCATAGCTTGGCAAAATCGCAGCATTCTAAATCAAGGAAAATGCTGTTAAAAAAAAATAATTACCTCCGATTGAAGCTTTTTCTTAGACTTTTGAAGTTTGTCTTCGGCAGCCTGCATCTCTTCAAGTTGCCTTTGAAGTTGCTCAAGATCTTTGGCCTGTTTCTTTCTGATCTCTTCCAATGCAATAACCTGCTGTGCTTCCTCATCAGCACGTTTCTTCATGTCTTGCAACTGATTTATAACAATGTGCAAATTAATGAAATAGTTCGTTTAATTAACAATTACTACCATACTATATTATTTAAATTGGACCTATTAAGCAAACTAAAATCTAGAGTATCGAGAAATTAAGACCGTAACTATATAAAGTTACAAAAACAAGCTAATTAGGATAAGCTTTTTAATTGTATATACACACATTATCAATACACATTGGGGCAGGTTGCCTTTTTCTTCCTTCTTAAATTATTTTCTCAGAAATTTGTGTTTTTTTTTTATTCTTTTTATTTCATTTTTTATTAAATCTTAAACACTTTGGTATTTAAAAATGTTAATTTAGATTTTAAAAAAAAACTACAATTATATGACTTTCTAAGGTTCAATTTTAATAAAAGAAAATAAAGATTAACTTAAGATTAACGTAACAAAAATTTAAAATTTACAATACCTGATACAAATGGTCAAGTAGCCTATGGTTAAAATTTGCATTCTTATTTAAAAATTAATTTAAGACATGAAAAAATCAATTCTGAAAGAATATTACAATTTTAGGCCTTTTTTCTGGAAAAATTTAGTTGAAAGAAAACTTACTTAAAAAAATAAGTACTATTGACCAATTAAGTATTTTCAATACTTCTGAAAGTTTAACACAGAGATTCAACTTTTACAAACATATACAAAACCTTAGGTTTTAAAAACATTAAAAAATACATGTTATATTCAAATAGAATAGGCATAAATGAATTTTTTTTACATATTTTGCAAAAAAAGAGGCTTTTTCTGAAATAATTTTTAAAAATGTAAAGATGGCTGTGAATTAAAAATATTAGTTCATTCTGTAATCAGCAAGATCATAAAACATGGTTTACAACAAAATATACATGCTTTGTTAATAGCTTCATGATATTTTTATACTATCTTACTTTCAAAAAAATCACTGAATAAGTTCTTGCACTAAACTTTTCAGTAGGGGATGAAATAAACTTAAAAACTGAATGTTAACTCTTATCTACATCAGCTAAGAGTGAAAGCAAAATGTCAAATATTAAATAAAAGTCCAGTACATTGTTTGACATCTTAATTTCATAACTTACTTGTAGAGTTAAAATAGATGCTTGTTTCTCGAAGTTTTTCTTGGCTTCTTCTTCCTCATCCAATTGTTCCTGCAAACTTTTCTTTTCGCTTTCGATTTGCCTCAAACGAGAATTAATGGCAAGTTTTTGCCTTGTTTCTTCTTGGAGAAGGTCTTGAGATTCAGCTAACTGACTTTGCAGAACTGCAGCTTGCTTTATTGCAGCTGAGGCTTTTGTTTCAAGATCTTCAAGCTCAGCAGTCACTGATTCTAACTCAGCCTGTATTAAAAAAACAAGTAATTAAATTTTGCAACACAGTTTGAAAGTGAGATTGAAATGCTAAAATAAGGGTGCACAACCTGCAACCTTTGAATGGTTAAAAAAGGATTTCCTGCCTTCCAATAAAATAAAAAAAACTATAAAGAACCAACTAATGTAAGAAAGTTTACAACTTACCTAGGCTAATTTCAATTACTTTAAAGGACCACTAAAATTACACATCTTTAAATTTCAAATTTAGAGGTAGTACATCAAGATATCAAAGCTTTAATCTTTTTGAATTTCACTTCAAATTTTTTAAAAAAAAATTTCTGTAACTAAAGTATGTTCAAAGCAAACGTAGTACAAGGATTTGTTTAAAAATTATAGATGTTAACTATGAACGTACAGCTAAAGTAAATTAGACATTCTAAGGACAAGTTGATAGTTATTATAATAAGGAACAATTAAGTTATAATCAATAATTCATTATGGTCCGCAAGAGACAAAAAAAAATTTTACCCTCTCCTGAAAAAGTTGTGCTTCCCTATACTGTAATGCATGAAATATCTTACTTGAAGTTTCAGTGCTCGTTCCGTATTATCAACTCTACTCTTATCTACATCAGCTAATTTGGCAGTCATTTCTTGTAACTGTAATTCTAACTGTTTTCTCTTCCTTTCAGAATCTTGTCTTGATGTGGACAAGGCATTTACTTCATTTGCTAATTCTGCTTTCTCAACTTCAAGATTTGCTTTAAATTTCTCTAAAGAAGCTTTAGCCTATAAATAAATTTTAAAAAAATTAAAAAAATCCACAATCAAGATAAAAATTTTTTTTAATAAGTATACATTTTAAATTAAAGTAAACTATCATACTTTTCTTAGAGAATCTAATTGCTCATTCAAATTTTCTAAAGCGGAATTATGTTTTTGTCTTAAGTCAACAATCTGGGATTCGTGGGCAGAAGTCTCGTCTTCTAGAGTTTTCTTTAAGTGAGCCAACTCTTGCTCTCTCTTGGTTCTCAAATCTTCTTGGGCAGCAGTACTTTCTTCAGAATCTAACAATTCCGTTCGCAGTGCTTCCAATTCCTGTAAAATTAATTTGCCAAATTTTAGTTTCTTTATATGAAAGGACAATCTGAAGAGGATTAAAAAAAAAAAGGAGTAAAAAAGTACAGGTAAACTTCGCAAAAATGCAGAAAAACAGAAACAAAATTTTATAAATTTTCCACAAGCAAATTTATGTTAAAATTCCCAAGTTAAAATTCTAGAAAATTTCCTTGGTTTAAAAAAAACTCCAGCTTAATTTGAAAAATTAGAAAAAAATTTAAGCAATATTTTTTTTTCCTTTTTCTCAATATTTCTTGGTTGACTTAAAATATATTTAAAATTTTACACATTCCTATAACATTTACACATACCTATGATGAACTGGAGAAGTAATTAAAATTTACAAATATGTCTTTCTTTCCCGAGTTTATGATTATAATAACTATTTACTGATAAAAAATTAATATTAATCTTGAATATAAGCTTATTAAGTATCTGGCTCTCCCTTACAAACAAATAAAATAAACTGTGTTTTTAAGTTCCACCTTTGAAAATTTGATTTTCGGAAACTTCTGTGATCGCTGATTTTTGTTAAACGTCTGGACCTTCAATCTCTGGAAACTTCCGGATCACAGTTAGCGAAAAATCCGGAAAAACAGATTTTTTCTGGAGCTCCGCGCTCCTGTGCCACAGGTCCTGGGTTCGATCCTCGGGCCGGGCAAGGTTGACTCAGCCTTTCATCCCTTCAGTGGGTCGATAAATGAGTACCACGCACGCTTGGGAACTAAACACTGGGGGTTTCGCGTTTGGCTGACCACCTAACCGGAACATCTGCTCCTGCACCCCAGAGCCCATAGTCAAGAAAACTGAGATGGGCACAGTAGGCCTTGGCTCTGTATGGGCTGTCGCGCCACTGAGTTTAGTTTTAATCAGCCCTGCAGAAGTAAATAAATGTACAATTTAATAAATAAGGAATGAATCCTGAATCTTTTATTATTCTTAATTACATTATATTCACATGTTTTCAAAATTATTCAAAATTCCAAGGCAACTATTTGACATATATTCTCCTAATTATTTAACTGTTAAAAATAAAGAGAAAACTTTTCAAAAACAGTGTATAGTATTAATATAAAGCTATATAAAAGATATAGATATAAAATAATAAGGAAGAAAAACCAAAAAAAATTGGAAATATTCTGCAATATAATAAATTTCATATGAATATTTAAGAAGCTAAATAAGCCTTTTAAATTGCGCTTTAATAATAAATATATTTCAATGGCAACAGTTAAGAAAAAATGCTAACATTTCCCATACATTTAATAAAGAAATATGGTGGGGGAAAAAAATTTCATTAAATTTTATCCTTAAATTACACATACATTTAATAAATACATACATTTAATAAAGAAATATAGTGAAAAAAAATTCGTCATTAAATTTTATCCTTAAATTACACATTAATAAAATTACACATTAAATCATACCCATACATTTTTAAGAAGACTGAAATTTATTATAGGTACAGATGAAATTTACTTTTAAGAAAATTGGATACATGTCGAAAACTTGTAAAAGATATTGTTTCATATAAATGTATTGCTTTTAGGTCATTGCAATTTATTTCCTAAAATGTTATTTTCTCTTTTCTGAAAATAAAGAAGAAAAAAAGGCCAACCAGTGAAAAATCACTAATATATGAACATTGTTAAGTTCAATGGAGTCAATTTGCAGAAAAGTAAATTTCCTTAACTATTTACAAAATCTATTATTAGCTTTTCCATTCAAACTCTCGTCATATTATGTTAAGTCAAAAAAAAATTTATTTTTACATTTCTTATTGCTAAGCAATAACAAATTATGAGCTAAAATAGCATACTTCATTCAAATCCCGTTTGAGCTTTTCAACTTTAGCTCGAGCAAGTCTCTCTGATTCAAGATCCTCTTGAAGCTCAGAAACTTGGCCCTCCAGTTCTCTCAAGTTTTTCAAAGCTTGAGCTTTTGCAGCAGCTTCCTCTTCAACTCTTTAAAAAATTAAATATTCATATATTGTTTGTACATTCAAAATACAAATAGACAACAACTTTAGGAAAGAAATAATAAAATGTTCATAAAATTGTAATACAGGATATTGAAAAAGTAATATTTCCAATACTTTAGTCAGAATAATAACTGTGTCAGCATTTTAAATTCATAAAACTTTATTTAATTAAAAACTAATTGAAAAATTTGGTTTATTGAAAATAATTATGTAACTATTAAGAATTACACAATATTTATACATAAAGGTTTTGCATTGCACTAAAGTACAAATTACCACCACAAGCAAAGGTTATAACTTCTGTAAATATTAAATTAATTGAAGAGAGCAAAGTAACTTCTTTCCCAGGAAAATATTTCATGAAGGCAAAGAAATCAAATGGTGAATACATTTATTAAGTTGGGTTTTGTTTTTTCAATTAATAGAATAGTAAACAAAAAGGAAAATCAGTAAATTTTTTTTTTTATTTGTTGAAAAAAATTTTACAAAATGGATTTAGAAGTTTGTCTAAACAAGAGTAAATATGTGTCCCATTTACTTTGAAGACAGCCTTTCAAAATATCTCCACTAATTTAAAATATTTTACATTTCTGTAAAATTACGTATAGCAGAAATGCTGTTCAAATATACACTACACAGGTAGGCACAGAATATACAGTGCAGATGCATATTAACTTTTGAGTCATGTCATACTGCATAAGGTGATTAAAACTTCACAATTTCAAATAATGTACACATAGGATATTATCATTTATTAAAATAACTAAATGACTTACTTGGATAATACTTGATTCAATTCATTTTCTCTTTTACCTAGCTGCTGCTGAAGCTCTTCAACTTGAGCCTTTTTCTCATTCAGCTGTTCTTTTACATCATTTAATTCAGTTTCTGTGCGTCGTTTTACACGTTCCAATTCTTGTCGTGCCTACGAAACAAACATAATAATTTTACAGATAAGTTTTAGAAAGAGTTTTTTGTAGTATTCTTAGCATGATGATACAGAAAAACTAAAAAAATAGAGAACAACTTGACAATTCAGAAAGAAAAAAATTCATAAAAGAATTTCATATCCAAATTCCACTTGAAAAAACATATTTTGTAATAAATGAATTATACATTTGAGATATGTATATCATAGGAGAATTTTATTTAACTTCATAAGCAAGGTCTCTGATTATTATAATCAGTTTTAGAAACAAAAAAAGTCTGTCTAAAACAGTGTTGAATCACAGTAGAAATTTCTTAGGATACATTTTTAATTATTACTTTTATCTCTTATTTTCTTGTGCCCATGCTTCTGCTGAATTTATTAATTAATATGAAATAAGTTAAAATATAAATAAGTTAAGAGTGCAGTGATCAAGTACAACAAGTGCAGTGGTTAGCTTATCACTAGTAAGAAAATTGATTAGGCCGCCGATTTAATAATTAACAAAGAGAAATGAAGAGAAACAGGCAAATGAAGCCAGTTTTTCCTCAAACAGTGTTTTAAATATTTGGCTAATTTTTGCTACTGTGGGCAAATTTGCTTTTATATATATCTTGTTATTTTTATTGCTTAATAAATGTTTCAGTCATTGTTATCACCACTTGGATTTATTTAAAACCAGTAAAAATCACAGCAAAGATGGCAAGATTCGACCACAAGGGAAACCCCCTCCCAGAAGAAATAGAAAAAGCCTTTTACAAAAAGAAATATTAACAATTAAAAATTTTTTTTAAATATTTTGAAAAATACTATTAATTTCTAAACTTTACTTGAAACTTTTAGCTTAACTTTTAAAACTTTTAGCTTAAACTTTCTAAACTTTTTAACACATGCTTTCTAAGTAAGAGCAAATATAAAAAAGAACAATTTAAAAAAAAAAAAAAAATTTCTTACGAAATTAAAACAATTGTACTTTTTTCGATTTGTTATTTAAAAGCATATAGTAAAACTTGATTTTATAATTGTATACTTAACAAGTAAAAGAACAAATCAAATGCTAAACAGCATTACAAATTCAGTTTCTTCTACTTTGCCTAGATTTCTAAATGTGTTAGTAGAAATCAGTTTTATTCAGATTAAATCCTAACCCATAGTATCGATTAGTTCAATTCTTGATATTTTAAATTAACATTAGTTACATTACGGCATTACAAGAAAAATTGCTGCAAAAATTTAATATTTATTATTAATGCATTTAAATAAAATAAAAAAAGTCCTTCAAGATAAATTTTAACTTCCACCTATATAGAAAATAAGAAATATTTTTCTTGCAAAAGATTAACACACATTTAATTGAATGAATTTAAAAACACGGAGAAAAACGGTTTTACAACTTACTTGTTGTTCTTTTCTATGACGTTCTTCTATATCAACAATAGTAGCTTCTTGTTTAGCTTTAAGCTTAGCTAGATGCTTACTTTTTTCCTCTTCTTCAGCCAAGGCTTGTGAAACTTCACCTAATCTTTCTTCCAAAGTCTTTTTCTCTTTTACAACCTAGAAATATTTTGCACTTAATGAGCCACAAATAAAATCAGATTTATTTTCATTTTATTACAATAGTATAAAAATTTCATTTATTCAATTTCTGACTTTCTCATGCGAAATTTACATGAACAATGAGATTAATTGGTATAACTTATGAAATTTAAGAATTAAGACAAAAAAATATTAAAAAAAAAAAGAAAAAAAAAAAAAGAATAAACATTTGAATCTAATTTTCATTTTTTTCTCATTTTGGCACAATGTTAATGAGTAATTTGTTTTTAACTCATTATGTTACATGATAATATCTGCCAACATTGTTGAAATAAAATAACGGAAATTTTACTAGCGACATTTATCACGCTACGTGTTAAGTTTTGATACATCATACATAATCATGTAAGTCAAAAAGAGAAATTCAAAATTGGAAATAATATAAGCACTTACATTTAGTGTGAAGTAAAAAATATTTATATAAATCTTAATCTAAATAAAAAAAAATTGAGCCATTATTTATAATAACTTTAACTATTAACACTCAACATATCGCAGTGCACTATCTGTTCAGGCACTATCTGTTCAGGCACTATCTATTGAGGAATAAAAGAAGTATTTTTGCCATCAGCAGTTATTTTATCACCAAACTTTTTTCTTTTTTTTTTAAATTTCTTCAACAAATATGGAGAAATTTGAGAATATACAGGTAAACAGGAGATAGTCGTAAAATACAGGAGTCTTCGTTAAAAAACAGGAGACTTGGCAGATATGCATGATAAGACATACAAAGGTAATTTTTAACACATAGAACCACATTTCAACACATTTTTATTATGGAATAAATAAGTATATGAAACTAAATTTTAGAAGTAATTCCCGCAAATAAGAATTGTTACTTATAATCTTCAAAAAAAATAATAAAATTAAAAATAAGGGAGGGCCCATAGCATCCAAAAGCTAAAATACAGCTACTACACTAAATTCTCTTTTCTTTAATTTTACAACATATATTTTGAAAATGAATGCAGACAAACAAGTAGAAAAAATTCCAGAAAGAATACAAAAATATTTTTAATTAACACATTTACTATCTAACCACACAATTGTCTAAATTTTTTTAAATATAAAAAATGAACATCTAAATTTCTATTAAAGCTTATGTAAGTGAAATTTCTTCAAATGGTAATAAATTAGTTCATTCTAAATCTTAAAATATAAGATTTCGATAGAGAATGTACAGAAAATATGCAGTTTAGAGAAATTTAGTTTACCTTTTGATTACTATCTTCAAGGACTGCAAAGTCTTCTTCAATTTTTTTAAGTTTTGAATCTAAACTAATTTTTTCCAATTGTAGCTTTTGTCTTGCACCTTCCTCTTCTTCTAATCTAAACAGGTTTAGAGAAACATAAGATATTAACTTTAAAAAGTAAATTAAATTTTTTTTCTCAAAAAAAATTATAATACTGCTTTTAAAAATAAATAAAAACATTTTAATCTTCTTTTTAAATGAACCAAAATCTACGAAATGTAAAGTTCACTAAAATATTCAAATACTTTAGTAATAAATTACTTATTGATATTCAAACTAATGATTGATAAAAATTGTCTTTAGTTAATTGTTTTTAATTGTCTTAGCACATTAGTTTTTTTGTAACTTTCTGACAAAACTCTTTAGTTCTTCTGACAAAACTCTCTGGACAGGCAACTTGACAAAATGCCAGCTACTCTATTGATTTTCATATAATCTAAACATCTAAAATTAGTAAGCCAAAAAATATTACATTAGGTGAATTTAGGCTTAAAACACTAAGATGGCAAAACAAATACAAATGATAGAAATTATCACAAAACAAATATGTATGATTTAAAATAGTATACTCCATTGAAGGATTATCAGACCTACTGTATTAACAGAAGTGAAAATAAGTGTTATGAACATAGTTCTTTCCCTTTCACAGTGTAAGCATCGGAAAAGAAATTAATGTTGGTAACATAGTAAAATCATATATATATATAAACTCTAGCTAAGTTTATTTTATCCAGAAAAATTTAATATTAGCATCCACAAAGAAGTTCATTTTTTTTCACAAAAACTGTAAATAAATTTACGTGTCTTTAGCACATTAAGGCTAATTTTTTTTTTAAAGCTTATTTATATTTTAAGTATTTCCATGCCTTTCCAAGCAAAATTTGACAATTTTCAGAATAAATATGTTGCTTCCAAAACAAAATAAGTGTAATAAGGGAACTTTTATAAGCAAGTAGTAAGATTTTATTCATAATTTTCTAAAATAAAAAGAAAGGAAACAGATAAAATAACCAATACTAACTGTTCTTCTAAATCTTGTATGTTTAACTGCAGCTTCTTTTTTTCAGTAGTCAAAGTTTGAGTCTTTTCTTCCTCTTCTTCAATTCGAGCTTCAAGGTCATGTAAAATTTCTTCCAGTTCAGTCTTTCTTGCAGCTAGTCTCACTCTCATTTCTTCAGCTTCAGCAGATAATTCTGTTTCGGCTTGAAGCTGCTCAGCTAGTGTGTTCTTCTCTTCTAGGACCTATAAGTATCAAAAACATGAGTTGTTTGCTGTACTGAATTAAACGTTAGATTTATAAACTTTTAGGTTGAATGCTTACAATTTGGAAAATAATAAAACTAGTTAAAATCAATAAAATGCATAATTTTAAGTCCACAATTTTGAATACTAAGCAATTTTGATAATGATTGGTAACATTCACAGTTAGTGTATTTTTACGTAATAATACGATTAGTAAACTTTTCAGATAAAAAATTCCAGCTCTCCAACTAGATGATAATGATAAGTGAGCTAATAACATATGTTATACTTTAAAGTCTGTACTTAGTTTTACATATAGAGATAAGAAGGGAATTTAATTTTTGTAAAAAAAAAATAAATTAGTAAATTAAAAAAGAAATAAATTTACTAATAAAATGAATTTTAAAAATTAATGATCCCCCAAAAAAGGAAACAATAAAAAAATAAATAAATAATTAAAAAAAATAAAATGCTAAAGCAAAAAAATTTTTTAAACTAGAAACAGTTCACAGAAAAATAATTTCATACATAATCAACCATCTGAGTAGTTAACTCTTTGCTCACAGTGTACCATTTGTTCCATTACATGTGGTCCACATGCTGTACCAGCTGCAAGCAGAAGCTTTATCTAGTTTGTCATGCTTAACACACATTTTGATCTTATTCAATAGAAATGAAAAAAGAGGAAAACTTCATAACATTAGATAGGGCTTAATGCTGGCTGAATAAAATTAATTGCAAATAAACTTGGAAAAGGAAGATTCACCTGTTGAAGCTTCTTTTCCACTTCTGTTGTTACTTGTTCGACTTTTTCCATTTTTTCCTTAACTTGTCTTAATTCATCTTCCTTTTCATTAAGTTTCTCTTCTTGCTTAGTAACTTGAAGTAATGGTTTGACCTAAAATTTATAAGTAAAACAATTAGTTAACTAATAAAAAAATAAGATTCTATTAATCTACTGTAACTATAGTATAAACAGAATTAATTAGTGCATCATTTTACAATTAAATATTAAACTGTTTTAATTTTTTTTAACTGAACTGATTACTTATTCTAGGTTGATTACTGATTACAGGCAAAAAACTGACTTTAAAAACTGATAAAAACTTATTCTGAATGGCATTAATATATGTTACGGGTTTCCTTGACTTAGACAACAATTACAATCTATACAACTCTAAAAAGAATATCTTCAATAAGTTTGTTTTGATACAGGAATGCCATTGTAATTCTTATGAAATAATTACAATGCCTAATATTGCTTCTTAAATCTCCTTTTGGTTTAGTTTCTACACAGACCTCTATTCCAACCCTTGGACTCATACCCTGATTAGTCTTCAATCATATGATAGATGGACTAAATGATTACTTCAACATTGTAAAATAAAGGTAAACTATATTTTTCATAAATATTGAAAAAAGTAAACCTAATCACAATAACTTTACATTTCAATAAAAGACAATTCATTATTACTCACTTTAGTATAAAGTCGCCACCAAGACCAATTTCTCAATTTAAGATAAGCAGAGCAATTTCTTTGGATGATTCTAATGGCACTAAGCTGCTGTAATCGTTTCTGATAATTCCTAAAAATGAAGTATAACAATTTGAAAACTTTTGTAGTACATAAAATAAGCAGTTAAAAAGTTTACAAATTTAAATGAAAATATTTGATATAAATAGTTTTTTCAAGAAACACTTTAAAAATTGAGATAGAGACTTAAATTATCACAAAACTTCAAACCTAGAATATTTTGTATTAACTTATTTACAACTTGTAAGTGATTGAAATATTAATGATTGTTGTTAGATAATATGCATACTTATAAAAAAAACTAATAACTTGCTTACGATTTAAATAAAAATAATTAAATGAAGATAGATAGTTTAAAGAAAAGAAATCATAGAAGTTCAGATAGAACTAAGAATGTATTTTAAACATAAAATCTAGAAATTTTAAAACCAACTTATTAACACTTAAATTTAAACCCTAAATAAGTTAACAAAATAAATTTAAAAAAAATTGGATTCTTAAACTGAATTAATTGACTTTTACAAGAGACATCAAGCAACAAACAAGAAGTTAGTTAGCATAGTTTTGAAGTTAATATATGTTTGTATGTTATTTATACCTTCTGGCAATTAGACCACGACAACAAGCTTGAAATTGAACAATCAAATCCGAAATTTTCATGTCTCTTTCTTCTTCCAAGTGGGCAAGAACTCCGGCTCTGAAGAATATTTTACTTTGACCTACACGGTACAAATTGGGATCTAAGTCCAAAGCTTGAATCTAAAAGAAATTATTCATTAAAAAGTTAGTGTAAGGCAAAAGGAGATCACATACAAGTAACATTTTTGCAATAAAAATTATAATTCTTACAAACCATTTTTTCGCATGCTAATTTTCCATCCATGAATCCTTTTGGTATGGCATTTGGAGTAAGCAATTCATATCTAAAATGAAACAAGATCTAAAGTTAAAATCACAGTAGGATCACTTTCATCCGAACTATTTGGGACCCAACCGTAATGCAAAAGTAGACATAACATATTTCATAAAACTTAAATACAATATTCAAGTTTCCTTCAATCCACTTATCAACATGTTTTTCACAGAGCAGCAAAACTCTAGTGGAAATGAAATTCTATAGATAAATATTCTCTCCTTAACAAATACATAAAAATTCTACCATTGAAAACTAAAGATAAAGTTTGGTACAATATCAGGGGTCTGTCCAGACATTTTGTGAAAGGTCCTGTTTTAGTAAAATTGTGAAAAAACTATTCACAATTTGTGACTTTAAAATAAGCGTTAAGTTACATTCTTTCAACCAGGGTCCTGCTTTTGTGAATTTTTGGAAATAGGGTCCTGTTATTTGGTATTTAGCCTATACTGCTCAACACATTATATTCATTTTGGACGAATAATGGAAACAAAAATCACTCACATTTTTAATAATTTCAATTGACATAAACACAACTTAGTAATGTATCACTTTTAATGTGTTATGCAGTAAGTAAACTTAAACAATTCTTAAATTTATAATATTTTAATTAAAAAATTGCCAGAAATTAATTTTTATTTACATAATATACTATTTACTAATTTTATGAATAAATATAAATTGATCAATTATTTATTGACCAAAAAAAATTATGAGCATTTTCTTAGAATTTAAACTTAGAGAAACTAAGTTTGTCTCGAAGAGTCTTTCTCCCCCCTCCCCTCCTGGAAGAGTTTATTCGATTAACAAAACAATAATGAAGATAAACAAACTAGTGAAGGGTCCGATTAAAAGATAAATTATTTTGTGAAGGGTCAGTTTTCATGAAAAGATATTTTGCGAACCCAAATTTCTTCTAAACAGACCCCTGAATATTTTGACTTAATAAAATAGTAATCAATATAAAGCTAAAAAAAGAACTTTGGAAACAGATTTTAGCTATAGCTAGCCATTTCATAAATTCCCTATTCCTGTTGTGATATGTTTTCTGATATTTAATTACTACTACTTTTTTTGTACTACTTTTGTACTTGTACTACTTTGCCATTTCAGTCACTCCCTAACACCTTTAATGCCAAAAAAAAAAAATGAAACTATTTTTCGTACAAATGACATTTTAAAATGACTTAAAACGTCAGGACTTTGTCTGCTTAATAGTTTAATGAAGCACACATTAAATATGTTCTGCTGTGAAAATTAGATAGCATAAAATATCAAATTTTTGCACACATGTTATTTTAATAAATGTTATGAGCTCCAGGGTGCGTAGTCAAATTTTTCAACAAAAAATAAGCACCTTTTAAACACTTTTCAAGCACTCGAAAGATACTTTTAAGAACTTTGAAAAATATCATAATTAGACAGGGTTGGCACGTTTTTGACAATTGATGGTTTCATCTGGTTTTATTTACAGCGACGAAGACGATGGCGCATCACAAATGATGAAATTAACGCTTATAGAGAGAAAAAATTTACAATGTTTAGTTGGTCACCATAATAAGCAAAAATTCGAGATTTTTTTTATTCTATTACAGAGGGCAAAAAATGAAGTCTGAAATTGAGGATCTCTTGCAAAATGCAGCAGGGTTGCACATGAGAGTCAAAAATCCTTACCACTGAATCCAGCTCAGTATACGCAAGTGCGAACCCGCAAGTATTTCATCAAACATGTAAAACAAATGGTTTTTCATACACTACAAACCGGCGGTACGCCAAAATAGATTGGGGTTGAATTAATTGTGAAAACGTTTAAAATCAACATGATAAAGAAAAATATCACATTTCAGAAAAGGAAAAATTAAGCACTTTTTAAAAACACCCATGGAAAACAACACCTTTAAGGGTTTTAAAAATGGAAAATAAGCACATTTAGGCACTTTTTAAAAATGCTAAGCACCCTGAAGCTCTTAGGTTATTCATGACTGATAGATGGAGTTCTGTTTATCGTCAGCCATAACGCTCTATTGCTAATAATGAAAATTGAAAAAAAAATTCGAAAGTCGCAATTTGTTAAAAATCAAGAGTATTTGTGATTAAATTTTTTAACATTTGAAAAGTTACTTATCTGCATCATTTGGTAGCATAAAAATATTCATTGATTTTAATATTCTTTAAAAAAATTATAATACTTTTTAAAACTTAATTTTTTGTACTTAAGATATTTGTTTATTTTAAAATCCAGGCTATTCTTTTCACCAAGATAGTAATATAAATCATTTCGGCAAAAGCCCATTGGGTGATAGGGCTGTCATGGAATTGAAGGCTTCACAACTTTGTGACCAAAGGCTGCTTCATTGTGATAATGTGATTCACATTGCTATCTGTACTCATCTGTCAATCTGGCAGTCATCAATGTGAAACTGAGTAGGCTTCAAGCCACCACTGAGAATCAAACCTCAATTCTTTTTAATGATGGTTCAGTGGCTAAAGACACTAAGATGGTATTGTAAAGTAAAAGTGAAGTTTAAGTCACACAGACTGTGGCTTCTTTATTTTCCAAGACAAAAAACTTAAAAACAGACACTTAAGACAGTTTTGAATTTTACCACTGTCAACCCTTTGAAATACAGTAGGGAACCAATTATCCGGAACAATCGGGACCATCGCCATTCCGGATAACTGATTTTTCTGGTTTTCTGAATCGCGACAAAAAGCCGTTTTTTTACTGTCAAATTCAACTAAAAAAATATATATTTGGAAATAATCTTAAAAAGAAGAAAAAACGATGAAGTAATACACTAATGATTGTTTCCAAAATGATGGTAAGGTAAACATCTTTCAAAAAAGAAAGAAAAATCTTGAAATCTTATGAGGTTTTAAAAAAAAAATGGCGGGAAAATTTATGGAATTTAGTTCCGGTTTTTTGGTTTTCCGGTTTTCTGATTTCCGGATAACGGGTTGTGTACTTTATAAATATTACTTTCAAGACAAGATATCAACAGATAAAAAATGCACCTTTGTCTAAATTCTTGGAATGGTATCCTGTTAGGGAAACCTTGACGGCAAATACGAATACCTTCCAAAACTCCATTACATCTCAACTGATCTAACACCAACAATGCTTCAATTTTGCCAGCCTAAAAATAAATGCTCAAATTATAAAACCAATTTCATCAGAAAAGTGCCATAAGTTCTAAAACTTCTATTGAAAGTGACAACAAAATTTCTTAATACTCACTTTCTTTTCATGATTTGGTATGATGCACCTCACAAAGTTGGGATTAGTATTACGTAGAGTAACCATCAGTTTAGAAAGTTGCTCCTTATAGAGTTGACTGACAGTTCTAAACATTCCTTTCCTAGTTCTGGCACCAAACGTAGTATCACCTAAAGTTGCTACTCCCATTCCAACAATATCAGCTGAAATAAAAAATAATCCAATTTAAAATGTTGGGTAACTAACTCGAATATTGCAGACAGTTTTTAAAAAGGATATCAAATTTAAAAACTTATATTTTACAGAAGTTTCTAAATGTATAATAGTTATTAATTATTATACAGTGTAATTAATTACGATACAGTTACATTTAACTATAATTACAATACTTAATAGCTAATACAGGATCCATAGACAAATCTCTCAACAAAAAATAAGCACCTTTAAAGTACTTTTTAAGCACTCAAAAAATAGTTTTAAGCACTATATACATTAACAAAATATAAAATAGTTTTCAAAGACTTTACATGATCATGATAAAATAACTAGTTTCTGACAAAGGATTCTCTTCCTGATTGTATTAGCCACGATGAAAAGATAGAGAATTTTCGGTTCAATTTCAGAGGGTGGAAAATGAAGTCTGAAATTGAGAATATTTTGCAAAATGCAGCAGAGTTGCATATGAGAGTGCAAGAATCTCACCGAACCCAGCTCAGTAGACGCAAATGCAGACTCCCAAGTATTTCATCAAACATGTAACATGAATGGGGTGCTATCATATGTTGCGGACCAATGGCACACCGAACTGGATTCGGGTTGAAGGATTTGCGGAAACGTTGAATAGAACAAAGTGAAAACCATGCTTTTGCATAATATGAAAATAGACACGGTGAAGGAAAAAATCTCATTTTCAAAAAGGAAAAATTAAGTACTTTGTAAAAACACCATGAAAAAAGCACCTTTAAAGGCTTTTAAAAAACGAAAATAAAAAATGAGTCCCCTTAAGCACATTTTAAAAATGCTACGCACCATGCAATAATAATAATGCAAATGTAATTAATTATTTTTAATTAATTAACTTTGAATTTTTATCACCCATATCAGATGTGCACTATTTCAATTTTCAACTCTGTAACCTCATATTTTTGAACACAACCCAAAGACAAAGTAACTCTGTGATCAAGCATTAAAATGAAGTCAAATCCTGGGAAGAAATTTTAAGTAAAAGCAATTTCTTTTGTTACATAGAGAAGGCAACCTTCCACTGTTAGCCAGATCACAAGAGGATTCTATGATTCACTAGAGGACCAACAATCTCTCTACTTCTGGGGATATTTTTCATCAGCACTGATAAGCCAACCCATAAATTAATTAGCAACTGTGTCAAGATTTAAATCTAGGTTACCCCATTGGGAGGGAAACACTTGATTCCCCACAGTCATCTTGTCAATAAATGGATATTTTTAAAAATGAATTAAAATTAATATTAAATTCCATAAATTATCTTTCTTAAGATTTAAACTTAAAAAATTCTTTTTTAGATTGATTATCAAAAGTATACGTCTTTATAAAAAATGCAAAAAGAAAATTACAAAAATAGTTAAGCATACCATCTTTCCATATTTGCACGACAAATGGATCTTGAGAAGCTTGTAATAAGGATACAACATTATCATTCAAAGGATCCATATTCTTCATTAACCACTGATTTGCAAGGTAATTCACCTGTATAAAAAGAAATAGAAAACAACTTGTACTCAAGACATTTTTTCATCTCTAAAACAAAGGGATAGTAATTAGAATTTTACAATTTGAATCATCTTTAAGAATATTATTTGCAAATTGATTCATGAAGACATAAACAGGGGTGATTGTGAGCCCAAGTCAAAACTCCGGAAAATTTCTTGAGTTAAAAAAAAAGTTTAAATTGAAAAATTAGAAGTATTTAAAATTTACAAATATGTCTTTCTTTCTCGAGTTCATGATTATAACAACTATTTACTGATAAAAAATTAATATTAATCATGAATATAAGCTTATAAAGTATCTCTCTGGCTCTTCCTTACAAACAAATAAAATAAACTGTGTTTTTAAGTTCCACCTTTGAAAATTTGATTTAAGGAAACTTCCGGATCACTGTTAGCGAAAATTCCTGAAATCCGGATTTTTTTTACGGAGCACAAACAGCCCTGCATAAAGAATTTATTTGCTCTTAGTAACAGAAAATAAATATTCATAAAAAAAAAGTCATTTACACACATTTTGATTTACGGTAAAATTTAAAAGCACATAAAAAGAATCCTAATATAAACCAGGGATGCAGGGGAGAGTCAAAAAAAAATTTGCTCAACTTATATCAAAATTAGGTCATATAGGTTAAAATCTTAATAAACAATAAATTTTGATAAACTTCTTTAAAATTTTCAAAAGAATTTTTTTTTTAAAAGAATTAAGTAATATTGCATACATTGTGACTATCATTACATTTATTAAATCATTTATTTTATAAACTTAATCATGTTGTAATAAAAATTTAATATTAAATGAAAATTCTTTTTTAGACATACAGAAAAAATAGAAATATGTAATTTGAAGTCAACTTTCACTTAGTAATTAAAATTCTTTTTCAGACATTTGTGAAAAATTTACCGAAAAATAATAAATTTGTTCAAAATTTTAAAAATATCTTGTCCTGTATTTTTTTAAATCACAAAACACATGTAAATGAATCTACAATTATTTGAAATTTTCAAGAATAAGAAAACTAAACTATTAGATATAATTCAACATTTTCATAACATACATTATAATTTTTTAAGATAATAAATTTATTTGCAGTAGAATATGCAGCTGTCATGTCAAATACAAATTTTTTTTTAAATAAACTATTCATTTCTTATTAATGTCTTTTTAAATAAATACATATTAAATTTCGTGTTTCTACACATTATAATTAATGTTATAAATGTGTGTAGCATAAATCTTAATCTATCTGAAATATAACTGAGGTAATTAAATATTTTATACAACAGAATAGAAAAGCATTTTCCTGGCACTAGAATGAACAAGTTGTTCATTTAAGCATGAATTATAAAAAACTCATTCCTATGTAAACAATTATTTGCATAGATCTTAATTTGTTAAAAAGAAAATTGATTCAATTAAAAATATTATGAAGAAAAAAAAAAGAATGACTAAGTTATTTAATGAAGAATAAAAAATATAAATAATTCAGATCCATTTATTATCATTCTAAAATAATTACTAGTGAAAAAAAATTTTTTTGAACTACAAAAATTTCAGGCCAATTTAGAAAAAAAAGTAACAGCTTTTAAAGGAAAAAAACCATACATACTTTTCCAGCATAATGAATGATGCTAAAATCACAGTTGCCTCGGAAATCAGACTTAACAAATTTAGGGTGCATGGCATGAGCACTTTCTAATTTATCAACAAAAGTTCTGTCAGTCGCTTTGGGGAACCAACACTCTTCATCAAGTAAAGCCAATATTCCCATAGGCTAAATATTATAAAAAAAAAGAAAGAAATATTACACACAGTAACAAATAAATATTTAAATCTAGTACAATCACAAAAAAATATCAAAAGCTTTCAACTTAGGTACACCATCCTATGAAAGAAATAGAATTCTTGAAAGTTCCATAGGAAACTGTATGTCATTTCTACTTATTTGATATCATACATGTGAATGTCAAGTATATGAATGTATCAATAGTTAAAAAGGTACAATTAATTCTATTACCAATATCTTATGTGGATAATCTGTGGTATATTTTCCAGCGGATATCTATAATCTGCAGTCGGATGACACTCACTGCTGTGTGCAATATATAAAGCATCTTGTTTAGTACAACAATCTATTTATATTTATGATGAAAATACCATAAATAGACAAATCCTTCCCATCAAGATAAACTAAGTCATGCGTGAGTGAATCTACATTATATATGTGAGTCAATGGGCTGAGGGAAACTGTCTAGCAGACACGCGATCATATTTACAGAACGGACATTCACGCTGGACCCGAAAGAGAACCAGATTGCAATTTTTTCGCATCCAGTGTGAATAGTCCCTTACACTATCATGGCTTAGGAAAGTAGACAGGATAATTTGTGACGTATGGTGCTGAGAACATAATTTTGAGATCATATTTACAGGACAGACATTCACGCTGGACCCGAAAGAGAACCAGATTGCAATTTTTTCGCATCCAGTGTGAATAGTCCCTTACACTATCATGGCTTAGGAAAGTAGACAGGATAATTTGTGACGTATGGTGCTGAGAACATAATTTTGAGATCATATTTACAGGACAGACATTCACGCTGGACCCGAAAGAGAACCAGATTGCAATTTTTTCGCATCCAGTGTGAATAGTCCCTTACACTATCATGGCTTAGGAAAGTAGACAGGATAATTTGTGACGTATGGTGCTGAGAACATAATTTTGAGATCATATTTACAGGACAGACATTCACGCTGGACCCGAAAGAGAACCAGATTGCAATTTTTTCGCATCCAGTGTGAATAGTCCCTTACACTATCATGGCTTAGCAGGGTTGGCAGGTTTTTGACATGTGACAGTTTAAACCATGGTTTAAACCGTCACGTCAAAAACCTCACTGTCAAAAATGTCAAAAACCTATATTCATATGTGAAATTTAATTAATACATAAAATTTATATATTTTTAAAAGGATAGTGTTTCTAAATATGTTCTAGAAAAAATAAATTTAAAATTTTGAAAAAACACTTATATTTTGAATAGTAACCAAAATCTTGTACTTTTGAAAACTCACATCTTTTGTAATATTATGTATTCATTTTCATGTGTTATTGAAAATCTGCAGTGATATTATTAAGAAATTTATTTATAACCAAATTTAGTGTATAGTATAGATTATACTAAAAATTAGACATTTTTAAAGATAAACATTAGCAGTTTTGTACATTAGACATCTTTTAAAGAAAAATCTTTTTAATATTCTTTTAAATCTTCTTAATAATCTTTTTAACATAAGACAATACAAATTTAAGTGCTTTCTGTTAAATACACAGAGTAGTTAGTGTCGATTTACAGTATATTCAGCCTATTCATTTACTATGCTGAAAATTTAGTTTATCCAAATACTTGTGAATTTCATTTTGCTGAATACTATATAGTTTTGTTGAATATCTAAATATTCAGCTGTTGAATAATTACTTCTTGCTTTCAAGATATGCATTATTTGTATTCTTAATACAAGTGGAGAAAAAAAAATTAAGAGATAAAAATTGTTTTAAAATGATAAGTGTAATAATTATAAATAAATATAATAAACAATATGAATTATATTTATCATTATTCACAAATATAACTACTTTTAAATTCAAATTAACATACTGGATAATAAAGATATTCGGTATAACATTAAAAAAAAATTTTTATACACTTGTATCAAGTTTGTATTTATACAACATAACTTGTAAGTTCCTTATAAATATTAGTTATATGTTCCTTATATGTCAAAAATGCATAGTAATAAACTTTTAATTTTCTTAAGTATCAAAAAAAAAAAAAAAATTTTTAAATATAAATATTTAAACAATTTTTGTGCAAAATTTTTCTGCACATGCATTTGAATATAAATTTCTGAGATTTTAAATCTGTTATTTTACCTTAATTTTAATTAAAAAATATTTTAAAACCTGCTGATTACCTATAGTATAATTAAATTTCAATATAATGCATGGCAACTGTTGGTAGTTTTGAAGTTTATATATTTTCCTGTCAAACTTCAGTTTTTGACATTTTTGACGGGTTTTTGACGGTTTAAACCAGTATTATACCCTTGTCATGTCAAAAACCACTTTTTGACGTCAAAAACTCAACCCTGTGGCTTAGGAAAGTAGACAGGATAATTTGTGACGTATGGTGCTGAGAACATAATTTTGAGATCATATTTACAGGACAGACATTCACGCTGGACCCGAAAGAGAACCAGATTGCAATTTTTTCGCATCCAGTGTGAATAGTCCCTTACACTATCAATGCTTGGAAAGTAGACAGGATAATTTGTGACATATGATGCTGAGAAAATAATTTTGACAGATTATCAGCAATGAAAATGTTTATGTTTTAAAAAGGTAATCCATGGATTATATACACGAAATTAAGGCTGAATAAATCAATTATATTCCCGTTACTTAAACAATATTTTTAAACATTTGCATTCTTTTGCATACATTTAAAAAAAAAAATTTTTTTTAACAAACTACCTTTTCAATTAAGTCAATTGTAGGCTGCAAATCTAAGCCAAAATCAATGAACCGCCATTCAATACCCTCTCTTTGGTATTCTTCTTGCTCAAGTACAAACATTGTATGATTAAACAATTGTTGCAACTTTTCATTTGTGTAATTTATGCAAAGTTGTTCAAAGGAATTTAGCTGAAAAAAGAAAAGAAAAATTAAAACTAAAGAAATCAAATCAAACACAGGAAATTTTGATATCAATTTAGAGCTTAAATACCTCAAAAATTTCAAATCCAGCAATATCAAGTATACCAATGAAAGAAGCACCTTGTCTTTTTGTACGATCAAGAGACCTGTTGATTCTTGTCACCAACCACTTGAACATTTTCTCATAGCAGGCCTTACTAATAGCTTCCACAGCAAACTCAGCCTTTAAATAAATCAAATAAACTTCAATTTATGTTTCTTAAACATAAGGAATACATTAGAAAAATATAACTTAAATATTACAACAAGTTGAAGACAACTCAATATATGATATAAATGAGCACTTAAGCCTAAAGTTAAACGTAAATAAAAAGGTACAGGAGCTATAGCGAATATATTTAAAGTATGATTGTATTACAAATCAAAATCACAGTATTTAAAATACAAAATGATGATCCTCTACGCTACTAACTACTCTTAAATGTTTAAGAAAAAAATTTCAAATTGTCATGTCTAAAAGAGAAATAGCTTTCATAGTTTTTATAAACTGGTTTTCATAACAGGTTAAAATCCTAGCTTTCATAGTAATTAGCAAATAAAATAGTTATATATTTCCTTTGAATTGAACTTCATTTTTCTTTCAAAAAACATAGCTTCATTCTGAGGTTAATTTAATTTTCCTTTTTAGTGGTAAAATCGAGGCATTTACCAAAGAGTAGTTTTTCAAACCGATAGAAAACGTAAAGACTTTCAAATCTAGAACAAGTAAAAGCTAAAAGATTTGTCCCATACATCATAATTGTACAAAAAAAAAATCTATAAATATCCAATTTTCTTATATTATAAAACTTTAATTAGAAACAGAGTTTCAAAATATAGTCTTACCTGTTCCTTAGTCTGAGCTTTTGTGACATAGTCTCTTCCAACTTTAAGGCGAGGCTTCAGAAAAGCTTTTGTCATTTCAGTTACATTCAAACCTAGCAAATGGCTAAGTTTTTGAGCTACTGTGTTATCAGGCAATGTTGCTTGATCCGAGTTTCTTTCTTGTTTGAATTTCATGTTTCCAAATAACAATACGGCAGACACTACTTTGAATATTGCTAGAAAATATAAAATAAAAATTACTTTTCTATAATATGAGGGACTATAATGAACCCAAAGAACAAAAGAATCATTAGTAATGAAATGAAAAATTTCATATTATGTTTATAATTTTTTTTTAAAAAAAAACTCTAAATAATTTCCTACTGACAATGTTAAAAAAAAAAACATTTAAATTTTTATTAAAAAAATTAAATCTGTTATATAAACCAGAAAAAGACAAATGCAAATTTTTAAAAAAAATACTGCATACACTTTTTTTAACATTAAAAAAAAATATTTTTAATTACTTATGAAAATAAACCTGTTACATTGAGCCAAAAGGATTAAAATATATACAAATGACAAAGCAAAAGAATTACTAATGAAATGGAAAAAATGAAATTATTTATCTTTACAAAAATTTTCAAATATTAGACACTACTTAAAATATTTCTATAAAAATGCTTTAATTTATTCAATAAAATAAAAATAAAAAAATTCCGTAAAAATTTGTTTGTCTGTAAAAATAAGTCTCTTACATTAACACAATAGATATGTTGCAGACGAAAACAAAAAATTATAACTAATAAATTGATAACAATGACAGAAGACTATAAATACCGTTTAAATCTTCAGTATGTAGTCCCATGATAGACATGGCATTGCATGTGCTTCTAAATTCCGCAACCTCATCAAAACCTGGAACTGCTACGTGTCCATTTGATAAAAATGTGTAGTTCTTTGAATCCTCAAGAAGGAAGCTCTCTAAAAGAAAAAAAGTTTTAGCAATAATAGTTTTAATAAAAAATGTAAGTAATTGCTCCCCAATTAAATAATAAAATCAATGACAATTTTGAAGAGCTCTAAAAACAAACATTTATATTGAAATTTATATATTATTAAAACAGTAAAACCTCACATTATGGACACTTCTACATACAAAATGTATGCCTCTCATTACAAACATATTTTTTACTGCAGGCATATTTGAAAACTAATATTTAAGATTTATAAACATAACTTACAAGTTTGATAACAATGGTAAACCTACTTTTTTGCTCAGGTGTGGATCCTTGCAGCAACTGATAAAAAATATGAAAAGAACGTTCATCTTTTGCTTGACGAATGGCACGAGATTTCTCTAACAAATCTAAATTTTGAATTAAGGTACTTAACAATGAGAAAAAAATAATCTAAATTTAAGATTTTATAATCTAGTTAAATTTTTTAAAAATATTATTGAAATAAAATGTAGACCTTAAAAATTTCACGAGATATTGTTTAAATGTAATTTGAAAGGGAAAAAAAAAAATTTTTTTGTAAGTAAAGAATAAATTAAAATTTATAGTAATTAATCAAATTCTTTAAATATTCTTTTATAAATAAAACAAATATCAAAAATTTATATTACAGAATAATTAAAAATGAATATATTCTTTAGAATTTTAAAATATGAATTTTACAGATTAACTTAAAATTGAAATAGAATATTTTTTTAAAGTTAGACAAACCACAATTACATCAGAAATTCAACAACAAAAAAAATTTTTTTAATTTTTTAAAAAAAAGTAAAAGATACAAGTTTCAATATTAGCTCCAGCAATGAACCCAGATGCATCAAAGTTTATCCTAATAAACTTCCCCTAAAAGAAAAATAAACATTTTACCACACAATTTCTAAATTAAATTATTATTCTAATTACTTAAAAATAATAAACTGGCTTTTTGAATTTCTCATTAACATACATAATAAAACATGACAAAATAAAAAAGTAAATATATTCAAATTCATAAGGTGAAATACTTAGCATAACCTCAAAAATCATAACTAATTTTTTTAAGATTATAAATTTTTTAACCCTCCTAGCATTGAGTCCCCTGGGTAAAATTATACAGTAGTTTTCCCGCTATGTACTATTTTTCCATTCAATAACATATAGAAACCGTTCTTTTACAGCAGGAAAGCCCACATCTGAGAGTTCAGAAAAAGTCGACCAACAATCAAAGGGTTAACTGATTTAAGAATATCATTCCTCAAGAAGCTGTTATTAAAATATATTAAAAGAGTTGCGTAATTGAAAAATGGATAAGCTTGATAGTGGTAGAAACAAAGAAGTAAAAGGTAGAAAGATTGCATCGCAAATTGCATAAAGCTGATTATTATTAATTCATATGAGAGTATTTAAAGTTAATCTTAAGTCATGTTAATCGATGCATTCATAATAGAACAAAGTACAGCAGTGAACATAATTTTTAAAATTTAATGTTAAATTGTCACTGTTTACAGTAAGCACTGTTTAAGTTGAACATCAATGAATAAATGATGCAATATTGATGATATAAAGCAAAAAATTATGACTTTTGACATCTGCAGAGAACTCTGATAGAAAAAATGGTGCAATGTATTCTGCCACTATTCTATTCTGGATATATCCACCTTTAGTATGACTTTATACGCTCATTTCAAGAACAGATAAATTATATTCAGATTGAGAAACATTTCTCCTACCCTTCTTTAGAATCTCACATGGTGGCACTGCTATCGCTACTATATTTTTCATTCTATAACCACAAATGTCCATTTTTAATTAAGAAAAGCCTTAGATAAAAAATTTTACCATCTCTTTATTTAATAAATGTTTGAGACTCTTTTTAATAGTGTTGATAAATATATTTTAAAAGATAAATTTAATAAATTCAAAATTTTACTAAAATAAATAATTTAATTTCTAAAAAAATATAAACCAAAAATAATGTATCTGAACTTACAAATCTGGAAGAGTTGTCATTTTTTACAGTCTTGGCATTACCAAAAGCTTCAAGAATTGGATTAGCCTGTAGAAGCTGCTGCTCGAGTTCACCCTAAAATTGTAATGAAAAATTGTGTACAAGCAGAATAAAAGAAAAATTAAATAATAAAAGATTTATTATGCCTTATTTGAATAATCAGAATATTCACTTTTAAATGAGCCCCATATTCAAGTTCAGTTAAGTCATTCACATCCTTTTTTAAAACTAGTACAACTTTAGTGTTTAGTTTATTTCAACTTTTAAACAAGGCATAATGAATCAGGCATGAGATATGTACTTTGAATACACATGTACTTTAAATATTCATATCAAAACATCGAATTACTAAAACTTTCGCAATAAGTTGTACACCAAGGCTTATAAAATAAGCCAATCTATTTGGCCCATAATTACTAATAAGTAAAGCTGATAAGAGAAACTTTTTTAAATTATATAACTTTTCTAAACATACTCAAATTCAGTACATGCAAAATTATAGTAAAATAAATATTACACTTTGTCAGTAAAAATGGCTCACAAATCAATAATATAAAGCAATTAATTTTGGTATAAGCAACTATTTTTGTTCAAAACTTTATATTTTAGCCTTCTAATAGTTGTGATCCCGGGCAAAATTTTGGAACTTCAATTATTAGACTATAATATATCGAGTGAAATAAATTTTCCCCCCTATTTTTTAAACAACAAACTTAAATAGCAAATAAAAAAGTAATACAGTAGGGAACCGATTATCTGGAACGATCGGGACCATCGCTATTCCGGATAACTGATTTTTCCAATTTTCTGAATCCCTACAAAAAGCCGTTTTTTTTTTATTGTTAAACCCAACTAAAAAAAAAAAAAAATATTAGGATATAATCTTAAAAAGAAGAAAAAACGATGAAGTAATACAGTAATGATTATTTCTAAAATGATGGTATGGTAAACATCTTTCAAAGAAAGAAAAATCCTAAAATTTTATGAGGAAAAAAAAAAAAATTTAAAAATGGTGGGAAAATGTATCGAATTTCGTTCCGGTTTCTTGGTTTTCCGGTTTTCTGATTTCCGGATAACGGGTCCTGTACTGTATTCTGAATTGAATAGGAGCACTAAATTTTCTGAAGCTTACATGTTGCAAGCTACTCGGCAAAATTAGTAAACAATTAAAAGCGCAAAATAATGAAAATATTTTTGAACTCTTGAAACAGACATAGAATAAGCATAACTACAAATAAACTAAATAAACAGAAATATGACTGGTATCCTTTAACTTTTAACACACTAAAAAACAGAAAATCAAATTCATGCAACAGATTAGAAACACATTGACATGCGAGAAAAAAACACGAAAGTAACAAAAAAATGTACAAAATAAGTGCAGTAAGGACAAAAAATCCTCAATACCAAATATGAAAGTAAAAAAAATTAATACTCACAATTATATTAGGTGGGACATTATACTGCAATGAAGACAAAAAAAAGAAAGATAAATGCATGCAAAAACACAAAAGATAAACAAAAAAGATAGAACAAGACAAAGAACACAAAAGATGATAAATTTTAAACATGCACTGAGAAATAAACATAAAGGTAACACTAATCGCTTAAAATAGGCAGAATGTTTATAAAAAAATGCTTCACAAATTTTATATAATTATTTTCTTTATTATAAGATTCTTCTATCTCTTGCTTCTTTTCGCTAAAGGAGGTAACTACATAAACAGAATTGCATAAACAGGGAGGGAGAGCAGAAAGGTGTAATCTTTATATAAATTTCCCAGACAAACATGATTGACAAAGAAACAGGAACATATAAATTTCCCAGACATAATGATTGCTGTTTACTTCATAACATCTTTCAAAACAAAACAAAAAAATAAGATTGTTCGTATAATTAATAAATTTTAAGAAAGGGAAAGCAAAAAAATGGTACATAGAATTTTAGATTTTTCTTCACAAAAACAATAAAATTCAGCAATCATTTCCAAATGTGGAGTTTAATAAAAGTCTCTTTTGTAGTTTTTAAATGAACTTATTTTATGGGGTTGCTCACGTAAAATAATTTTTTAGTATCCAAATCAGTTTTTGTCAATTAAAATAGAAACCAAAGTAAATTTTAAGAATCTGTAATCAAACTAACTTATTAATAAATAATGTCTCATAAAAAAGAAAGCATTGTCTCATAAAAGAAAAGCAGGATTTACATGTATACAAATTCCCTATTTTAAGACACAAATTAATATTTTGGAAGGTTTTTGTTTAATTTTATCCATTAAAATGTTGTTAATGAACTTAGTTACCAAATTTCAATGTGCTACTTTATCAAAGCTATTATAGTAGCTTTGAATAAACTTTACAGAAATTTATAAAGCCTTAAAAATTAAAATTAAATAATTAAGCTTGATAAAAGACATTTCACTGAATAAAATGACCACAAAAAAACATTCCAAAATATCAATTTGTGAACTTACAAATCGGAAACTAGTATTGATATAAATCTCAACTAACTGTGCATGCTTTCAAGATTTCCCTCAAATTTTGTATTTTGCCTTTTAAAATTGCATTCTTTAAAATGATGTAAAAAATTAAATACCATAAAACTCTAAATATTTTAAACTACATTAAATAAATAAAAAATAACAAATATTTATTAAAAGTAATACTTTTCTTGGAATTATCTTTGGATAAACAAACTTTATAAGAGTGTGCAAAAATGCTTCAATTCACTTAAAAAAGTTCTAGATATTTGGTGAAATACACAAAAAGTATAATTAACATTAAGGAGTCAAAACTATGGACTGCTGTCCTGACGAAACTATTGGCACCATATTTTGATGGTCTGAAATCTGAATCAGCCAATAAAAAAGGTATGTATATTCAGAGAAAGATGTTTTGTGTCTGATTTCCTGCCTTTAAATATCGTCTGCAATAATTAGTTAGCCTATTTGAGGTCAACACTCTTGAACCATTAAGTTGAGAGCTAGAAAGTGAAGATCCAATCATTAGATCAGAAGTTATTTTAGGTGGTCCGTTTATTTTTTTGTGCACTGTACAGCACAAATTCTTAATGAGCTAATTAAAAAAAAAATTTAAAAATTCTGTTTAAATTAGTTGGTGTCCTTGCCTCAAACTCAAGAAAACTATACAAATTTTAACTTATTTTTAAAGTATCAAATTAGTAGGCTTTTAAAATATGGTCAAGCTTCATATATATATTGCAAGTATAGATTTAAATTAAATAATAATTTAGATTAAAATTCAGAAAAATTTAAATACAATATAACTCTCAGACAATTCAATTCACTTTGCTTACGGAATGAGAAGCAGATGAGGAACGAGGTTTTGATGAGGCAACAAAGGCAAGATATTGTATGACTTTCTTGGTATTTTCAGTTTTCCCAGCACCAGATTCTCCCCTGTAACATTAAATATACATTTAACATTAAACATTAAATAAACATTACGTAACATTAAATATACATTTAATATTTTATATATTTTTTGGTTCAGTTATTGCAATACATATAGTTTTCTTATTCTAGATACTATAGAATGGATTGAGAAATTTCTTGATTATGTAGAAAAGTTATAAAAACAAACATAATTATTTCTATATTGCCTAATTTAAGTAATAAAATTCAAAAATTTTGTTGAATTAAGAGAAAGTAAAAATATATGTTAAAAATAGGATTCAAATTTTCCTAGCTTTCAATACGGATCAGCGGTCCGTACGGACCAGCGGTAATATGCACATACGGATCAGCGGTCCAATAGGCCCAAATTAATATTTGGATGATTAAGGTTTCATATACAAGGTTCATCATAAATTCTATAACAATTTCGAATTTTAAGACATAATAATGATAAACTGGAATTATTAGCTATGACAAGAAAATATTTTTCAATGTTGAATAAAATAAAAATTTCCTATTAATAGCATATTAATAGCAAGCTATAACGGTTGTTTCATTTCACTTTTTTTTCTTTTGTTTTGCATATTTTCTTAAAAATAAAATTTTTAGTCATCACTACATTTTATTTATTTTAAAATGTTTGTTTGTTTGTTTGTTCATCTACGTCGCTCTAGAGCTGCACAATGGGCTAGTGGCGACGGTCTGGGAAACATCCCTGAGGATGATCCGAAGACATGCCATTACAATTTTGATCCTCTGCAGAGGGGATGGCACCCCCCCCCCCTTCGGTAGCCTGACGACCTGCACCAGAAGTCGAGCACTTTACGGTAGAACAGTTTAACGAGGACCAATACCGCACACCCTCGGCCCCTACGCAGGCTGATCCAAGTGGTCACCCACCCGCACACTGACCGAAGACAGTGATGCTTGACTTCGGTGATCTGCTGGGATCTTAACGATCAGTCCACTGCGGACTATTTTTTTTAAAAAATATCATTTATTAGTAAAGGATATTTTTTTTATTTAATATTCTTAAAGAAGACATTTGTATCACCCAAATCATTATTTTTTTTCAATTAAGACTTACAATGGTTCCAGTGGATCAAGACGCCATTAAAGAAGATCCACTGAGGTCATAAGTGTAGATTAAAGCCTCAAAAGAAATGTGTGAACTTTCCCACTTTTGAATTAACATTTTTGATGTGAATTAGATAATAGCAAATTTTTAAATAATCTGTAGCATAATATTTAGCATAAGCACATAATAAATAAATGAATTGAAATTTTTTTAATACAAATAATGGTTACTTACGTGCACAATATAGATTGATCCTCCCGATCTGCAAATAAAACCAAATTCAGAACGTGAAAAGTATAAGATAAAAGTCAAAGAAAAATTACATCAAAAATTCCTAAAATAGCAGTGAAGTTATTTAAAACATTAAAAGATTTAAATACAAAAAAAAAAGGTTCTACATAAATTGTTATACAAAAATCTCAACAGCTGCATTGAAAGATAACTGGATGAGTGAGATTTATTAAGAGTCCCTTTAATTATTCTATCAAAATAATAATTTTTAAATAGGACAATTATTTCTAAACATTGTATATTGTTGAATTACTTATTAAATTTAAATACTATCTCACAGTTAAAAAAAATTTTACCATACCTTTAACCATACTTAATTTTTAAGTTAATTGCAAATTAGTATAAGAGTCTAAATCACACAACGCTAACAAATAACTATGTTTCAAGATTTGTAAATATATTTTATTGGTCTGTGAAAGATCTAACTTGTGCTAGCTAATACTTCTAACCAGTATTTAAGGTAAATTGCATAGCTAAAATGTATAAATAAACTGCAAATTTAAGAACTGCAAATAAAATTTCTTAAAATGTAAAAAATGTGAAAGTATATTAATATTTTTTACACTCTTTAATAAATTATCTATTTAAATTATTCAATATTATTCTACAGAAAACTATTCAAAGTAATTCATAGGATTATATAAGCAACAATAACTGCTCTGAATACAATATTTACATCTTATGTTGCGAAAGAAATTTTTATAGAATGTTTAAAACATAACTGCTATACATATTGGTCAATAGAAGCTCAAAACGTGAAAGATGGGTCAAGCTGATAGTCATTTATCATTAAGCAAGAAAACAAAGGCTTAGCCTAAACTCCACTTAGAGCAAAAGCATATATATATAACTTAAATTAATGAATTTAAATTAGTCAGTATAAAGTTAAATTTATCTTTTAAAATTATATCAAGGGTCAGGAGGGCTCACGCTCAAAAAAAAAATAATAATAATAAATAAATAAATAAATATTTTTATTGTAACTTTTGATAAGATATTTCTTTAATTCACTTTATAAATAATATTAATTCTTAACTATAAACTTTGAATATAATTATTGTAAGATGCGTGTTATTTTCATGCATTATTCAGATAAATATCATTTCAACGAGGTAATTGCATACAATGTTTCAATTCAGTACCTTTTCATTGCAATTACAATACGGATATAAAAACTTCCCCATCACCTCTTCACCATCTTGTTCTTATTTCATATTATGATTTTAATAAGTCTCAGATAGGGCACACTTAAGTCTATCAGGATGCGTAGCCAAATTATTCAACAAAAAATAGGCACCTTTTCAAGCACTCAAAAAATATTTTTAAGCATTTCATCATAATTAAAAATATCATAATTAGGCAAGGTTGGAAAGTTTTTGATAATAAACGGTTTTCTCGTTTTAACCGTTATGCAAAAAAAAAAAAAATAAATAAAAAAAAAACCTTTTGGCATTGTTTTTGACAATTAACAAAATTCATGAAATTTTGAATTATGTAAAACGAATGGCGTTTTCATACGCTACGGACTGACAATACACCGAAATAGATTGGGGTTTAATTAATTGTGAAAACGTTGCATAGAGCAATGTGAACTGTGTCTTTTTGCATAATTCGAAGCGAAAATCAACATGGTAAAGGAAAAATCTCATTTCGAAAAGGGGAAAATTAAGCACTTTTTAAAAACACCCAATGAAAAAAGCACCTTTAAGGGCTTTTAAAAAACGAAAATCGAAAATTACCACCCTTAAAGCACTTTTTAAAAACCCTACGCACTCTGTCGTTGCAATTGCAAAACGGATATAAAAACTTCCCCATCACCTCTTCACCATCGTGTTCTTTTTTCATATTATGATTTTAATAAGTCTCAGAAAGGGCGCACTTATTAATTTTGTGGGAGGACGCACTTAAGTCTATGTAAGCCACGGTTAATATTATCATTTTAAGAAAAAATACACTTTTATGAAAAAAGAATTCTAGTTTATAAACGTTGAAAACTTTATCATAAAACTAAGCCATTGCACAAACCTCTGGATCTCCATATCAGATAATTCCAGAATTATTTATACCAGTGTAATTCAAAGGATATCATTTAACTTTCATAGAAGAATAAATCTATTACTTTCTGCTATTTAGAAAATAAAATCTTACTCATTGACATAAAATAACAAGTAAGCTCATTGCTAATCCTAGCCTAGCCACGAGCAAAAGATATGCTTAAAATAATCCCAGTTATGCATTCAGAATTCAGAAATTAAGATGTAGTTTGGAGTAATAGAAAATAGATTTATTTTAGAAACTAACTTATCACAATGTCTTCTTTTAATAATTAAGAAAATAGGATTTTAATTATAAAAAATATTTTTATACTTTTATTAGAACAAATATACAATTTAAAGTTAATTAGAAAAAATTGCCTTCATATTAAAAAAAATTTATTTAAATTCTCGCAACTTATAAAATAAACTTAAATAAACAGTCCACTTCAACTAAGTTTTCTAAAAGACATAAAGCGTTAGTAAGCAATTTAGAGAAATATTCCTCAAATAACGAAACAATTCAATCGAATTTTAATCACGACGAAGTTGGTTACAATAGAACGACTGAAGGGAGAAAAAAAAACTTAAAAATTTACATTGCGTCAATTATTCTTTTTTTATAATAAGCGATAACCCAATGTTGAAAAAATTCTATCATGCCGCCTCGACCTTGACATATGTGAACTAGTTAAATAGAATAAAGAGAAAAACTCGACACAGAGAAAGTCAATTTGAAGAAAGGAGAGGAATGGCGGGAAACTTGCATTACCGATAACATCGTTCACCTTGGCAAGGTCAACCACCTGTCATCAGACAGTGCTACATTCTTTTGGGTTTCTTTTTCTTGTGCGTTAATCTTTAAAAAAAGAAACCATGACTATATTTTGATAAAAACGGATTTGCCGTCACAAATTAAAGTTGAAAAGATCGAATTGTAGAAAAGGGAGGTCACTGCACTAAACGCCAACGCCTAGTGACAGGACAGATTTGAGGTCCCCCATAATTTCACCCACAACTATGTATGACATCATCATGAGTCACAATCAAGATAAAATAAATGTACCTTTATAATTTCTTTTTAAACATATCATGCAATAGGTTAACGAATCTTAAGTTTTTACCATAACACAAAGTTTAATTTACCAACTTCTTTGTCTTTATTTTATTCCTATTTATCCAAAGCCAATACCTTTTAATGAATTTAATTAAGTGCTTAGTGTAATTAAGTGCTTAGTTAAGGGAATTTCTGGACTCGGTATTGCAATATCAAAAAATTGCATTTATAAAAGTCGTATAAAAATTTAAAATTTAAAACTAACACTCCAAGTCTTATTCATCCGGGCAATATAGATAAGTACAATTTCAAGATCAGAGACTGCTGAATGCCCTGGTTGAAATCCATCAACAATTCTTTCTTTTAACTAAATTTTTTTTTTAAACAACTATTAAAGGTAAAAAAAATTTATGTAATATTCGACAGGTGCAAGTATATTAGCGGTTTTTATTTTATAATCGTCGTTGAACAGACTACCTAATTTTGGGTATACGACAACCAATGTTCAAATCTGTAGCCTCGTAATTTTGAACCCAATCCAGAAAACAAGGTAGCTACTGGATCAAATATTGGGAGAAATTTTTCTTGGCGGAGGACATTTTGATAGAACTAACTTGTATTTGCGTTACATGGAGAGGAAAACCAAAAAACCTCCCACGGTTAGCCTGACGGTAAAGGGACTAACCCAGGATCCGTCTAACACTGAGGATATTTTACGTCAGCACAGTGGTGGGTGCGAATCGACGCTGGGATTCGAACCCAGGTCACCTCATTGGAAGGCGAACGCTCTATCCGAGAGCCGCCACAGCTGATATTAATGGCTTGTAGTTTTTAAAACATTTTTTCCAGTATTTTATTATTCTTATGCTTTTTTTTAGTGATTTAAAATTAAACCAGCTTGCGTATGAGAGCAAAACCAGTAGGAATTTTTTTTTTTGTTTATATTACGTAACCTGTTGTTTTAATATTCTGATATGATACATACATATCTTGAGATGTATAATCATGATCCAAAAAAGTAAAATTTTTACAACACATATATTTCGTTAGTGGAATCAGATGTATCGAAATTTTTAGATTAAAATAGTTATTTTTAAAATAAATATATATACATCATAAAATTGCTTTTGAATCACAAAAGTTAAACGTTATCAATCATGATTCACAATTAAAATTGCGAATAAACAGGAAAAATAATAAGATAAAATTATAAATAAAAAAAATTCACTCTTCAATTTATTTATTCTCTTATTTTACCTTCTGTAAAAACAGTAAAATGTGGAGGCGCATTTATCAAACTTAAGGAAAGGAACACTTCACCTAATGTCAAACAGCACTTAATAGGATTGCAAGTTAGATACTAAAATTTGAAATATAATAACTTTTATCAGCCGAGCATGATTGAGAAATAAATTTTGGGAAAGTCCGGATCTGATATTAAATAGTGCAGCTCTTATCGAAAATTTATTGATGTTAGAAAAAACAGCGCTACCCTTGCGATTGAGATAGACGGGGAAAAACTTAAAATCGCGGAAAGATAATAGAACTTCTTATTTCAGTTCGAGACGTCAGACGCAACAATGTGGATATGACGATTTTTAGTTTAATGTAAAGATTTCATACAAAAGAAATTGCAAGAAAAAAAAATTTTTTTTTTTTTTTCAAATATTTCTGCGATATGTGCTCACTATTCCGATTTCTTTTCGACTGTGGAACCCCAAATGATCAACATTCCTTTGTCGGAACCCCAAATGATCAACATTTCTTTGTCGGAACCCCAAATGATCAACATTCCTTTGTCTGAACCCCAAATGATCAACATTCCTTTGTCGGAACCCCAAATGATCAACATTCAGCAGTCGGAACCCCAAATGATCAACATTCCTTTGTCGGAACCCCGTGACTTAATAAATAAATTTTATTAGCAATTGTAGAATATATTAATTATTAACGAAATACAATTAATTATTATAAATTGTACCATCTAAATTTTAATAATTATTTTGAAAATATCTAGTGACTGAATGGTGAATGAAATTTTTTTTCATCATATCGTTTTACCAAAATTAGTGTAGGAATTAAATTTATGTCAGGCAGTTGAATTAACAGATATGAAGCGGTATCTAGTCCAGTTCTTAGTTTGATTTTAGTGTATGTATAACAGAAAATGAATTTTAATTGAAACATTTTGATTAAATAATTTCATACAAATAACGGAGTTATTAAATAAAAAATAAATAATTAATTGGATTTAAATTCAACACCAAGTTTTAAAAATCCTAACTGGCTTTTAAAAAAAAAAAAGGGAAAAAAAGTCCTAACTCTCGGAACTCTTGTCACCCTTCCACAGAACCCTAAGGTTCCACGGAACACCATTTGGGAAACGCTGCACTATTATTAGAATTAGAAACAATTTTTGAAAAACTTACCCCTGTAAAAGTTACTTTTCACGGATTATAGTCAATAGGCAGGAAAGCCAAACTTACAATGAAACCGTTGATGCACGGGTTATACCACTTCAAGTAGTAAAAGGGAGAAGAAAAAAAAATTTAGATAAAATTAACTTGTTAATTGGATAATATACGAACTACTACTACAATGGGCATGGCATTTTTTGTCTTGGGAAATTACTCAAGGGGTTATGATATTACTTATAACTAAGAAGAAAAATTGTGAAACGAGTTGAACAATTTATTCAGCGGCTAGCAGGTTAAGATTAATAGGCAAATAATTTTAAATTTAAAAAATAATAATGAAACCAATTGAAATTTTGTGATTTAATGGTTACAGCTATTGTGGTCGGTTTGCTGTTAAAAACATTAGTACAGAATACAAAACTGTCTGAACAAGTCTAATGTTTAACAAGAACTTCACTCAAGGAACAGAAATAATATGTATTGTTTTGTAACAGCGTTTTGGTAATTAAAAATTTTCAGCAGGCATTCGAGAAAATTATACTAATAATAAATTTTTAATTACAATTATTTATTTAATTAATAATGATAATTACAATAACTATCGGTGATTAAATTATTACCATTTTTTAAATTACGTAACATGTGGAAAAATTTGTGTTGCATTTATACAAATATTTAATATTGCTTAATTCGGGTGAGGAGATTTCAAATCTAATTTTGATCCTAAAGCTAATTTTTTTCCGTTTAAATGACAATTTTAATCTATTTTTTGTTGAATTGTTTAAGTTTAAAAACGTTATATGTAAAAAAAAAAAAAAAAAAAAAANAAACTCTGTCTCAAAAAAAAAAAAAAAAAAAAAAAGGGGGGGGGGCAATAATGTTGCAACAAACTCGTATAGCATTTAGTACTTATCATGAGGATCAACAGTTCATAATAGTTGGAGCGCCCCTAACGGCATAAGACGGCATTTTCGGCTTGGGTGCTACACAATTTTAATCACGATGATGTGACCTAACTAGAGATTGGTTACAACATTTAAGCAATCGCCTGTTGATTTTTCTTTTAAAAAAATTTTTTTCTAGCGTAATATTTGCCAAAATAGTTGAGCTTTAAAAATAACGAAAAAGCTCAAAGTTAAAAATAAATAATAATAACGACAGAAAAAGTAATAATATATAAATAAATTTCTCACAAATAACAATCAATAGATTTAAAACAATTTACAGCCAGGCCGGATCTGCGATCGTATCACCACGGCGTAAACTATAAGTATTATCGCGGCAATTGCGATCGTACTTTAATATTTGAGTTTATTATTTATATTTGAGTAGAAAAATAAAAATTACTAAAAGAAATTTCTATTTTCTTTTAAGTAAATAATAATCTTCATTTATCATTTGCTACAAAATATGATCATACAAGAGAAAATTGGTAGGAGGGGAATTTTTCGACATCATTTGCACCAAAAATAAATTTATATGCAACGTACGTCTCAGTTTTGGGCACGTTAACTTAGTCTAAATATGATCGACTTTTATTGGGTTTTATTTAATACGCTTTATCTCAGATATCAATGGAGATCCATAAACTATTTGTCTAATTGTGTATTTAAGAAATTTAAAATTAAATTAATAAAATAACTCACCTTGTAGCATACTTCTGTATGCTCCATCGGTAACAGCAAATATGTGAGGCGGTACTTCATGACGCTTTTTGCCTTTGTAAAGCTCTATTACTTTTTCAGTGTAGATGGGCAGTTTTTTATATGGATTTACAACTACGCAGAAAAGTCCAGAATACGTCTGCAAATAAACAAGTTATCATAAATAAATATTAATTATAATATTAAGAAAATAAAATTTAAAATTTTTTTTTTAAGAAATACACGCTTTTCAAAGTACATAAAAGTTGTTTTTACCTAAAAACTAAGACCAAAGCAGAAGTAAAAGCGTTAAGTACTAATTAAAAAAGCAATTACTAAATTAGATTATCGCATTTTCTTCAGCTTTTTTTTTTTTCACTGTTGGGCAATTAAAATGCACACAGAAAAGAAGATTATATTTATTTTTAGAAGTTTATACCTTTCAGATCACAATCGGTAAGCAGGGGTCTGTCCAGGTATTTTGTGAAAGGTCCGGTTTTTTTTTAAAAATTTTGAAAAAATTGCTCGTAATTTGTAAATATAAAATAAGCGTTAAATCACATTCTTTCAACCAGGGTCTTGCTTTTGTGAATTTGTGCAAATAAGGTCCGGTTATTGCAGAAAATGTTTTCAAGCAGTATTTAAATTGCAAATAGATAACAAGATTATGCTCAGCACTGTAAAATTATAATTAAAAAAATAAAATTTTCAAAAATAAATTGCAATTGATGCTTCAAAATTAGAGATGCAACACACAAATATTTGGTATTTAGCCTATACTGCTGAACGCAGAATATTCATTTCAGACAAATAATGGAAGAAGCGTCTGTGGAAGACAAAACTTAATTCGTTTACATCAAACTTTCTTGTTTTCCCCTCTGGGAAGGGTTTATTCGATTAACAAAACAATAATGAAAATAAACAAATTTGTGAAGGGTCCGATTAAAAGAAAAATCATTTTGTGAAGGTCCGTTTTTAGTTAAAATATTTTGTGTAGAGTCCGTTTTTATGAAAAGATATTTTGTGAAGGGTCCGTTAACGCACCCAAATTTCTTCTAAACAGACCCCTGAAAATGCACGCAGAAAATAAGTTTATGTTTATCTTAGAAGTTTATACCTTTCAAATCACAACTGGTAAAACTTATTATTATTATTATTATTTTTTTTTTTTTTGACAGTTGGTAGAGGAAAAGTCCTAAATTGTNTTTTTTTTTTTTTTTTTTTTTTTTTTTTTTTTTTTTTTTTTTGAAAAGGCAATTCATTATTTTACTCCTTACTAAATAATAAAAAAATTAAAAAACAGTAACTAAAACTTAACGTGGGGGCAAATAAATTCCTACGAATTTGACAAGAATAAAATAATATTGCGAACGTAGTTTCTTACACTTGCCAAGACATAAGAAAATCCACGTCGACATTAGAACGTAATATGCATCAATACATCAGTGCTAAACATGTAAACAGTCAATTAACTTCGAAACTTTTCGTTTCAATTTTTAAATTAAAGTTTATTTCCGAAAATGATGGGGTAGAGTACTTAAAGAAACATCAATCTTAAAAAAGAAGGCACTATCTCGGAAAGAAAGAAAAAAATTTAAAATTTCTAATTCGTGCGTAGGCCATTAACTACAAGCGCCCTAATTTATCAGCCTTAATGATCAGTTACAACGTTAACAGCACTTCGTTCTTTAAGTTTTAAAGGCAAAAATACAAGAGATTAATATGAGTAATTAAAATCTTTGCAAGTGTGAAAAAAATGCCACAAAGACTTCATGAAAATTACAGAAGTTCAAGAACTGGCGTGTTTAACCACCATTAAATAATGTTTCGGTATTTAGAGGGAGAGTTGGTTTAATAATGATAAAATGATGCAAAAAACTTTACAAAAACTGTGCAGAATTTGTAGAAATTATACAGAAAGAGGAAGGAAAAAAAACATCCTACCAAGCATATAATTACAGATAAAAGATTTTGTTTCCGGAAATAATTGTATTTTAAGAATTTTTATTCTAAAATAATCGATTTCGATCAACTACAGAATGAAAAATAACAATATCTATATTTTATAGTGAGTTGAATTTTCTTTTCCAAGCAATAAGTAACTTTAAAAACTTGTTTCAAAAAGTTTTTTTTTTTGTTCAATTGAAAAGAAATTCCATGTATTGACATTTATATTCATGAAGTTAATAAAATTTAAAAAGAAAAAAAAAGCCATTATGATAAAAATCAAAGGTGAAAGTTGAAAACGGGCAATAGAACTTGCAAACATAAAATACTTCAATTTCCGAAAGAAAAGAATAAAAAATAGCTACATCAGAGCATAGAGTTTAGAAAATTACTAAATCGCTAACTCGAAATCTCTAATTTTCATACCATTTTTAATCTCTATTTATACAGATATATTACTAATTAGTTTTATACCATCGACCTTAAGGCCTACCACCAATTTTGCCCTTCTCGGTTTTCCTCTTTATTAGGTTCATATTATTAGGTTATACTTTATTATTCCTCTTTATTAGGTTCATATTATTAGGTTATACTTTATTATTCCTCCTTATTAGGTTATATGTACTTTAAATAAAGAATCGCAAGAAACTTGATTCAAAACTTCATTCGCTACAAAAATATAAATTTGAAGCTATTAAGTTTTTAATCATGTAATAACTTACAATACTTGTTGTTAAAAATATCCTAAGTACGTATCCAAAGCAACATGGCTCGAATTTTCGTAAACTCCAGTTTTTATAGGGTATCATATGCTTATAAATGATTATAAAAGCTAATAACTTATCATACCCAATAACAGTGATCGGAGTAGTTTAACAAGTAATGAAACTAATGTAATAGCTACTTTTTTTGTAGTTTGTAGTCTAGTGTGATATATATATATATATATTTTTAAAAAAAAGTTGCGAAGTGCGAGGTGTGATACAAAAAAAAAAAAAAATTAAAACGATTTCTGTCAATTACTTTTAACGTTAGTTTAGAAAAGAAGCACAGTTCTAAAGCAACAAATTTTTCGAATTTGATGGGTACAAATCTATGAAAATGATTGACAAAATGATTCTGTGGCTGCAGCTGAGCGTTAACAGAAATTACGTATTTAAAATCACGTTATATCTAACATTTAAACTAGCCATTTCGAAAAATAGATAATCACTTTGGTTACACTTTCACACCCGAATGCACATGCGTGAAACATTGATGTTATTTCAAAGGAAGAGAGCGTATTTTCGATGTACTTAATTTCTTAGAGGAAATAAAAGAGCATTAAGCAATTAAAAAATTGCAAGTATTTGATAATTTTGCATTTCTTAAATTAAAATATTCGCTGTCAGAAAAGGTATAAAATAAAATTGAAGGCTAAATGAAAAACGGAAAATAAAAATTTTGGAATAACAAACTGGCTCATTTAAAACATGAATAAATATTTCTTAATTATTCCCTTATACTTAATGCAAGGCAATTTGTTTTTCAAAACCGTTTTGAGCATAGGTGTAAATTAAGTTCACCATAAAAGTTAAAAGTTAGTCTCCTTTAAGTAGTGAACAACTTACTACAATTCCAAAGCAGTTTTGTAGTTAACTAAACTTGTAACAAAGTAGCTGCAGTAAACTAAAAAAAATGTTTTTCAGAGTACTGCCTTATAATTATGATAAACATTACGAACGTAATAAAGTTGTCTTCTGCAATGGTGACTTTTCGCTTAGGGCAATATAGTTAGTGATTTGAAATCAGTATTGTTAAAAAAAATTTCCCAGATCAATAAATAAAAAAAAAACATTTAATAATTACACTCGGACAAACAGCTCTCTCTCCATTTGCAAGGGTAATGAAGAATGCAAATCTACAAAATTTAAATAATATTTCAATTACTTATTGTTTTCACCTATAGCAAAAAGGTGTATGACAATTCAAAATTGTTAAAATGATTCAGAAGGGAAAAAGGTACCCAGTAAGAACTAATCCGATACTAATATAATTTAAATGGAACGCATCACTTAACAACTTCAACTCGCAATCCGAAGGATCATCATTAGAATAAACGAAGTAATTTTATTTATTCGGAAAAAATATATAACTTCCAATCAAGTTGAAATTATTCCCACTATAAAACCACGATTTTATGGGCTACGGGATGTTGAGCATTTTTATTTACAAGCCATCTAAGTCGTCAACAGAGAAGAAAAAAAAAAAGTTCCATCGATTACGTCACAGACACCTGCCACTCAAAACTTCGAACCATCTTAAGATGTAGAAGATGCCAGTGACCATATATGGATCAAAATGCTTATTACGAAGTGATCCACTTTCGCCAAAAAAACAACTGATGCTCTTTCACAACACTGTTAATTTACCGCCAAAAAAAAAAAAAAAAAAGAATGCAGTGATTTATTTAGTCGCAACGCTTAGAATTCGAAATTTGAAACCCTTAGAAAGCGTTCTCAACTGCACTTATGGTGTTATAATTTTTTTTTTTTTTTAAAGTCTGGGTTCCATGTATGGAGAAGACAAAAACGCGTTAATTAATGAAGTGTTATGATTCTGACCCAGAAAAATTATTTCGGTAATAAAATATCTAGTTTACGTAGTTGTTTATATTTTAAGTAACTAATTCATCCTTTTACAACACATCTTGCGATTGCAAAGCACATATACAATAAAAATAATACTAAACGTAACTCTTAGACTCGTAACTCAATTTCCATTAATTGGTGATGATATATTTCGATCATAATTTATACAGAATTGACATTAAGGCGATCAAATATACTTTATTTGTCTAGTTTCTCTACGAAATGCTGTTTTAAAAATTTTGTCTGAGATTAATTCTGTTGCATTTACGTTGAAATAGGAGGGCACAACTTGTTACGCTTGTCAATTGCAAAATATGAACAATTTCGGTGGAATCGGTAAGTTAACAAATTTTAAAAAGTCGTACATTTAAAACTTGATTTTTGAAAATTATTCGATCAATTTCGTTCGCATTTTCAATTTATTATTTAAAATTATTATATTTTAAGAAGAAGAAACAAAAAATTCAGTTCAAAAATTTTTTGGATATTATTAAAGTAGTAAAAGAAATTATTGAAAATTATTTTTTGCACGGAATTATATGGATTTTATAATCGTGTGAAAAAAATTTTCGATTCACTCATGAAATTCTGAGCGGCTTCT